ATGTAAACTTTCCTGAGTCTTGAAAGTTGCTATTTCATCACTGTAGGGGTAACTTCATTACATTCTTCATTACTCCCAACTATGATGAAAACAATCACATGATGATTTCCCAGAATACCATGAAATTGTCAATTTTTGTTTCTTATTACAATGTTCAAAATATGGTATCATCTTTCAAGAAACATGAGTGAAAGCTGAGGCACCATCTTTTTCTTAAATATTTTAATTTTAATTATGTGTGCATGAGTGTGAGGGTATATATGTATGTGTACAGGCTAGGAGTGTCAGAGGCCTGTGAGCTGGAGTTATAGGTAGCTGTACGCTGTTCATGCGGGTGCTGGGAGCTGAGCACAAGGAACAGCACACTCTTAAAAGGCAGGTCTTCTCTCCAGCCCCCGAGACACCGTTCTTGAGTCTGCCTTTACTTTTCATTGAATACAGCTAAAAATTCAGAAATTTTAATTTCTTGCCAGTAGAAAAGAGAACAACTTATGGGGAGATGACCCACAGTTAATTATGGGGCTAATCTGAAGATGTGGGTAAGGAGTCTATAACAACCATGAAATTCAAGTTCATTTGCAGAGTGAGATTTCATGAGATAATTCCTAATGAATTTTCTTGAAGTGAAGAGTGAATGACTGAGCAACACAGTTCTCTAAGAAAGAAATGATGCAACATGGAACTCTGACTCCACCATTTCACTGAAAGTACTCCATCATACAACATTTAAATAGGAGGCTCGACTGTCTCCTGATACCATTTACTAGAGTATTCCTTCATCTTTTATGATGTTCATATGCCAAATTTTACATGATGCAAATAACTTTACAGCATTTACATTATGTGATGTATATATATGTGTACATATATATATATACATATATATAATATAAAAGAGTATTAAGCCTTAAGGCTTAAAAGAAAATCCCATCACTTGTGACAACATGGACAAACTGAGAGGACATTACACTAAATGAAACTTTTGGTTACAAAGACAAATACTGTGTGATGTGGATTTTACAAAAGTCAAATCATGGAAGCTGCAAGTAGGATAGTGGTTGCCAGGAGCTAGGATGGGGAATGAGGACACAGAGGTTCAGCTGTGCAGATGGCTGTGTCCTGGAGCCCAGATGTCCATCAGGGGTTTAGAGCTGATAATTCTGTGCTGTACGCCTGACATTTGCTGAGAGAGCAGAGCTAACTTGTTCCCTGCTTCCACACAAATAACAACTGCGAGTTGATGGGTATGTCAATTATCTGATGGCAGAAATTATTTCACAACATACATCAAAATATTACATTGTATACCTTAAACATATGCAAACTTTCATCAATCAAGTATACCTCAATAAAGTTGGAAACAAAAAAAAACCCCAACATATAAAATAAGAACTATATTCAAGGTAACGTTTATTCGAGCCTCAGATCTACTAAATTGGTGACATCATTGGACAAATGCTTGTCTATTAGAGAAAACAAACAAGTGAGTCAGAAAGCTTCTGAAGCCATTTTTCCATCTTCACCCTTTCTTCTCACTGAGACCATCTGACGAAGTACTTAGTAGCAACCACTCTTAAATATCAGATTCCTTAGCAATGAAAGGTAGGACGATACACTGAGGAATTCCGACACGGGGTGTATTACGTATCTCACTCCCACTCTATCCCCTGCAGCTCATGTCAGTTCCTTAGAGGAGGCAGCGAAGGACACACTTATTCTGGGGTATGTCTCTGTGCTTTCATTTATTTTGCAGATTCATTTATAATTTAATTATATTGCCAGCTTTAATTATATTGCCAGTTATAATCATAATTATAACTTGTTTGTTTGGATAGACATTTCTATTTGTATAAAATGCTCTGACATGATTCACAACTGAAAAAGGGTTATAGTCTCTACTGAGCTTGTTTCTCATTTTATCCTCACTGTACCCTTCTTAGTTCTGTTGGTTCTGGGTGGATCCAGGAACAATCACCTTCTTTCCAGCTGTACAAGACACCGCTGCTGTTCTGGATTTTGCTGCCAACCACACCCTAAAGTAATTCACTGAGCTCCTGGGGGCTCACAGAATGGGAACATATCAACACATGTGAATAGGCAGCGGTGTTAGACAGGTAAGGGAAGGGAAGTCAGACAGTGGTCACAGAACTTCCTACGGAAAGGTAGACAGAGAAAGAAGGCTGTGCATTCAACTCAGAGCCTGTGATGGTTGTGGCAGTACCATAAACCTGTATGGTAGGAACAGGAGACAGAGTTCATAATGTCAGAAACATGTTTACAACAGCTTTCAGAAGAAACAGTGGGGGCTGAATCATCCCAGTTTTAAAGAAGAGGAAAGACACTCAGCTTGGACAGGCCAAGTTACCTGCCAAAGACTACACAGTCAGAGACAATCAAAGCTGGGATCCCAACACAGCTCCAAGAGATCAAGGCCCAGTATGTCCTGCTATATCAGATGCTAGGCTACTTAGTGAAAACCAGGTGACAAAGATCACTGTGGTTGTAGAAGATGACCTGGTGACAAAGGCAAGTAGATCCAGTAAGAAAACAGTCCATTTGGTTTAAACACCGTGCCCTAGGCTGCTGCAGAGGTGAGCATGACAACTCTTTCAATGAGGAAATGAAACCGTGGGACGTCCTCAGGTGAGCAGGGGCTAGGATGTCTGGGAGCACTGCAATGGCAGTGTCCAGGCCAAGCACACAGAAGCCACTGTCAGCAACTCTTCATTCTTTCCTAAAGCACTGAACGCAGTTGCAGTTCTCACAACCTTACCTGGTGCTGCTGGGAACTCTGTATGAAGTTGATGGGTGGCTCGCTCTGCTTACTCTTCAGCCGTAAGATGTTGTCGGCATACCCCCAGCTCAGGATAGCGGACCACTGAATGTCCGTACTGTTCATGCTTCTCACACCTCAAGAGAAGGGAAATCAAAGGATCTACTTGTCACTGCAGTGCACATGGCAATGGCAGGTTAAAGACTCAAGTTTTCATAGCAGAATATGTCTTCTTTTCAGACAAAGTCATCCTTATCTCCCAAAGAAAGAATAATCTTAGTTTTAGTGCTTTAATAAGACTCTGAAGGTAGAATTATCTTCTCAAAGACAGTTTTATAACTGATAAGGATAATAAAACTTATTCTATTCATACTCGGAGATTCCTTTTCTTCAAAAATGGAACATGAACTTAAGTAGCTTTCTAGACATCTAGTGCTGAGCAGTCAGCATGGACAACCACAATACCAGAAAGAACTCTGCTGGGGAGAAGGCACGCTGAGCGCGTGAAGAGATCCACTCTGGTCAGCTGTAGGATTCAGTATGGCAAACTGTAATTAAGGGGGTTCTGGTCTTTTCTCTCTGCTTTTAACAGCACAGTATTGTGCCCCGTTAGCACAAAGATGAACACCCTGGTGTCCCTTCTCAGGACTGTCTGTCACCTGTGAGCACAGCAGGAAGGCTGTGTGGCACTGCCCTTGGAGCCGGCAATGCTTCAACTAGCATAAGGAGTTTTCAGGAGACAGAACGTGCTTTATCCTTTCCAGACTCTAGTGGGACATGAAAGATATGGACAAACAAATAAATATTCCTCAAATGAATCAGCAGCATGTTGGAAAAAAATTGCAGTTTTTCCTGAGTATAAGAGCCATATGTACACATCAGTTTCACAACAAAGGAATTAAGATTTGCTCATAAAATATAAGCTCCTGTACATATCAGCTACTGGAAGGAGCCACACTCCCTGACTCTGATGACTCTTGAAATCTATCAAGCTGACACGATCCTAAGAGTGGAATTATTGTCTTTTGCCCCAGTGGTATTCTGACTGGGACTTATTTGACTCAGAACTAATGACCACATGGGGTAGGTACTCAATTAACTGAGCTCGTTTAGTTTTTTCCTCCTTTTAGAAAAATAAACTTTACTTAATAGAACAGTGGATCTTGAGCAGGAGCTTGTGAGAAAATTTTTTTTGGCATATGTAGGTTTGGACTCAAACCCCAGAGGTTTGGCTGCTGTGTCCTAGTGGGAGGGAGCAAGTGTGCTTGAAGACAAAGCACCTGAGGCTTCCAAGACACAATTCTCAAGGAAGCAGTGGTGGTCGTAAGGTCACTGAACACATCTCAGTGTAGCTGGCACAGCGTATCCTGACAGACAACCACGCTACTATTTTATGTACAAGTGTTCTACGTGCTGGCTGCAGCTAGGATTCTAGCATTCACCTGCAAGCTGCAGTCAGTCATCAGTCAAAGCCATCTGGAATGCCTCTATGGATGCTATTGGTGGGGTTAAAGCAAGGAGCACTGACATTCCCTGACCAGGGTGGTTTAAGCCTAATGGAGACTTGTGTAATACTTACTAATGCTGCTAATCATTCTCACACACTGTTTTGAGTTCTCACAATAAATCACCCTGGAAGGGAAGTCACTTGGTATTCCTATTTTTATAAATCAAAAGCCAGGATCTGGAAGGCCTTGAGTAACTTTCCCATGGCTAGTAAACAGCAGAGCTTGGGTGCAAACTAAGGCATTGTGCTTCCAGAGGCCACAGTGGTTCTGACTAATCCAAAATCTACTCTGCAGGAAAGGTCCATAATGAACACAGCTCTTGAGGGCACATTAAGGGCCCAGGACCATAGTGACATAAATGTATTTACGCACTGTATTTTTAGTAGGTTGAAAATAATATGGGACACATTTAAATCTCAAAATACTGAGTGATAGGGTTACTGATACCCTAGTGCATGGAAGGTAATGAGAAATGCTAGCAACTAGGTTTCAAAGAGGCACGCAGGCCACGGCTGGCACTGAGCAATGTGACACAAACACGAGTATCCTCAGCCATGCATTTTCTTGCTCAGGCCAAGCAGCAGAGCTGCTGCACTAGAGAAATGGATACCAAGGAAAGACAAATGAATTACTTAAGTAGAAAATGGCCCTCAGTTCTCCAGTGTCTGTGACATTTTGAAATATGAAGGGATCCCTACCACACAGTCCTATTCTACCCTTCACTGTCACTGAGCTGGAGGCAGGGAGTCGGAGAACAGCTTTTCAGGAAATGCATTTATGCTTATCTGCAAGGCTCCTTCTCACTCCTGACTGGGCGTTCAAACCCACAGCTGCATCTTTTGAGGCACCAGGCTTGTCTATTAAGTATATCTGTCCTTCCTGGGGCCTGGGAGCCTCACATGTACAACGTGTACATCATCATCATCAGACTGATGATGTTTTCAGCTTGTGAGCCTAGCCATTGATTCTTGTCTCCCTACAACCCCTTTCATTTTAAATGGCCCTGCATTTTAATTCTCATTTTTTTCCATGTACTGTTTTTATGCCTAACTTGCATTAAGTGACCACAATTCTGAGCAGTTTTTCACCAAGGACTGTGAATCTTTAGAAGACAAATAAAACAACAGCATAGATTAGCTGGTGATATTCAGATCTCACAGAGTCCCAGAATGATTTTCACTACAGTTTAGTTTACCTTGCTCTTTGCTGTAGGTCATCAGAAGACAGAAGTTTCGGGATAAACCACAGATGGCTCTGGTGGGCAATGCCTGGAGAGAACCAAATCTTTCTCCATGGGGCTGGCTGAAGCAGACCACAGGTACTGGAGCACTTGGGGAACCTACGTACTCCCCCCACTTCAAGCCTTTGATCCATGACAAAGGGCTCTAAAATCAAGGAAAGATTACAACTTTTTTTAAAAACAAAAAAGTGATGCTAGGTCATTAATTATAATTTAAATCCTAAACAGAAATTATTCTGATTAGAAACTCTTGGAGAGCAAGAATTATGTTATATGTTTTACTTCCCCACGCTTAATATGTAGAAATGCATTTCCTATTTGATTTTTTTTTCTGCAGTTCTGGCCTAATCTACATGAAAATGTCTTGCTACTAAATTCAAAAAGTTTTGAAATTAAGGCAGAGGAAACAAAATTTTATTAGACACACTTCTTTTTTGGCTATCTGACAGGTGTAACGTTGGTAAATTGAATTTGGAAGTATGACAGGCCACTTGTTATGTGACAGAAATGAAGATGCATGAGCACAGAAAGGCTCACTCAACCTGAGTTCTGGAATCGGGAACCCTTGCCTAGCCTGTGCCTAGAGCACAGCAGTTCCTCAGCGAGTGCTCAGGAGTGCATGGAAAGGTTTACTGACGGTGTGCACTGAGAAGACCGGAGCACTGCCAGTGTCCTGGAGAGGACAGTGCTGTCCAAGAACACAGGAAAAGACAGGATTGAAGCATGGCAGGCTGTGGACACAGAACAGTGAGGGAGACCGCAGTGAGCGATGTCCACACACTTGCACACACGGGCCAAAACGCTTCATCCATCCAAGTAAAAAGAACTATCAAGAAAAATATCCAGAAAGGGAGAAAATAGCTCTTTGGAGTTTTTCTGAATAATTCTATTCTTCCTTTCTCCTTTGACTGTTTATTACTTTCTTCTTATTAGTGGATTTTCTCTGTTTTAGCCATTTAGAAGTTTAGTTATTTTTACTTCCAACTTTTCAGAGGGATGCACATAAATCTAATGAAAATAACATGCTAAACAGATTTCACTTGTTTCCATAAAACCATCCTAGTGGTTTTCAGTGCAGTTTGCTTATCTCAATTTTCCAACTGAATGAAGAAACAGGCACTGTTAATCTACATACTGCCACCCAGGGCTCTATTTCTGTTAGATCACTTGGGGAAGAAGTCATGTGCAATGCGAAGTGGTATGAAGAGTCTGAGAAGAGTGGGCCTCTGGAAGTCTGAGCAGCAGGACCACCCCTGAGGGAAGCGAAAGGTCTAGAACAGGTATTCTGAAAGTAAGTGCTCTTCCTTTCTAAAGGCTTCAGTCTATCTGTGCTGAGGTTGAGAAAAAGTGGTGTCAGGCTCTGGTAATGACTGATCATTCATAATTTCTTACCTGGAATGTTCTTTCATTGCAGAATTTAAACTTTTTGGATGATATACAAAGAAACAATGGCTACAATGGTTGGCATTTCAGACTGTGCTACATAAAGGAAGAGTGCTTTTCTCTTTTTTTGGTCTTTTTGAGACAGGGTCTCCCTGTAGCCTCAGCTGGCCTTGAACTCACAGAGATCCACCTGCCTCTGCCTCCTGAGTGCTGGGGTTAAAGGTGTGCACCACCATGCCTGGCAAGAGTGCTTTTCTTAAGTGCTGCTCATGGAGCTGACTGTAGCCTTGACAATGAGCTGAGGTCCACACAAGCATCTAGGTAGTCTGGAGGACCCCTTTCAGCAAAGCACCACTGCTGTACGTCAGAACTTGTGGCTGCTATTTGCATTTTGTGGAGCTCCAACTGAAGGCCAAGGAGCAGCACTATGTGGGAAGCTCCACCGTGGTTCAAATAAAGAAAAGTAGTGGCATAAATGCTGTTGCATATCACCGAAGTACAGACAAGCCAAACTCTAAAGAACTTGCTTGCAAAGTCATTCATGTAATAAGCAGTGAATGCCACTGTATGCCAGGCAATGCCTGGAGCTGGAGACACAGTGATAAACAAGTCAGACGATGTCCTTTTCCCCATTAAGTTGCGTTCAGTGGGGATGGGGAGACAGACAAAAAACCAAGCACTTACACATATGTCAACAGTGAAGGTGTTATGAAGGTAAGCAAAGAGGAGAGGACTGAGAACGATGGCGCTTCTGGCTTAGACATGGGGGACAGGGAAGAGATGTCTGAGCAGAGGCCTTACTGAAATGAGGAAGCCAACTGGGGTACATTTGGGGAGGCATGCAGGGAGAGGGAACAGCCTACATGAAGGTCCTGTGGTGAGAATAAGGCAGGTGATATCCCATTCCCACTACCAGCAGATACATGCCCAGCATCTTTACATACTACACTAACCTTAAACATGGTAGCTACACTAACCTGGACACGGGAGCTCAGGCCTGCAATCCAGCACTCAGGAGGATAAGGCAGGAGGGTCTCCAGGTCTAGGCTAGTCTGGGCTACACAGTGAGACCCTGTTTCAAAAAGCCAAAACTAATCAGCCAAACCCTAAAATCGCCCACCAATTAGCAATTAGTAGTAAATTAAATGGCATTTATTAAATTTGAGGGATATACTGTTACATTATTTTGACATGTTAAAGTAATATAGTATGGTTAAGAATAGCAACCCTGGTAATGATGAAGGACGTCACTATTGCTATCTTCAAAACCCTAAATATAAATCTAGCTTTCTATCGTAAAATTGAACACTGGTAATTTGGTATTAGTGAAACACTATCATACTGTGCTTTAAAATTGAATCTACTAACTGAATGGGTTCTGCTTGCATTTAAAATGTGAAACTGGGCTGGAGAGATGGCTCGGTGGTTAGGAGCACTGGCTGCTCTTGCAGAGGAGCTGGGTTTGATTCCCAGCACCCACAAGGCTGCTAACTGTCCATAACTCTAGTTTTGAGGAATTTGACACGTTCTTCTGGCTTCTGTGGGCACTGTACAGCATGGGTGCACTTACATACATTCAGGTAATAGATATATTCATAAACTAAAAATAAATATAAAATACTAAAAATAAAATGCAAAACTGATATGAGCTGTAAGTATGAAGAATTTACATGTATGGGTCTAACATATTTAAGTAATATCATTGCAAGAGACATTATCAAAACAAGGTTTGTGAAAACTCTTTGTTGACAGTGGACAACATATTAGCTGAGGCATACTCTTTGATGCTATGTTTAAGGCCTATTCCTTTCCCTTTCCTCTTTCAGTGGCCCCTTCCTCAAACTCCTGCAATGGTCTTGAGTTCTGTCTTACATTGCTTTTTCTATAAAGAATTAAATGAAGACTAAAATTCATTTTCCCTTTAAGATCTGCTTTCTTCAGCTTTCCATTTCAAAGAATTATGCCTACTCCCTACTTTTATTAAAATTTGTTGTTTTTCCATTGATACACATCAGTTTACGGATAAGGAAGGCCACACAGAGCTAAATAACTTGCCTATGACACATATTCCTTTTTTTTTTTTTTTTGGTCTTTTTGAGACAGGGTCTCCCCGTAGCCCCAGCTGTCCTGGAACTGACTATGTAGACCAGGCTGGCCTTGAACTCACAGAGATCTGCCTGCCTCTGCCTCTTGAGCACTGGGATTAAAGGTGTGCGCCACCATGCCCAGTGATACTCTTTTTAAAGACTTATTTATTATTGCTTTTAATTTTTGAATTTCATGTAGTGTATTTTGATATTTAGATTTCCTCCTCTATCTGTACCCTCCCTTTTTAACTCCCTACAAAATTTATATGTATTTATACACCACAGACACAGACACAGACACAGACACACACACACACACACACACACACACACACACACACACAACTTGTGTGGGAGCCTAGTCAAGCTACTAAGAGTTTCACCCTTGAATGGGACTGAATCTCTTCTTCCCAGTGGTCCTTGTTGCCTCAGGTGGGGTTGGAGTTTCCTGCCCATGTCCCATGTCTATGAGGGATTTTGTCTGAGCTTACTTGTGCATGCTGTCAGCACTGCTGTGTGTTCATATGAGTAAATGACCAGCTATCTGGAAAACTGTTTCCTGTGGTCACCCACCCTTCTGGCTCTTACAATTGCTTTACCTCCCCTTTTGCAAAGATCCCTGAGCCTTGGGAAGAAGAAATCTGACATAGGTGTCTTTTCAGGGACAGGTACTCTGCAGCCTCTTGTTCTCTGCGGGTTGGCCAGTTATGGCTCTCACTGTCTGCCGTATAGTATTTTTTCTTTTAAAAAGTTCTTATTTGGGGCTGGAGAGATGGCTCAGTGGTTAAGAACACTGGCTGTTCTTGCAGAAGACTCAGCTTCAAATCCCAATACCCATATGGCAGCTAACAACTGTCCGTAACTCCAGTTCCAGGGGATCTGACAGCCTTTTCTGACCTCTGCAGGCATTGCATCACAAGGGTGCACTTACCCACATGCAGGCAATACATGCATACACATAAAATAATAAACTAAAAAATAGTTCTTATTTATTCATTTATTTTTATTTATTTGTGTGTGTATTTATTTATTTATTTATTTTTGGTCTTTTTGAGACAGGGTCTCCCTGTAGCCCCAGCTGTCCTGAAACTCACTATGTAGACCAGGCTGTCCTTGAACTCACAGAGATCTGCCTGCCAAGGCCTCTGCGCCTTTATTTTTATGTGTCATGGCTTGTCTGCATGTATGTATTTGAGAACACCAAGTGCCAGCAGTGCCTATGAAGGACAGAAGAGGGCATCAGATCCCTGGAACGGGACAGTTGTTAGCCACGGTGTGGGTGCTGGGAACAGAAGCCAGGTCCTCTGCAAGAAGAGCCAGTGTTCTTAATCACTATCGCTCCAATCCTATTTTTAAAAATTCATTGATTTATTTTTATGTGTATGAGTGTTTTGCTCGCATATTATATAAGTGCATCCATGTTGTGTAATGCCCAGGGAGGCCAGAAGAACGCATTGGATCCCCTGGAAGTAGAGTTACAGATTGATGTTAGTCACCATGTGGGTGCTGGGAACTGAACCCAGGGTCCTCTGCAAGAGCAGTCAGTGCTTTTAACCACTGAGTCATCTCCCTCCAGCCCACTTCCTTGTTTTAGAGATAATATTTCCCATTACTGTAATCGGGGAGGCACCTCTGGTTAGTGCTTTTGGGTGAAGATGGTAACTTGTCCTAGCTGTGTATTTACACAGGTACCTGCTCTCACTGTGTGCCAGTCCAGCAGTCCCTCTCATCTGCACAATCCTATTAGATGTCTGCCTGGTGAGGGCTTCCCTGGCAATAATCCCCTGTGTGCCCCAAGGGCTGTCTGCCCCAGTCAATGCTTCTTTTCCCTTGGCTCACAAGGCACTCTCTCTCTCACTGAGCTGAGGCCATTGTTCTAGCTGCCCCTGCCTGTCTTGCACTAGTTGGTGCTTATCTGAAGGTGGGACCATACTATTCATTTCTGCATCCTAGAGCCAGGGTGAGAGGCATGGTAGAAGTTCAATCAGGTTTTGCTGTACTCTACTGAAATAAAAATGACATACCGGATAAGTTATTTCTTTAACTTGTTCTCGAGTCTCTCTGAAAGCAAACTGCACTAATAAGCCAACAGCTGCTGGAAGTTCTCCTTCAATGTTGAGCTTGGCTCCAGGTCTGTTGGTGTGGGCTGTGTGGAACAGCTGACGAGGGGTCTGTCCATAGGTTTTTATCATGGTTTCTAGAGCTCGTCTCTGCACTGGATCTTCAACTGCGGAGACATCCATTCCAAAGTATGTCTGCAGAGAAAAAGAGTGAAAGAACTTGGCATCTGCAGGATAATGTAAGACACAGCGTCAAAAGAAAATGTTGATTTTTAGCTAATGGTTTACTGAGTGCAAATGATTTAGAAATGTTTCTGATCAGGTTAACTACCACTAATGGTCTCACTGGCATCAGAATAGGAATAACCAATGTTTCTGAATGTATGAACCAAAATAATATATCTTGTTGTCTTCCTGGTTCTAAAAATGTGTTTATGAAATATTTAAAATTTAAGATCTGAGCTGGGCATGGTGGCACATGCCTTTAATCCTAGCACTTGGGAGGCAGAGGCAGGCAGACCTCTGGTGAGTTCCAGGCCAGCTGGGGCTACAGGGAAACTCTGTCTAAAAAAAAAAAAAAAAAAAAAAAAAAAATTTAAGACCTGAGAGATTTATGTAACGTCTCAAGTGAATTGCTTGTCCAAAGTGATATACAGGAAAAGGTAAACATGAAGTTACAGTGCAAAGTAGACAGGTTAAGTTCATAACGGATTATGAGTGAATGTGAAAAATCAGCAAGGATGGTTCCAGGGTGAGCTCTACTGAAATGCCACATTCTTTCCAGTGATTGTGCCTCTGTGAGTCTGCTGTTTGCCATGAGCACTCTCTTCTCTGTTTGAAAGTCATGTACGCAGAACTGCTGTATGTGCCGTTCATGCCCATGTGGACAGTCTAGCTTTTAGCATTTAATCAGTCACAGCAATCTTCACTTATATACCTAGATAGAACATTCCTGAAAGTGGCAAAATAAAATTTCTGAGACACTTCAGAAGTTAAATAGCCTTCATGATAATTGTCCTTTTTAAAGTACTAAAGTCCCTAAGACAGTGAAAAACATTCTAGTTAGATGAAAATTACCTTGTATAGTTCACTCTTTGGATACATCTAAGAATTACTGAAAACATGATACAAAATGATGGGCATAGAGCAGAATATAATGAGGTTAATGATTAAATTCCCAGTTGCTCTGAGAGTTGCATTTTAGAATCAAATATGAGTGCAGGTCAGAAATTATACCTGGACCCTTGTCTTTACTTTATATTCAATGGTGCTCATGACAGGCTACACACAAACATGATGCCTGGACACAAGAGCTGGAAGAATGTGAGGAAGGACACTGATCTTCCCCTTGAAGCTGCTCATAAAACCTAGAAATGGCTTTGGGACCTTCCCTGAAGTGGAGAGGAAGCCTCTCATGTCCCTCCACAGAGGAAAGCACCAGCCTCAGATCTGAAGATGGTGAAGGCACACACAGGACGGGAGGCAACAGGCCTGGCTATTCCCCACACACTGCTCTGCTGCTTTCATCCTGCCAAACTTTTCCATGACTCTGCACTCGCCACCAGCCCAGTGTAAACACCAACCACTTGTGGGGCATCATTTCCTTATGAAGGCTCTGGTATTCTGAAAGCTTGAATTAGGCAAGTGTGTATGCTTTTCTTTCTAATCTCTTTTGTTATGGAGTTCCAGACAATGAACCTAAGATGGGTAGAAGGAAAAAATATTTTTCCTCCTCTCCCTATTGCATTTATTGTAAAACTATTATTTGTGGTGAGACTGCCACTGGGATGGACGTGTTTCTCATGATCCGGCGCCATAAGACTACCATCTACATGGACACCATGGAGTCGAGCACCTTGTTCGAGCCGAAGTGCACTGCTGAGGGCATCCTCAAGCAGTGGCCCAACAAGCAGTGGCTGTACAAGGATGACCAGTTCCTTGATGACAGAAAAACTGGGAGAGTGCAGCTTCACCAGTCAGACAGCACAGCCACAGGGCCCAGCTACATTGGGCCTGGCCTTCTGAGCAGATGATGCCTCTGAAGCCCTGCGCGTTGAGCCCTTCTCCAGCCCTCTGGAGCTTCCAGATGTGATGAAGCCACAGAACCCTGGAGGCAGTGCCAATGAAGAGGCTGTGCAGTGAGGGCTCCGGGCCCAACCTGAGATCCATTCCCCCCAATAAAAAAAGATTTGGGTCTTAAAAAACAAAACAAACAAACAAAAAAAACCAACTCTATTATTTGTGAATGAAACAGTAATGCTCTCCTTAAAAAAAATTCCACACTTTAAAAACATGTATCTTCTATCAGAGCCATCAATAAAGCAGTTTTAATCTCCATTCTAGACTATAAATATAAATAATTCAATTTCCTACTACCTTGGAGGTATCAAAAATAATTACAGAGGAAAATACACTAAATAGAACTTTATCTTTAGACCACCTCTTGGGAGTGGATCTCTGCCATAGAGAAGCCTAGATACAGAGGAGCTCTATGGGTTCTGAGTGTGCACCTGGCTGTGTTTGCTATGAGCACCTGCAGATTTGCCCTCACCTACACAGAAGCACACCACTGGAGAGCAAGCCCAGGATCAATCTAATCCAGCTTGCTAACTGGATTGTTAGGGAGGCAACATTTCATGCGGTGGGTAACAGCTATCTGTTAGGTCTGCACTGAGCAGCCACTGGGCAGGGTCAGGAAACACCTCTCTCTTCCTGCTCTGCTTTTCTACAACCAGCTCACTGAAACACTCCTTTCACAGGCCTCACTGGAACTTTCCTAGCACATGTGATCAGGCCCATCCAATCCATCGGTGTTCTTCCTAGTCCTACTCACCCTAGTTACCTCTGTGCCCTGAGACCTAGAAAAATGAATGTTTCCTTGACAGACCTAGCCAACCACATAAAATAGTATATGTGGAAATGTAACCATTTTACTTCTAGGAAGTTATCTTAAAGAAATGAAGATGTACATAAAGAAAGGAACCTGAGATTGTCTTGGAGAACCCTAATACATAGTATCTAAGACATTTTTTTGGTCTTTTTGAGACAAGGTCTCCCTGTAGGCCCAGCTGGCCTGAAACTCACTGTATAGACCGGGCTGACCTCGCTATCAGAAAGATCCCCCACTGTCTCTGCCTCCCAAGTGCTGGGATTAAAGGCATGTGCCACCATACCTGGCGTATCTAAGACATTTTTAAAGAGATGAAGTATAGAGCCGAAAAGTCTTGGGTAACAGTAGTAATAGCTTCATGTAACTGTCAATTCTCTTTGATGACTTAGGTATTTTAAAGGAATAGCCTAAAGTCAGCCTTAAAATATTCAGGTTCTGACTTACATGTGTGCAGATTATTTTAAGAGAGTCACTTACAGCTGGATGGAAAACATTAATGGCTTGAACAGAAGCCTTTCCCTTTTGCTTGTACCCAAACACCAAGTCAATCCAGTGACAGATATTCTGGGACACGTGGTCAGACTCTAATGCCTGTCGGTGAATAAGGATGAACAGACGAGGATCGTTACGTGCCCATGGAGGAAGGTTGACGTGGTTAACCCGTTCACCATTCTGACGCACACCGAAGTCAAAACCTAAAGAAGATTAATACACATGTTTAACTCTGCCAAGGCAGGCTTCATTTAGCCCACACAGCAAGCCTTTTATGTTCTAGAAACAGGTGACCATGTATGACAGGCCTGAAAGGCTGAGAAATACCACTGCTCATCTACTTCCTTCTTTGCTGACAAGGCCAGGGGGATAAACAATACCCTGGGTACAGCTGGGACCCTTCAGCCTTACCCTCTGACCACTTTCTAATAGGATGAAGAAAAAGCAGGAATACAGTGTTCATGAATAATCAACCTTGTTGAATAGATATTTTTCTCTACAGAAAAGCTGACTACTATGAATATGAACAGGATAGAATATATATATATATATATGCACATATATATAAAGTTTTCTACATGCCTCTTGATTGTTAATATAGTAAGAAGGATCTTCAATTTAGAAGCATTTTGTAATGAATGATATGATACAAAATATAAATGGAAGGTATGTTTAAGATTTACATGAAGTGGGGCTAGAGGGTTGTGAGAGCACTGGCTGTTCCTGCAGAAGACCTAGGTTTGATTCCCAGCACCCACATGGTGGCTAACAACCACCTTTAACTCCATTTCCAGGGGAATTCAATGCTTTTCTGGCCTCCATGGGCATTGCATGACAAGGTACACTCACACACATGCAGACAATATACTCATATACATATAACAGAAAAAGTAAAACATTAAAAAGGATTTTCATGAGGTGGAGACAGGCATCTCAGGGTCTCTTCAGTGTCCTGGAGAACAGAGCTGGGCTGGGCAGGAGGACCTGATTTATTTAATGATGATTGGAGAGGGGCCATAAACACAGTCATTCCTAACTTTCAGGTACCAGGGCACATGCAAAGTAGGCACTTATTACTCAGAACAGATGACTGAGGGATACTGAGGGGAATGCTGATAGGAAAGAGATGAGGTACACTATAGGAAACCCTAGCTTCAGAAAGTGGCTGTAATATTTCCTTTCTAGTGCACTTTTCTGGGTCTTGCAACCCCATCATCAAGCCTGTGTGTCTTCAATATATATCTGGATGGCTCCAGATGAGCAAGAGGCAAAGGAATGGATGCTGTGTTTGCCAAGGTTAGGTTAGAAGAGGCCATTCAGTTTTTGCCCATCTCTTTCAAGACATTTGCCTTTGGATCCCGAGTGGCCAAGTAGGATACGAGAAAGCACAAACTAGTATTCCTAGAAAAACAAAGACAGACTTAAAGGATCTGTGGCTCTATTCCTCCCCACTCCCCCACCCCCAGCTGCTCCAGCTCTGAATGCAACTGCAGGACAGACCCTGAGCCAAGGCTACTTGGTTGAACTAGGCCTGAGTCTCTGACCTGCAAAAACTGTGATAAATAATAAATTAACTGTTGCTTTGAGTCACTAAGTGTTGCAATGATGTATCATATAGTCATAGGTAACAGGAACACATATCAGAGACTAGAGACAGAGCAAACAGCCAGTAGATTTAAATGAGTTCCAAATTGCAAGCCACATGTGGGTGAGTCCCTCAAGTTGCATGTGCTGATATGTGGTGGAGGTATTTTCATATTAGTACTGTGCACTGACTGAGCTATTGACCTCCAGACTGAGGAGTTTTCAGATGAGTAACATGGTGAAACAGCTCCAGGGTAACAAGCAGTATGAGTGCATTAATGTTCTCCAAATAGCTCTAGATGCTAGTTAGCATACAGTAAGATTCTAAGGTAATTTGTGTAACACTAACTTGCTTAAAGATATGTCTCCATTTCATATATCCCTAAAAGTCACATGGAAAACAAGAAATTAAGGAAAACCCAAAGGTTCTCTCACAAAGTTAACTAGAACGTCTGTTAAAGAACAGGCAAGGATGGTCAAGTTCACTGATCACTGGCATCACAGAGCACTGAGATTTTAGCCTCTAGGATCTCTTTCTCCTTTTGCTTATCAGATGATTCTGCTTAGAGTTCTCTCTCTCTCTCTTTCTCTCTTCCTCCCAATTACAGTCATATATAGCCATCCCTAGTTTATACAGTGGTAGGGATCAAACCCAGGGTTTTGTGTGTGTTGTATAAACACTCTACCAAGTGAGTCACATCTCCAGCCCCCAAATGTTTTATTTCTATCTCTGACTTCTTCATAGAATCATTCAAATTTTGGTTAATTTACATTTTGCTTTTAATGAAGTCATGACTTTAAAATATTATTTTTATGTGTATGAGTGTACTGCCTGCATGTCATGCAATGTTGGAAGAGATCAGAAAAGGGTGTTGGATCCCCTGGAACTGGAGTTATGGATAGTTGTTAGCAGCCATGCGGGTGTTGGGAATTGAACCCGGGTCCTCTGCAAGAGAAGCCAGTGCTTTTAACTGCTAGGCCATATCTCTCCAGCCCCAACTCATGACTTTAAAAATGAAAATAAGTTTTGCAAATAGAAAAATGAATTTGTGTGTAATAAAATTAAAATACATGTTTATAAATAATTTAAATAGTTAAAATACAGCTCTCCACCTTTAATCCCAGCACTTAGGAGGCAGAGGCAGGTGGATCTCTGTGAGTTCAAGGCCAGCCTGGTCTACATAGTGAGTTCCAGGACAGCTGGGGCTACAGGGTGACCCTGTCTCAAAAAAAACAACAACCACCCCCCCCAAAACAGTTCTCCAAATGCATTTAATTCTATAAAATACTAGAAACCCTCAAGCTACATGCAAATAAAATCACACATTTAATGAAGTGAATCTCTTTTACATAGGAATTCAAATTTCGGGTCTTAGAAAAGATATTTTTACTTCTAGAAAATTATACCCTGTTGCATACCCTCGGGAATACATAACAAAGAATCTGCTGTGTACCTTCACGGTTAACTAGGAACTCAGGAAGATAGAAAAACTCTGGGATCAGCTCCTTCACATCGGTCATGGATTCAAAGGACGAGAGGCGCCAAGTTGTATTTGTAGAATGAAAAGTTCTGTCTGGAATGTCGAAACTCTGATCTACAAAGAAATCACATGATACAATGAAGATACAAAGATGGAACTAAACCTGAAGCCTCTGATAACGTGCTACTTCAAAATGGTTCAAATAATAGTCATTTGGGTTTAAGAAATTATTTAAATTCAAGGCTGGAGAGATGGTTCAGCAGTTAAGAGCACTGGCTGCACGTTCAGAGGACCCAGGTTTGGTTCCCAGCACTCACATGGTAGTTAACAACTGTCTGCAATCCCAGGTCCAGGGGATCTGACATCCTGTTCTAGATTCTGCAGGCACTGCATGCACATAGTGCACTTACATACATGGAGACAAAACAGTTATATACAGATAGCAAAAATCAATACATTTAAATGTTTAAAAGGGATTATTCAAATATTGAAATCACATCATTCTCATCTACATCATGCTTTCATCATGCAGATGAACACGAGTTTCCATCATCCACTTGTGTCCTGGCTGCTTTCCACAATAGGGTCCAGGCCACCCACACCTGCACAAAGAGGGCACACAATGACTTTTCTACTTCAATGAGTGCATAATAAAAGAAGGAAATTTACGGGTAAGGTGATGTCTCAGTTGGCAAAGTGTCCACTCCACAAGATTAAGGACATGAGTTTGACCCCCAGCATGCATGTAAAAGCCAGGCAGCACTGTGGGGAGAGGCAAAGATTCCTAGAGCTCGCTGGCCAACCAGCCTAGCTGAACTGATGAGCTATAAGTTCACTGAGAGACTTTGTCTTAAAAAAATAAGGTGTGGAGCAGTTGAGGAGGACACCTGTTGGTGATCTCTGGCTTCCACATGCATACACACACACAACCATGTGAACACATGCATAGAATACACACACAGAAAGAAGAAAGAAAGAAAGAAGGAAAGAAAAGAAAGAAGGAAAGGAAGGAAGGAAAAAAAGGAAGGAAGGCAGGAAGGGAAGAAAGAAGGAAATTGATTAAAGTTTGGTACATGGTTCTTTTCTTCACCAGGAAGCAAAATTATACTTTGACTGTTGAGACATTTTTTTCTCCTTTTTTTTTTTTAAAAACAGTGAGGCCACTGCTTTTGTTTTGTTTTTGAGACTAAATATCCCTGGCTGTCCTGGGTCACCACATAGACCAGCCTGGCTTCACATATATAGAGATCTACCTGCCTCTGCCTCCTGAGTGCTGGAATTAAACTTGTGGGCCACCACACCCGGCCTCCATTGCTTTTTTAATGAAATAGTTTAGCGTATGAAATAATAGACTCACTACACTTTCATACTGTACTTCTCTCCCATCTACCTCCCTCCCCTCTCCAACCCCTCCTTTCTCATTCCCATTCCCATTCCTGTTCACCCCACAGCCCTCTGCAGAGAACCCCTCTGCCTTCATGCTGCATGTTTTTAAATCTCACATGTGAGGAAAACTTGTGATACTGTCTTTACTTGTCCCCCCCATCTCCCTCCCTTTAGGCTCCTTCCTCCCCTTACACAGGTCTCTTCTATTTTAGTGCTATGTATACATACACACACACACACACACACACACACACACACACACACACACACACACACACGCCCCTAGATTTTGCACATGCATGAAAATAGGTAATACTGCTGTTTACATGTGCCAACTCTAAGCTCAAGCATTAAGTAACACCTCTATGAATTAATATAAACCCAAGTGTAGTCACTCTTGTGCTTTTTTTTTTTTTACTGGTGTGTAGACTAGTAATGAATGATCAAGAATTGAGTTTTGTTCCTGTTTTTTTCTGTAACAATTACCAGACTTTGCAGCCCTAGGGCAGGCCTGGAATATCAGATGACATCCAAGGCCAGCCCCCGAGAATAGCAGCAGGGTGCATGGGTCCTAGGGACCATGCTGTGCTGTCTAAAATGCCTCTGCACTTGCTGGGACCTGGGAACATCCTCTCCTGTGGAGACTCAAAACTAATCTCAGTGTCAAATGCAGCAGTTTCACAAAGATGAGCTCCTTTCTTCTCTAAGCCCAGCTGCTCTACTGAGCAGCACTCTCCACTAGTTCAATCTCTCTCATCTATTGCACTGGGTCAATTAGCGCTGGCTGGACAGTGAATCAAAGCCAGGAAAGAATAAGGTCTATAATTTTTTTCCCCAAAAGGACAGCCAGGCCATCATGGAGTTTTGACATCTAGAGCTCAGACTAAGCAAAAGAATCATACGACAGGGTCTGTTCAGATTGTAAGATTTGCTGTAATTTCCATTTTTTTTTTTTTTAAAAAAAGGACTTCTGAAAATCTCTAGAATCTACTCTATACACACATTACATCAGTTGGTTCTCAATGGGTAGCACGTTTGCCCTCCAGGGGTTAACTGGTATGGATGGATTCAGTTTTGGTTGGCACAATGTGGAGTAGGGTTGATGTACCACTGGCATTAGTGGGAAGAGGCCAGAGATGCTGCTAAAATGTCCTACAATGCACAGGGCAGCCCCTGTGACAAAATATATGTAGCTCAAAGTGACTAGTGCTAAGGTTGAGAATTCCTCAACTAAACCATAGGCTAAGAAATAAATTCAAAGCCAACAAATAATTTCAGACTAATGAGATGAAAGCAAGTAAAGATAAAGGATGCATCAGGGCTTAAATAATCTATGTACAAAGCTCAGTGGGAGGTCTGGCAGTGCACAACTCTAATCCCAGCACTTGGGAGGTGGAGGCAGGAGGACAAGGAAGGCCAGCCTAGGCTACATGAGGTTCTGTCTCAAAACAAGCACCACCACCACAACCTCCAGGTTCAGTGAGACCCTGTCTCCAAGGAGTAAGGTGGAACGTGATAGAGCAGGATGCCCAAGTCTTCCTCTGGCTTCTGCAGGCACACGTACACACCACCACAGATAGACAGACACACAGACACACACACACAGACACACACACACACAGATAGTGGACAGTCATCATGTGGGACATTTACTCTGGGAACTTACAGGGGCAAATACAAAAAAGCCCCTTTTATAGACTAAGCAGAGGGAACAGAAATTCATTCCTGGGAGAGGCTGCACATGAATGAAAGATGTAAGGAAGTCCAAGAAGGGTTGCGTAAGCCAAATGGATAGTGATTCCCTAAATGGGTGTCATGAGAACAACTACAGAGTCAACACCTCAGTTCTCACTAGGCAGTGACAGAGTTTGTCCTTCCTAGCGCACAGTAAAGTCCTTCCGAAGCATCTTTAGACTGCAGGCTGCCATGTAAGACACTGGGCTAGAAGATTACTAAGGAGCAGTCACTACAGTGACGGCACCACTGTGCTCTCTATTAACTAGTGAGATGTAACAACACACTCTCCTCTCCTACAACAGACGTTTTGAACAAAGAATGTACACAAACTGCAAAGGTGAGTTGAATACAATTTAATTAGCAAATTTTGCAGTTTATGGATTATATATTAATTTTTAAAAAGTGAATTGTGTTTTTATAAACTTAAACATGCACTGAAGCTAAAAGAGACAACAGCAAGATAATCTGACTGACTACCACTTTTTGAAGAGGAATTTAGGTGAAGGGTTAGGTAGAACTGTTTTTCCTGCACTGATTAGTGGAAATTTTAAGTAGCAAGTTGCTTTAAATTTAATTTTTTTTTTTTTTTTTGAGACAGGGTCTTCCTGTAGCCCTGGCTGTCCTGGAACTCACTATGTAGACCAGGCTGGACTTGTACTCACAGAGATCCGCCTGCCTCTGCCTCCTGAGTGCTGGGATAAAAGGTATGCATCATTACACCTGGCAATTGAGTTTTAAAATTTAATTTTTTAATTTTATGTGTATGAGTATATTGCCTGTACGTACGTAAGTGCATCTGTGTTGTGCAGTACCCGTAGAGAACAGAAGAATGTGTCTTATTCCCCTGGAACTGGAGTTATAGACAGCTGTTAGCTGCCATGTGGATGCTGGGAATTGAACTTAGGTCCTCTGGAAGAGCAGTCAGTGCTCTTAACAGCTGAGTCACCTCTCCAGCCCCTGAGTTTTTTTTGGTTTTAATGACTCAGTGTCGTTTTGGGGATAGTTACAAAAGACACCCTTACCTTGGTAAGCTAGAAACATTTTAGTGAAAGGAGGCATCCTGACCAGGAAGTGGAGCACTGTGCCACTGTTGGAGTAGTGGGAGCCATAGTGGTAGGGCTGCACAGGAGGCATGGGGTCATCCTCCCGGGCCCCTTTTCGGTACTCTTCTTCCAAGTACTGTGGAACACAGAACAGAATTCACGGCTGTGTGCTTCTCTAGGAGTGGAAATGCAATAGGAATCTAAGACATCACAGTCTCAGCATTAGTACAGTGCTGTATGGTGGTTTGGCAGGGCAGGTACAACGAGTTAAAAAGAAAGTGATGATCCTTCCGTGCTCCAATCGTCCTACCAGAAAGGAGGGGGCTCAGCCATGCTCCCGTCCCACCTGTCTCTATGTTTATCTTTGTAGCTCTGTCAGCCTGGTAACAAAGTTGGGTGCAGGGAATTTTCAAATCATTTCTTGACTCTCATAGACTGATGGGGCATATATGAGAAAACTTTCTGCTGTTCCTATCAGTATACTATTGTGAAGAACGCACTGTGTGGTGAAGTTTTGGAGTTTCCAATAGAATTCTGTTACTATTAATATTACAGAGGTAGGTAATTTCTATTTCAACAGGCAATCTCACTTCTATTGAAAAACGCACAATTTTCTGAATATGACTAGTACATGTTACAGTACAAATACATCTATATTCAGCATATAGTAAACTAACTTTACAAAATGAATGTATAAATATTATAGAAATATCAATATCATATATCATATAATATAAAAAACAATTGGGAGCATGAATGGGTCACTGGAAATCTGTGATTTTTATAAGACACATAATTATTATGCATTTAAAAATGGATTAGTTAAGTTTTCAATTTATGCCACAATAAAGGTATACTTTTTTATTCTTGGTGCTTGTAGAGAATTAAGACAAAAATGATTTTCACTTTCATATAATAACTTCTAGTTGTTAATTAAAGTGCAAGGAAACAAAAACAGAAAAATAAACCACAACTTTAAAATTAGGTTAAGCTTAAGTCCATAAAGCAAAATTCCATTTTTCATGTATCAAGGTGTTAATGGAAGTAGAGGTACCTTGTATGTATCAACGTAGCGGTCTTCTTTTTCTTTGTACTGCACAGCTATTGGCTTAGAGAGATTTCTATAGAGGAAGACATGATAGAAAGTAAGAATAATCTGATGTTGTTAGAATTAAGTTGCTCATGTCTTCATCCTGTAAACAAGTGATCAACAAAACATGTAGCCCTCAGCTTACTGCTTACCCATGTTACTTTGCAACCAACAGTACGATTCAAAATTGAGTGCTCATAAATTCTTATAGAAATGATGGTACAGATCTGCACCTACATTGGGAAGTCCTGATTCCTGTTGGGTGATGTGGTCATGCAGTGTAACGCAAGTGTGCATGCATATGAACATGTTAGTACCAGTGTTCCTGCTATGAATATCACATACCATTGGAGGGGAAAGCATGCAAGGGAACATGTCCTCACTTTTACCCACTACAGAACCTTTTGGCACCCTGTGTGGTGCTTAAAAGGAGAAATAGCGCTGGCACGAGGGACAGTTTGCCAACATCTGACAACATCAATTCAAAATCTGACACTGCATCTCTACCAACAGCAAGATTTGCCCATGGTTCAGTAACTCATACCTAGTCTTCCTGTTCAGATATTAATATTTTTTTGTTTCTTTTTTGACACAAGGCCTCAATATGTAGCCCAAGCTAACTTTAAACTCACTTTGTAGTCAAGTGTAGATTCCATGGGCCTTGGTCTCCCTTGTGCTGGGAGGCTCTAACATGTAACGATGTATTCAAACCTATGTTGGGCCTTCAAGCTGTTTCTAATTTTAGCTACTTTGAAAACAATGACTTGAGGACCGCAGCTCCTGCTAAATCTGTGCACACAGTGCTAGACACCACAGCAAGGAAGCAACAAGCAAGTCCCTGCCCTCATGAAACTTAACTGCTAGCCAAGTAGAACCTTGTGGTTGAGCACATGTTCCTTGATGTTCCCAAGAAAATTCATGGATACTAACTTGCTATACAGAGTACTGAGGATCTAACATTTTTAAAAAAAATACATTTTTGTGCATATTTGAAATTTTTCAAAGTAAAAACCTCAGTGGCATAAATATAACATGCAGATGAACCCAAAAGATGGCAACAGTTTTACTTGCCTATAGATGAATGGATCACTGAGGTCGAGAGTCTCACTAACATAGTCAGAGAGGATGAAGGGGAACACGGGGTACTGCATGAGATCATTGAAGGATCGGCCAGCATGCTTGTTTAAATGAGTCAAATATTCAAAATTGGTAATTTGTCCAGTGTACCACAGATTTGTCAGAGCAGTGATGTTGCCATACTCTAGAAGATTTGGGAGGTTATTTGTGAGAATGTTCTGGTACACATCATCGCGAACCTAAAAGGGAAGGAGATTAAAAAAAAGACCAAATATTTTGAGTCTTATTGATACTTCACCAGAGAAGCAGGACATTGCAGGCATGTTACTAATCTTAACTCTTCTAAGAAAATTGCAGTAAGCAGAGGAGAACCAAGATTCGACTGCAGCTTCTCTGCAGAGGCAGGCTCTCAGTCATGAGCTTGCTGCTGGGGAAATCTGCTGGTGAGATTATCTGGTAGTCATTTCTACATCATCTGCTTATAATTTCCAGGGAAAGTTATACACAGAAGTCACTTATACACAGATACTTAGAAAAATCAATGAAGGAAAAGGAAGGGTTCAGCATAGAGGACTACAAAGAGCATGGGGCTCTGTGCTGATGGTCTGATTGGATCAGAACAGATTTGGTCTGTGTTCCTGATGAACCCTTTCTGCTGTTACTACATCTGTAATAAGGGGGTGATAATGTTTATCCACAAGAATTAAATAAAATATCCTATGCAAATAGTCCCACTACTGACTCAAAACATTGAAATTTTCTCCTTCCTTCCTTCTATCCCTCCCTCTCTCCCTCTGAGTATGTGTGTGTGTGTGTGTGTGTGTGTGTGTGTGTGTGTGTGTGTTTGTGTGTGTGTGTATCTGTCTCTCTCATAGTTCTTGGGATTGAACCCAGGGCCTTGTGCATGCCAGTCAAACATTCTACCATGAAGGTATATCCCAACTCCATATAAATTCTTTTTTAAGGATTCACAAAAGTTCTGTCACAGAAAAAGGGTATTATGATTCTTCCAAAACAATTAAATGGCCACTGATAATAAATGAAAACCCAAAACAAACAAACCAAGCTCTTGCTAATGAGATTTGAAAGACTAATCTCAAAGTCTGTATGTGCAGGCACAGGAAGAAAAACCCCTTGGGGAGAAAGTGGGAGATGGGGCTGACAAGAAGACAATAGAGCTAGTTACAGAACAGACAGAAAGGCAGTGCTGAACCACCCCAACTGTTACCCAGATTCAAAGGTTGCCAAATGCTGGAGCTAAGCTGGATGGACAGAGTTTGTAACAGCATACACCAGACTCTGGAAGGAAAGCTGTCATTCACACAGCACTTACTGATATCTACATGTCAGCAGTGTTCAAGATGCAGGCTGTAGAGCCCCAGCAAAGGCAGGTCTTGAGGGTCTGCCAGGAGAGGCACAGTGGGGGGGCTTAGCCTTTCTCCTTGTGGAGAAAAAGAGAGTACAATAAAGGTGGCAGGGGTTCTGGGCAAGGGCTTTGTATAGTCAGGGCCACAAGGAAGGAGATGCTGTTCTGTATGGTAAGGGAACGTCTACAGAGGAGACATTTGATCAAGGAAACTGAAAAAAGTAAGTCAATCATCTGGAATTCTCAGGAGACTCCACACAGCAGTCCGGCAGCATTGCTGTGTCTGACACACTGAAGAAGTCACCGGCACTGAGTGGAAGGAGTAAGGGAGAGAACGGTAAGTGAAGTCAGAGGTAATAATATGCCTGAGCGCTTGCGGCTTTAGTAAAGGCTCTTATGAGAGCTTTGGCTTTTAGTGAGTGACATGGGAAGTGGCTAGAGAGTTTTGACTGAAGAAATGAAACAGACTGAAGGTGTGAGGTGTGGAAGCAGTGGGGTCAGTTAGAAGGCTGCTAGAAATGCTTTAGGTGGAGGATGGTAGGTCAGAGAAGGGTTGTAACGGTGCAAGCAGTCAGGTCCTGAGTTGTGCTCTGATGGAGCAGGCATGAACGATGAGTGAACTGCAAGAGCCTAAGGAAACCTCAAAGTTCTTGGCTTGGGCACCAAAGAGATGGAGGTTCCCTTTATTAGAAAGGGGAAACACTGGAGGGAGATTTTCAGGGAGAATCTCAATCTCAAGTTCAGTTTGATACATATATTTTTTTAATTTAAAAATATTTATTTTTGTTTTGTGAATGAGTGTTTGCCTATATGTATGCATACCCTTGTGTGTGCTTGGTGCCCATGGAGGCAAAAAGAGGGCATGAAATCCCCTGGAACTGGGGTTACAGATGGTTGTGAGTCACCATGTGGATGCTGGGAATTGAACCTGGATCTCTTGCAAGAGCAGCAAGTGTTCTTAACCATAAGCCAGCTCTCCAGTTCCCAATACATATGAAGTTTGAGATGTCAACTGGCATCTCCAAATAGAGATGACAAGTCAAGGTCACGTATGTGTGTTCACTGTGCAGGGGTGAGGTCTGGGCATTGACGTAGAACTGAAAGTTGTAGGATACAAATGGCATTTGAAAGCCACAAGATGGATGAGAAGAAGTCTGAGGAATGAGCCTGAGATGTCCAGGAAAGATCTACAAACATGCTGAGGGGAAGGGTGGTGAGGAAAAATGGAAACTCAGGATCCAGAAAGGAAGGCATCACGAGTGGGAAGAGGCCAGTCAGCATGTTAGACACTGTTCAGGTGACAAGTGAGGTGAACACCATAGAGTCAGCTATGGAGTCCCTGGTGGCACAGCCAGAGTGACCAAAAGAGCTGAAAGGGCTACGGGGAGGAGCTGGAGACAGCCTCCTGGCTGACAATGTTCCCCAGGGCTTTTCACAGGAAGGCAGGATTATGTGCCATGAGCTAGCTTGTCAAAGGTGGACCACAGCCCTGGGCAAGTGCTAACTGCTCCTTTCCTTCACTTCAGCGGATTTAAGAGCATTTTAGGGGTGGGAAAGCATTTTCATGGAAGGCCTGCTCAACAGGAAGGAGTCCATGCCTGACACTGTAAACCTACCAAATACCATGGCTTGAGGTCACAGACCCTAGAGGAGAACCTACTACTGCCAATTCTCTCAACCCATACAATTTCTGTTTTCTACAAATGTGACCCTAAGTCCACAGAGAAATATAGCTCTTATCCCTTCTCAGAGAAGCTTCTTTTTGCAACAGATGGAGATGATTACAAAGAGCCACAACTGGTCAAAATGCAGAGAGTAAGTGACCATGGTATGCCCAGCCCAAACTGATATATCCAAAATGCAACCCCTACACCTAAGGTTCAGGGCACACTGCAGAAGAGGGACCCGAAAGATTTTAAGGGCCAGAGGATGTCTGCCACTAGAGTCTCTTCCAGGTAAGACAGGGAAGCTTCATCCATGCAATCTCAACAATATAGTTGCCTAAACAAGACCTACATAATGACACCACCAGCTGACAAGCCACCTTGGATGGAGGAGATTTCACAAGGTCACAGCTCTGGACAAACAGCTATAGGCAATTACCAGTGGCTGAGTGAGGGAGTTTTCTCCAGGGAGAGCTCCCTGATAGGTTACCCAATCACAAGTGGTCAGCCCTAAACATATGTACATACTAGCCCCACTACATGAACTCAGTAGGTTTATATGTACACAGATACACATGTAACATCAAATAAAGAAGCTGTCAGGATATTGAGAGAGAAAAGGAGACGAGGGGGCAAGGAAGGGATGGAAATGGTGTACACATAGTACTCACATATGAATTCTCTAAATAAAAATTTACATTAAAAAACAAAAATTAAGAAATAAGGCAAACTTTTTATGATTCCAGAATAGTGATTTAGGGTTTAAGAAAATTAATCTTCACATATTCAGTAGCATCACTGGTCACATGAAAATTCCACATATTTATTTAATAATGGTGGATTCACCTTAGTGTTGTCAAATGCTAATAGGAGTGTTCTGCCGTTTGTTAAAAAAATTTCTACAGCATTATCTCTCAGCTGCCACCAGCGCCTGTGAACTTCTTTGATTTCCTCATATGTCCAGGAAAATGATGCTGGTTCTAACTCACCCTGAAGGCTCTAAGACAAAGGAAATAAAAGTATCTGCATTAAATGAAACTGATTATTCTGGGTTTAAGTCACTTCTAAGTAAAATAGACACCGATCTTTCCTCTATGGCAAAATGGTAGCTAAGACTATCTGGAAGCCTCCCACCTCAAAACACTTTGTATGCAGGACAAGGAATAAAAAACAATTAAGATTATTTTTAGGCCAGCTTTAGATTTACAGAAAATTGAGCAGTTTTATCCTATAAAATGTGTGAAGAGTCTTCTCCGTTATTTTTCTGATTATTACCAGTATGTTTAGAAGAATATGTTACCACTACTCAAATATGTGAATATCAGAATGACAGACGATTCCCTTTCTTTTTGAGGGCAATGGTGCTTGACTGGGAACTGGGCGTGGCAGGGAGCAGGTGTTTCTTGCTGCTGAGGACAGTGATGAGAAAGAATGACATGAACTGAACCAACAGGAGTGCGTTAGAACTGGATTCATAACTGTAATTGCTGAAGCCCTGGCCAAAGTAAGAGGAGATGGCAATCTTCCTTTCAAAACGATCTTTTAAAAAAGAGGTTGGAATTCAGACTAGTCTACACACAAAGTGATGATGAGGCTTCTCACTGAACTGGACTTAGATGGTTTTGAAAACTGTCTAGGTTCAAGCACAAATGTCAGCGTCCACTCACCGAACTTTCAACTGTATCAGAAGCATTGTCTTCCACAAAATACATTCCACATTTACCTGCAGGAAGGAGGTGGACAGAACAGTTTGAAAGTGAGTGTGCACTGTTACCAAACGTGGTGAAAGGTAGGGTCTCTAAAGTCTTTTGCTTGAGTTTGAATATCAGCAGCTAGAAACAGTTTCACACACTCAGTACATATTTTTAAATAGTATCCATCAGAGTTGCATAATCTCTCTGTGCCTTTGGTTCCTTATTTTTTAAAAAGGAAGCAGTTCAATTTCCAAATTACTGCAAAAATAAAATTAGAATATATATAAATGCTTATCAATAGTGTCTAGCTACTGGCTATTTATGTCACCATTATACTTTTTAAAATTTTAAAAATATTTTATTTTTATTTTATGTGTATGAGTTTATTGCCTGCATGTATGTAAGTATACCCATGTTATGCAATGCCCATGGAGGCCAGAAAAGGGCATAGGATTACCCTGGAACTGGAGTTATGGGCACTTATTAGTTGCCATGTAGGTGCTGGGAATTGAACCCAGGTCCTCTGCAAGAACAGCCAGTGCTCTTAACTGCTGAGTCATCTCTCCAGACCCTACTCTCTGTTTTTTTAAAAGAAATATTATTTTTATTTTGTGTGTAGGAGTATGTTGTCTGCATGTATTAGTACACCTGTGTAGTGCAGTGCCTGCAGAGGTCAGAAGAAGGTGTCAGATCCCCTGGAACTGGAGTTACAGATGTTGTTAGCCTCCATGTGGGTATTGGGAATCGAACCCGGATCCTCTGCAAGAGCAGTCAGTGCTCTTAACCACTGAGCCAGTCTTCAGCCCCACTCTTACTCTTCTTATAGTATAAGTACATTGCTTTGCTTTAACTGTTCACTTACTGAAGTCAAGTAGCAAACCAAGGTTTCTAGCAAAAGAGAATTAATAATAATCCTTAATTATTTTCTGACTGAGACATTCAAGAGAACAAGACAGTTCTGTTTTTTTTCTAGCATTGCACACTGACTGCTGCTAACACAGTCATGTCCCTGTATCATGTTTCCCAATGTTAGGAACTTCCCAGGGGCTCTACCACCTGTGTGTGTGTCATCTTTGAGTGCTGGGTGGATCATTAAGCTCTGGTCTACTTGGCTCAATAATGCCATCCTGGGGTCATGGGACTCAGTCCCAGCAAGTCTGAAGCTCCACACCCTGGACCCTGGGGGCTGCAGCTAGAGCAGTGGCTCTCAATCTGAGGGTGCATCAGAAAGTCTGGTCAAAACAGACTCCTCCCTCCAGAGCTCAAGACTCAGGAAGGCCTGGGCTGGGACCCAAGGTTGTACAGGTCTGAGAAGCTCCCATGTGAAGCTGATGCTGCTGATGCAGAGCATTCGAGGGCTACTGGCCTAAAACATAAGAAATGGAGACCAAGTGGTGCAATTATTACTTTATGTTGTGAAGAAAAAAAAAACACCCTACTAAATGTGGCTATGCAGGTGTTCATGGAATGATAATCCTGGTCCTTCTCTCTGAAGCACAATAAGGAATATAAATTAGGACAATCAAGGTAGATATATTTCTTATATATAGTTATATCTGTTACAATAGCAAAGATAGATTAGGTGGTGCATGCCTTTAATCCCTGTACTCAGGAGGCAGAGGCAGACAGATTCCTGTGAGTTTGAAGCCAGTCTGTTCTACATAGAGTTCCAGATCAGCTGGGGTTAAATAGTGAGACCCTATCTCAAAAAAATATACACAAATATATTTTATATTTATATATTTATATATAAATATATGTAAGTATATATTTATATATGTATAAAATCATACCAAACCAATATGTTTTTACTTGAAAAAAATCCAAATTACATGTAGTAAAAGGAATGATTATGTCTAAAACATATACTCAAAGTCAGCTATGAAAATTAAAATCGTTATCCTGGCATGTTTTCGGGTCTCCTGACCACAGTGCCCCTGCTTACCTTGCTTGTGGTTTTGTTTTTGAGGCTTCAATTACTTGTGGTCAACCATGGTCTGAAAACATGTAGTGGAAAAATTTCAAAACTAAATATATTTAAAAATTTAAATACTCTATGGAAACCCTGTACTGCCCTGCTCATCCTACCTGCAATAGGAATCATCCCTTTGGGCAGTGTATCCAGTGTGCACACTGCCTGTCCATCAGTCCCTTAGCCACTGTCTCAGTCAGCAGAATGGCTGTTGCAGTATTACACAGCTTATGATCAAATAACCCTGATCTGACTTTAACAATGACCCCACAGTGTAGGAGCAGTGATGCTGGCAACTCACAGGTGCCAAGAGAAGGGACAATCAATTATTCTGAGAACACTCATATTGACAGGACTTTTATGGAAAGGTATAGATTGTTATGTTATTCTACTAGGTATTGTTGTTAATCTCTTTCTGTAGCTAACTGTAAGTTAAACTTTATCATGGTGTGCATATGTGGGAAAAAAGACCACATGTAGGATTTGGTACCATCTGTGCTTTTAGGCATCCACATGGCCACTGTGATAAGGAGAGCTATTATCTTTATAATGTCAAAGCAAAATAGCCTGTGTTAACATCTCTGTGTCAGAAAACACTTCAAATTATCTAAGAATAAGGAAGGGTGAACATGAGTGAACTTTCTTGGAACCGACTTACCCAACAACAGTTCACCAGCTGTCTCTCTAGATGGTGCAACGCTGATACATCTTCGATTTACTCTGTCAAAACATATTTGAAATTTCTATGATTAAATGTTTTGTACAATTTTAGACTCCCAAGCTTTTTCATCTAGTAAAATATTAAAGCAAAGTAGTCTAGAGTTTTAGTAGCATGAGTTGGTGTGTCAAAACCTATGATGATCCCGTGCTGTTTATACAGCACTCAGCAGAGGAGAACATGGTGGAAATCTTTAGGGAAGGCTAAGGATCCCTTCAACTTGCATGCAGATATATGGATTTGCCTTCCTAACAAACATCAATGTTTTATATTTCCAGTAAGCAAATAGTCATTGTTTTAGGTCATTAATACTTCGGTATGTGGAAGAAACCTAGTTTTTAAGGAAAAACAAGGACTTCAGGGTCAGAAAAGTTCTATTTTTAGTCACTTGTCTTTTGGAGTGAAAGCTATCTCTAAAACAGGCACAACAGTAACAGCCACCAAAACAGTACAGTAACACCGTCAATAACTGATGTCAATACACTGACATACCTCACACTCAATCATGTTATGAAAACCTGTACACTTAGGAAGTGAGGAAACTGTGGCAGAGAGGCTAAGTGACATGCCAAGATCACACAGTGGGAAGAGCAGGAACTAGAATCTGACCCTGTGCTCATTACACTGCACCACCTGTGGATGGGAGTACCCTCAACTACCTACTTCACAGACACCAACAAGGCAACTATAACCTCTGTATGCTAGCGAGGGCCAGAGCACAGTGACTTTCAGTAAAGCAAACTCCACTGTCAGAAACGGCATTTGGACTCATGTCACTGAATCTTGTTCTGTCTCAAGTCCCTTTTGTTTGGAACTTTCCTACAACCACAGCACTGTCTAAAACCCACACTACACAGCCCTCACGTTGAACTGCTGCACATTCACCAGAATGAAGGAGGGGCCATAGACTTGGATCTACCTTATGGATTCACTTGCAGCTTTGTCTTTGACGGTAGAGGAGAAGGAAGAATGAGTTTTATCTTCAAATAGGTAAGAGAGTGGTGGCTTAGTCACACCTGCTGAGAAAAAGTATCTGCAGTGGTCAGCTGATAACCACAGTTGTTTGGTACACACACAGGAGGAGAAGCCCCTATTACCTTCTAACTTTTGTCTGTCTCTAAGGAGATACTTATTTGGAATAGTTAAGTAACATCTCTGCAAACGTCTCCTTTCTCGGTTTGGCCCTTCTGTGGGATCCAACTGCCATGAAGTTGGATAGTAGATGGGGTCATACCAGACGGCTCTGCACATGAAAACAAAAGGACATTTTAATGGTCACCCAAGGACTTACAGCCCTAACAAATCTTTATAGAGACTGGGCCTGTTCCATCAATTGGAGAACTGTGCGTCTGTAATACAAGCACACAGACAAACGGTGAACACAAAACACAAATGTCTGCTGCCCTGAACCAGTCCCTAAGTTCCCTTCTGGAGCAAGTGCTACTTCCAGTTCCCTGCATCTACTAATCCTGAAAAGGATATCTCCCCACAGTGAATTTAACAAGGCTATTAGCTAATGAAAGAAAATCCAAATTAATCTTTTATTTCCTTCGTTGTTTCTAATTCATTCATGATCATGAGTAACGGAGATGGAAACCGTTACGCTTATTGTCTTCTGCATTTTGAATACGTTCTTTAGGATAGGACAGAATCACTGAAATATTTTTAGGATGTTTGAATGTTTCTTAATAGCCACCACCAAAGAAAGCTTCACCAGTAACAGTTACCTTGTCCTGCTAATATTCTGTTGTGTATACTGGCACAAGGAAAGAAGTCTAAAGAAAAAGCAAAATGTAGTGTCTAGTGGTTTAAAAATCAAATTAGCAGCTAAGTGTGGTGGCACATGCACATAGTCCCAGCACTTGGGGGTGGAGGCAGGAAGACCAAGAGTTAAGGTCAGTCTTGGTTACACCACAAATTTGAGGCCACCTGGGTTACATGGGACTCTGTCTCAAAAAAACAAAAAAGGAAAAAAATTTCAAATTAGCTTTTATCAATACTGAGTATTTTCCCACTTATTAGGTCTGATTTACATCAGGAAAGCACTCATGTCTTCTGCTCTTTGAAACTTCATGGAAAGTAGTGTCTTTTATCTGTGGAAGTTTTCAAGATAATAGAAATCTAACTCTTTAACATATCACATATTTTCTGAAAATAAATTTCCATACTTTTTGTCATTACATACATTAAATGGACTTGTTAAAATTAAAGTTCAAAACCACTGATTTTTCCCCCCAATTTTTTTCTGCTTTGCTTAAGCTATGAAAGTTATTCACTCTTTAGAGTTGATAAATACCCTAATTTCTTCTACTTTATTCTTTTTTTTGTAGTCCTGGGGATGGAACCCAAGGTTTAGCTCATGCTAGGCAGGTGATACTTTATAAACATTTTAAGCATAATTCTTTCTATCTGTAATTTTCCTTTTAGTATATATAATGGTTATTGTATCCTGGCATCTAAGGTCAGGTTAATTAGCTATTATTAACTATATTTACAGAATGATAATTTCCCCTTTCATCATTCATAATGCACCTTTTAATCATATTAATAATGTCTAAGCTAGAAAAAGAGCTGTTTCTCAGCTGCCCTCTTTGGGTGATCTCTGTCTTCTTGCTGTATCTTAGAATCAAAGCTGATTCTACTGTTGGAATGAGTTAGTACTTCTAAGTGTTTCTCCAAGAGTTGAAAAGAATCCTTAAGGTTTATTATCCTTAAATAGTAAAAGAAGACAAATGATTAACAAAAAATGGTTCCTGAAATAATACTGAATCTGAATTCTAGAATGGAAATAATGGCGCACACACAAAAAGATGCCCCAAACTATTTAAAATGCGTTCCCAGTGCATACCTATCATGTGTCAGCTGCTGGATGAGTTCCTGCCAGTGTCTGCTGGCACTCAGGTCCACTTTGTACATCCCTCTGATGTGCTGGATCACCTTTTTTCTCTCAATTCCTTGGGAGAGAGATACGGCCTGGGTGATATCTGCAGCTATTTTAGATATATCCTTGGATTTAAAATCAAGCCGCTGAAAGAGACTAAACACATAAGACTGTTCAAAAGTTGAGTGTACATGGAATTAAACAATGCTTTAAAAGCATACCTGAGGGCTGGGATATAGCTCAGTGGGTACCACTTGCCTAGTGTGTATGAGGTCACATGTTCCATCTCTAGTACACCACACACATATACATTCACAGAGACACAAACATATACACACAGAATATATATATACATGCACATGCGAGCGCGCGCGCGCACACACACACACACACACACACACACACACACACAACATGCACATGCGAGCACGCGCGCGCACACACACACACACACACACACACACACACAATTTAACCTCACGAACACCCAAAATAATAAAAAAAAAGGCCTAAATGTATGCATGGTATCAAGTGTCCTAGAAACCGGACTTTGGGAACTCACGAACCTCACCTTTGTTGGTTATTATTAACTGTTTTCTGCCAGGCAGCTTTACTCAGACTCTCTTCACTCTCATATTTCTTTTGTTCCTAAAAGATTCATGATAACAACATATAAAACTTTTCTTCTTTTTTGAGGCAGGGTCTCATATACCCTAAGCTGGCATTGCACTTTCTCTGTAGCCAGGGAGGAGCTTAAACTCCTGACCCTCTTGCCTCCACCATCTGAGTACTGGGATTACAAGTGTGTGCCAACATGCTCAGGGCCCCAAAACTTATTATTTTCTCATCTAATATTGACACTGGGGCTAACAAAGTAATTTCGAAACCAAATTAATAAAGGAAAAATTATCTTCATGAGACCAGAATATAAAAATGAATAAGCCACTTAAGCAGTGTTATAATTTCCCCTTGTTTCTGTACAGTTTGAGCCATGGAAATTAGAGCAGATAGCTGATTAGGTTACCCAACCTGATGAGCTTATACAGCTGCTTGCTGCGTTATTTCAGCTGCCCAGTGAAGAGCCCTTTACTCCAGGAACGTCTCAACTTGCTTGACACTATGGAAACCTTTCCTTCACTGAAGCATGCTGATAGTGGGTTAGGGTGAGCAAAGAGAATGAAATCTGTAAAAGAAGTCTATTTTTTCTTTCCAAGTCAAAAAATCCTATGTAGTAAAACTCAAAGAATCACTGCAAGCTCATCAATGGGACTCAGTAATTAAAAGAATCTTTCAGTCATGGTTTAAGTGTACTCAGTGGGGTCACAACTCTGGCTGACAGACTCACCTCTTGGATCATTTTAATGAGCTCTGGCTTGGATGAAGCACTGGGAGGGATGCACTTGTGGCCACACAGTTTTAAAGCATTCATCAGCAGTTCAGCTGTGCCCAGTTCGTCCTCATTCAGCTCATCTGGGTGATTATGTATCAACTCGGACAAATACAAAACCAACTTGGCTCCATGCTTTAAAAAAAGTAACAATTTTTTTAGCTATGAAGAATTTCTCTTCCATTTAAAGTATTTAATAAATTTAATTTTATTGCTAGGTTTAATTGGTTGGGTCTGATTTGAATACATCATCTGTAAAAGGCCAGATGAAGAAACTTAATTATGTATGAGATATCTGATATTAATTTTATTAGTTGTGCAGATGTGATTATAGAAGTCTTACAATGTAGAAAATGCCATGATTTCTAAAAATGACTTAAATAACTCAGAAAAAGAGGAATGATGCCAACATGAGAAAGATGCTCTCAAGTGCTAGCCTGGACCAGCGTGGGGTGAGGTGCTCACTGTAGCGTTCCACTTCTCTGTGCACACCAGATACTTTTCATTGTAAGAGGCTGAGATGAAGCAAGTTAGCCAGTGTCTGGGGGAGAATTTAAGGGAATATCAGTAATAAACTGAGGAAAAAGAAAAAGACTTCTTGTTTCTCACAGAAACACTGAATAAGGAGACCTCCCTTTAAATCTTAAAGTAAAAGAAAGATGCTTATCTATCTCTTTCCCTTTAAATTTCACTCTGTGGAAGTTGGTGAAATTTCAGGAGCAAAAGATCATCTTGAGTTTGTCAACATTTCCCTCTCGGGAAAGGAAAAGGTAAGAAACGAAGGTCAGCAAGATCCCTCTACTCAGCTCTGCTTGAGTGTCCAGGGGCGGGCTGGCCCATCCTGCCTGTGAGCGAACCCTAAAAGCAAAATGAGAGTCCCTAAGGTAGTGACAGTTGTCCTTCCAAGTGCAAACTTAACCCATTTGATTCCTATCTGTTAGGTGGCTCTTCTATGCTCTGCTATTACACCTACCTGTCATGTATGCACAAACATTAGATAATAATTACACCAACAAACTGAACACATCCCTTTTACTTTAAAAACCTGCACTGATACAAGACCTCCTGAATTTGGCTTTATGGTATTTCAAACTGTGAACAGTATTAAATGTCAACAAATGGATCCAGAAACGATTACATTTTGGGTGATATTTAAACTAACAAGCGGAATCACAGCTCATCGTTCTCGAAAGCATGAGGAACATATGCAATGGTGAGAGCAGCCACGCTTACTTCAGTGCAGCATCTTCAATTAGGCAGAAGACAGCTGCTACCTGACCAAAGGAGGAAAAGCAACAGATGCTGTGTGAATAAAAGTCTTCAAGAGTTGGCAAATAGAGAAAAGTGGTAAATGACTAGGGTACTTTCCTATGTGTGTCTTAAAAGTAATGTTCGTTTTATAACTAAAAATATTCCAGTTTAGTATTCAGTGACATCCTAAAATTATCTTTAAAACTATCATAAAAAAGCCAGGCACAGTAGCTCACACCTTTAATATTAGCACTTGCAGCCTAGGCAGAATTTCTCTGAGCTCCTGGCTAGTATGGGCTACAGAACAAGACCACACAAATAAACACTCAGTTTCCTCAAACACTGTTGTTTCTAATACCTTATTTTAGAATCCTTTCATCAATTATTTATTATCTACAATTTCTGCAACTAGAAAAGGTATTAAGATGGGTGCAAAAAGGTCTTTTTTTGGCTCTCAAAAAGCTGATTTCAGCTGGGCGTGGTGGTGCACGCCTTTAATCCCAGCTGTGACAGCTGGGGCTACAGGGAGACCCTGTCTCAAAAAGACCAAAAAAGAAAAGAAAAGCTGATTTATTGGGAATCGAGGACAAAAGGATCATTTCAACCCATCAGTTCAAGGTCAGCCTAGGCAACATAGTGAGATTCTATCTCAAAAACAAAACGAAACAAACTGATTTAAAGAACTGAATCTAGGGGCTGGAGAGATGGCTCAGTGGTTAAGAGCACTGACTGCTTTTGCAGAGGAGCTGGTTCGATTCCCAGCACCTACATGGTGGCTACAAACCATCCTTAACTCCAGTTCTGGGGGAATTTGAAGCCCTCTTCTGATCTCCACGGCACTGTACAACATGGGTGCACTCACATACATGCAGGCAATACACTCATACACATTAAAAAAAAAAAAAGAACTGAATCTATTAAACATAATTTTTTTTTTTTTTTGGTCTTTTTGAGACAGGATCTTCCTGCAGCCCCAGCTGTCCTGGAACTCACTATGTAGACCAGGTTGGCCTTGAACTCACAGAGCTCTGCCTCCCTCTGCCTCCCAAGTGCTGGGATTAAAGGTGTGAGCCACCACGCCCGGCTTAAACGTAAATTTTTATGAATTAACAAAATGCTAAAGTGTATAAAAGTTAACCTTTTAATGACAGTTTTCAGAAGAAAGTGTTCTGAATGGACTATAGGGAAAAGGGTTAGAAGGAGTGTGGAGTGAGCTGGGTCAAGGGCTGAGTGGTAGACAAAGGAGAGGATGGGGCCCTAGGCTGGGTGAGCTTTACACATAAAGCAGTGTGGCAGCACAGGATGGGAAGGTTGCAAGGGATAGTGAGGAGTGACTATGGAGGGAGGAGAATTTATCAGCATGGAGTCTAACAGAAAAGCAGTCTGGGGCTTTCCAGCCTAGGGAGAAGGCCAACAGAGTTCAGCTGTGCAAAAGCATCAGAACATCCCTGCATAGGGCTCTGTAGCTATCTCAGACTTGGTGACATCTTCAACAGAAATCAAAGCACAGGTGGCTACCTACAAGGAGAGGGAAGGAAGGAAGGGACATGGGATAGATGCTAAAGCATCTGAAAGCTGCGTGTCACAATTTTGATTTTGGAACTATGTAGACATTTTACATGGGTGAAAATTAAATAAAAACCCAATGGAATTCCTAAAGGGAGAAAAGGGGACTAAGAAAAAGGAAGAATCTAATTATCTGGTTGAAGCTGGTGCCATAACCAAATAAAGACAACTATTTTAAATGTGTCTATAATTCAACATCGTCCACTGTATAGGCCTAATGGTGTCCTAAGAACAAGGGGGACCACAAAGAAATCTTAAAACTACATGTAGTGAGATTGTTATTAATGAATGCTGGTTATTCTCAGGTACAACTCATGTCATTAGTAAAAATCTTTTAAAATTTTTATTACTTTAATTTTACATGTATGAGTGTTATGCCTGCATGTATGTAGGTGCACTCATGTTGTGCAGTGTCTGTGGAGGTCAGAAGAGGACGTCAGAGCCCCTGGAACTGGAGTTATGGATGGTTGTTAACTGCCATGTGGGTGCTGGGAATCAAATCCAGGCCCTCTACAAGAGCAGGCAGTGCTCTTAACCACTGAGCCATCTCTCCAGCCCCAACTCATGCCATTAGCAAAAATCTTATTTTAAAAATATTATATACACAGGAAGATAAAGCAGGTGATTTTGCTAGTATCATCAGAAAGCAAGATTATCACAAAGAAACAAAAATACAAAATATAAGAGAAAGTGGAAAGTGTCAATATGACCCCACGACTCATGAGTTTTCCAGGCATTAAAGAGGATAGGCGGACCTTTAAAAATATATCATCTTTTACCTTCTTTATTTAGATATAATTTATATACAATAAAACTTAAGAGTGTTTGCAACCAGTAGTTTGGTAACTGCACATACCCAGATAATCAATACCCAAACAAGATGTTTAAATCTGGCTTTTACCTCCCCAGAGTCTCCTCATGCTCTTTCCCAGTCAATCCCCTCTCACCTCCCTTGTGCAGAGACAGTCTCTGTCCTGAACACCCTCCTTATAGTTTCCTTTGGCTTCTCCTTGGGCCCAATGGAAGGGCATCCCAGACTGCTTGTTTGACTGTGTTTGGCTGCCCTCTTACCAAGTCCTATGTTTCTGGGATCCAACCATAAGGGCAATCTGCTTCTTTTTGTCAAATAATATCATCTACTGTGTAACTATATCACCATTTGCTTATACATTCTCTTGGTAATAGACACTTATGTTATTTCCTGTTTGGAACCATTATGAAAAAGACTGCCGCGGACATTCTTGTATAGTGTCTTCAGAGGCATATATTTTTATTTCTTTTGGGTAAATATCTAAAAATGGTATGACAGGGTTATAGATTATATATTTAATTTTACAAGGATTTGTTAAAATGCCCTCCAAAATCGTTTAATCTATCAACTCCTGAAATGACAGAATTTACAAACGATACATTTCTTGTTCTTGGTTTTGAACACTCCAAATGACCATTTCTTTTTCTATTTTAAGGGATTTATTTATTTATTTAAAGATGTCGTATGTATTCTTGTTTGAGATACTCATTATAGGTATTTCACAGACAATAAAGCACTTTTAAAATGTCTCCTACCAGTACTGAAAGAAAATACTCAAAATATGGCAACAACTAACCTTATAAGATCCTATAAGACCCCAAATATTGCACTTCTAATCTAAACACTGGAAAAGGACTGGGAAATGAACACAGAGAAATCGAAGTGACCTGTCTGGAAGCATGTGAAGGGAGACCTCAGGCTAAATTTGTTGGTCAGAAAACTACACTCATGACATGAAGCAGGAAAATGGAGTTTAATTTCAAGTCTCATTTTGAAAGGCTTTAGGAAATGCTGAGGTACTTACTTGTGGGGATGGGCTGAGACAGTCTTGCAGTATGTCTTGATGAGCTGGTTCATGAACTATTTCAAATATTTGCTTTCTCTCTTGTACAGTGTGGACTGGTGACAAAATATGTGCTAGCAGTCTCCCAAGCTGGACTCGGAAGGTTTCTTTACAAGACCCCAGGATTTTAGTCCACTGTTGTTTAGAACCACTGGTTTTACTTGAACCCTAAGTTAAAATAGGAGTGAATTAGGATCAGACTTGAAAAAAATCTTCATTTAAGCCAGGCCTGGTGGGTACTAAATGCCTTTAATCCCAGCACTCAGGAGGCAAGGGCAGGCAGATCTGAGTTTGAGGCCAGCCTGGGCTACATAGTGAGACCTTGTCTCAAAAAAATTTATTATTAATGTGTGCGTGAATGCGTGATGTGTGTGTGTGCACGCGTGTGTTGTCTATGCATGGTGTGCATGTGGAGGTCAGAGGACAACTTTGAGGAGTCAGTTCTTTCCTTCTACCTCTACATGGGTTCTGAGGATTGAATTTAGGTTGTCAGCAAGTTTTGAAGATGCTGAGTCATCTTGGAGGTCCAGGATCAGACTTTTTTTTTTTGGTCTTTTTGAGATAGGTTCTCCCTGTAGCCCCAGGTGTCATGGAACTCACTACATAGACCAGACTAGCCTTGAGCTCACAGAGATCCCCCTGCCTCTGCCTCCCGAGTGTTGGGATTAAAGGCATGCATCACCACATCCGGCCAGGATCAGACTTTTAAAACAATAATATACTAACCTCAAACAGTCTTAAGAAAGTCTTAAGGAATGGAACATGTATCATTCTAGATTTAAAATTCAAAGTTAGAAACTTACACACATATGTATACAAATGAGAGTTTGGGACAGATGTGTAATAATATTCATAAAAACATTTTTCAAAGTAGCTGAAATGCAGAAATAATCCAAACACTCAGGAATGGAAGAATACACTAAATGAGGTATATGTATACAATGGAATATTTTTCAGCCTTAAAAGGCAATCAAGTCAGATACATGCTTCAACAGAAACCTTGAAAACATCACACTCAGTGGAATCAGCCACAGATAACTATCATTCAGTTTTACTTACATGAGGTATCTAGAAGAGTCAAATTCACAGAAACAGTAAGTAGAATAGAGGTTATTAGGATGGGAGATGGGTGGTGGGAGCTATTTAATAAGGAAAGAATTTCAGTTTGACATAATAAAAAAGTTCTGGAGATGGATAGTGATGCTGATTGAACAATTGAACTACACTGAATTGTACCCTTAACAGTAAATTCCATTTATATATTTTACCACAATTTAAAAAAGAGAGAAGAATAGGAGAACCTAATGTCGTGAGTCAGTTCTCAAAAACTCCCAAAGGCTTAGGAGATTGTCAATTAAAAATTGAATCAAGGGACTGGAGAGATAGCAGAGCAGTTAAGAGTACTGGCCACTCTTGCAGAGCACTGGGGTTCAATTCCCAGCACCTGCATGGTGGCTAACAACCGTCCATAACTCCAGTTCCAGGGGATCTGATGCCCTCTTCTGGCATCCATGGGCATTTCATGACATGGGTGCACTTATATGCAGGAAATACACTCATACACAAAAAATAAAAATAATTTAACAAACTGAATCAAAACAAACGATTGGAGAACAATGGTAGATAAGTCCACTTTGATTTTACAGTATAAGACAAATTTATTACAGAAACTCAAGTCAGTACTGCTGTACTGAGTTTAACAGTTACAATCTAGAACTATACACACATTAGCCATCAGTTTTTTCCCTAAAAAAAACAATAACCAACTAAATTCAACTGTAGCTCCAGTAATGTTAGCCTAATCCTGATTAAGTCACTTGGGTTTAATACTGGAATCAGTATATTTTGGAGCTCATCCAGAGTGTTGGAAATAGTTTTCCAGTTACTTCTAGTCCTACGAGCCCTAATGTTCACAGCTGGACACTAAAATCTAGTTTGGAGTCAGAGATTGACAGTAATGACTCCTGGTTTTACTAGAATTGATTGGCTATTGGCGCTATTGGCAGTGAACTGACTGATCTGTTCCCATGGTCAACTGTAAACAGACCCCAAGAAACCTGAGAGAGATGATGACAACTGAAGCCTGACACCTGTCAATTTTCTCTATTACCAGTTTTGAAGGTACTAGATGTTTATGCCAAGATCTTCGTAAACTTCATAATAATTTGGAAACTCAAGAGTATAGCTATAAATAAAGTCCTTTAAAAACAGGGTTTTCAGGGTTGGAAACATGGCTTAGTGGTTAAGAGCACTTACTGCTCTTGTAGAGGGCCTGCATTCAGTTCCCCACACCCACACTGGGTGACCCACAACCGTCTGTAACTCCAGCTTCAGGGGATCTGATGTTCTCTTCTGGCCTCCTTGGGCACCTGTACTCATGTGTACACACACATGCATAGAAATAGATCTTTAAAGAAAATAGGCTATTCATTTACAGTCACAGTGACCATCAAAACCTTTTTCTTCTCTGGTCCTGTATGAGGCAAGTCATTTTGTAATTGATACGTGAACAAAGTATATTATTCTACTATTAAAATCTCAAGCTGGGCATACTGGAATACACCTGCAATCTCAACATTCAGGAGACTGTGGCAAAGGGTCTGTAAGTCCAAGGCCAGCCTAGGCTACATAGTGAGATCCTACCTCAAAAACACAAAAACAAAAAAAAATAAATTCAAATTGTTTCAGTTTCAGAAAATGCTGAAAGGGTACAAGGAAATATGATTTTGGAAATAAACAGTTTAGATACATAGGCCTCTACTTCTTTTGTGCATGAACATTTCCCAAGTCACTAGGTTACTTACAATAGACACTTTGAATCCTTCTACCAGGTATGTGAGCATTTCCTTCTGAAATGGATTAGACACAGGAGGTTGCTCATGATGCATATTTTCTTCAGAAATTTCAGTCTGGGAAACTGAGGTCTTGTCTTGAGTTGCATTTTCTGGAGTTCTCAAAATATCAGTGATATCTGAATTCAACTCTTTGAATTAAAAAAATAATAAAAAATTAGTTAACTCATTGATACCTAGCTATTATACATGGCAATGACGCTGGTCAAAAGGCCTCTGTAATTACTAACTCATTTATCACAATATAAATGCAGTAGATGTATTAGTTAAGGCAGACAAAATGTGATAGAAGAATGAATTCACTTAAAACATTGTAGACATTTAAAAATACTTGTGCTATGAAATTATAAATGGTTAATTTACTCATGAAGATAAGGTGAAAAATTACCAATACCATAGGATTCTTGTAAAAATCAACAGAAAGACCACATGACACATATACTGGATGGATCTGTGAAATGTGTGGCTGCATGTGCTACCAATTAATGCTGTAATGTGGTTATCCTGGCTCGGTTTTGGATTTAAACTGGGAGTCTGTTGTCCATTGTAAGTTAGAAAAGTTAAAACACAACAACAGCATTCCCTTTGGGCTTATCATGTTTCTTTAGAGATTGACAATTACTATTTTCTTTTTCCTGCCTCCCTAGGATTAATCAAATAGTTTTTAAGAATTCCATTTTGACTCACCCATAATGATTTAATTATTTTTTAGCTTTACTGGAGCATAACTGAAATTACATACTATATATAAAGTGTACAATTTGATGTTTTGGTACACATCTATACAGTGAAATGATAAAGCAGGTAACATATTCATCATTACACAGTCACTTTGTGAGTAGAGTGAGAACACTGGCTAAAGAGCTGCTTTTTCTTGTTTTGTAGACCAGGCTGTCCTCAGAATTATGATCCTACTGCCTTAGCCTCCCAAATGGATTACAAGTGTGCACCACTGGACATGGCTATCGTGGTTTTAGTTGCTGTCCTTTGTCTGTTTTGAACAGCTCTTTTAGTGTGTGCTCTAGGTATTACGTTAACGTGGTCACCGTGGAACTGCATATTAAAACTACAGTGAGGTATCACCATATGTCTAGCAGAACGGTTAATATGAAACAATGACAACTCCAAATATTGGTGAGAATGCAGTGAAACTTGCATCACTCGTGTGTTGCCGAAAGAATGTAAAACTGTGCAGCCACCCTGGAAAAGCTTGGTTCGTATTTAACAAAATAAACACAAAACTGTCATATAGTACAAGAAATGTACTTTGGGTATTTATCCCAGAAAATGAAGATTTATATTCACACAAAAAAACCTATACATGAGTGTGGATAGGTTTACTATTATTATTATTTTTTGTAATAATGCCAATTGGAACCAGCTTAGATGCCCTTCAACAATGTGAGATTAAACAAACTCTGGTACATCAACATCATGGCACTAATACCCTCCCCCTAACCCGGCAAAAAAACCCAAAACAAACAAATGAACCAAAAAAACCAGACCACTGATGCATTCAGCACACAGGGCAACTCTCCAGAGAATTACGTGTATGTGGAGTAAAAAGGCAGCAGACTGTATGATTCTGTGTATATAATATTAATTTCTAGTGACAGAGTCTTGCTCTCCTAGGCTCTTAAGGTAGAACAAAACAGTTCTCCTACCTCAGCCTCCTGAGTGCTGGGACCACAGACATGCACCACTGTGCCTGCGTGGCTTACATAACTTTGGAAAGGACAGAACCACAGAAATGGAAGGTACAATGAAGGCACTAGAGGCTGAAGGGGAGTGGAGTGGAAAGGGCAACAAGACAGCTCCTTGGAGTCATGGGAAGGCCTTCCTTAGCCATATCCATGCTTCTCGCCCGAGAGAGTGACTGTATTATAGTTTTGTAAAACTCTTTGGGAGAACTGGATAACGTGAACACAGGATCTTCCTCCCTCTCTCCCTCCCTTCCTTCCTTTTCTTCTTTCTTTTAGAGTTTTGTTTTTGTTTTTAAAGACTTTTTAAGCTTTATTTTATGCATATACACGTATACCTAAGTGTACGTGCACTTCATGTGGGTAGGCAGTTGGGAGCGGTCATGTGGGTGATGGGAATTGAACTTGGGTCCTCTGGAAGAGCAGCAAATGCTCTTAACTGCTGAGTCATCTCTCCAGCCCTCTGCATTATTTCTTAACTACTGCCTACAAATTTATTACCACCTTAAAAATTGCAGAAACATATTATTTCAAAATCAGTGGTCCACCTAGACTAGCATTTAATGGGGCATGATGGTGCACACTTTTAATCCTAGCACTCAGGAGGTAGATGCAGGCAGAGCTCTGTGAGATCAAGGCCAGCCTGGTCTACACAGTGAATTCCAGGCCAGCTGCGGCTACAGGGAGATCCAGTATCAAAACAAAAACAAAAACTGACAAAAAAAGAGACTTTTGTTCAAGACTCTCAAGTCTCAAATGAAAAAATCTTTAATCATGTGGATTTTAAGAAAAGAAAAAGAATGCCGTGTAAAAAGTTAAAATCTGCTCCCCTTTGGGCATGTGTATGGTGGAACACATGAGGTCCAGCAGGGGAATGGGGGGGCATGAATGAGGAGGGGGTCTAAATGTTATTAAGAACTTTTCTATGAAATTACAAAACCTCAGTAAAAAACAAAAATTAAAAAAATTTCCATCAAATAAACCCTCTATTACTCTATTAAAAAATGTTGAAATCTGATCATCTTCATCTGACATTATTTCCCTGGTGATGGTTGATTCGGTATCTGAAGGAGAAGGGTGAAGTCTGGACTACCTTGGTAAATGATCCTGTTCATGGCCAAGATGGTAAGCCTCTGCAGTCTCTGGGCAAGCTCTGCCTCCGAGGCCTGGCTTGGGTGCTCCTGGCTCATCCTCCTCTGCATCATAGTGTGCAGTTCATCACTGGCCACAGAACGCATCTTCATCAGCAGAGACTCTGTTTGAGCCATGGGGAATTTTCGAGGACCTTTAAGCACATAAATTAAATCATCCAATGCCACAGTTAACGATGATCAAAGAATCTATTTTTACTGCAACTTTTTTATGATTAGGCCATGAAGAGAAAAACTTTATTACAAAACTAATTTATATAAAAGAGAGTAAGAGAAATTAACATTTTTTCCTTCTTTAAAGAAGTGCAACAGTAGTTCTAGTTTTCAAAGTCCAAAATGACAATATTGAAGGCAGTGACACAGGATGGTCACCACTTATCAAAGTTTGAATCATCTGAAAAACTCAAAATATTAATGGTTTTTTTTGGGGGGGGTTCTTTTTGAGACAGGGTCTCCCTGTAGTCCCAGCTGGCCTGGAACTTGCTATGTAGACCAGGCTGGCCTTGAACTCACAGAGATCTGCCTGTTTCTGCCTCCTAAGTGCTGGGATTAAAGGCGTGCGCCACCATTCTCAGCTCAATATTAATGGTTTTGATGTTTGATAAAATACTTTTTAAAATACTGTTTCACTTCCTTATATTACAAAATCATCAACAGTTTTAAAGAGCATATTTTAGTAAAAAAGTGTTACTATTTCTGGATAATTACGGTTGTTGAATTTTATAAAGCACTTTGGAAAACTATACATAATGACAAAGAAGAAATCAGTCAGTAAAAGTTTAGAGATCATAAGGGTGAATGCAAATCCAGTGATTGGCCAGGAAGATGATTAGAGGCATGTGCATCATTTGGAAAGTATTTCCTGGGAAACAGCTCCTCAGAGTGAACAGGGAAGAGTGCTGTTCCTGCTCTTACTGCACCTGCTCCAGGAGAGAGCTGGGAGGAGGGGTCCTGATGTAAGAGACTGAAGAAGGGCATCGGAAGCTGACCATAGGAACCAAAATGACGTCTTGGTAGATGAGGAATAACAGAACCCTTCATTGGAATTGAACCTTTGTTTTAAATTATGAAAACATATATCAATTTCCATAAATAACTTCCTTACAAATTATTTCCAGCTGACTAAATTTTCACAGGTTTTAACAACTTACCCTACAAGATACTTAAAATTTTTAGTAGTACTTTATATTGTCTAGTAACAAGTAATTTTAATCAGCTAATAATTTTTGTGGGTAGCCATCTTTGAGGCAAAAAAGAAATAAACAAAAATTCTTATCTTGGAGATCTCTTGGAATAATACTGTCAGACAAGGTCCTTAGTTGAGGTAGATTCATCCTCATGTTTCCTCAGGTTACACCTTCCCCTTAAGTCAATGATAATCATTTAAAAAAAATATTTTATTTATTATTTTTATTTTATGTGTATGAGTGTATTGCCTACATGTATGTGAGTGCACCTGTGTCCTGCATTGCCGGGAAGTCAGAAGGGGGCTTCCGATTCCCCTGGAGCTGGAGTTAAGGACGGTTCGTAGCCGCCATGTGGGTGCTGGAAACGAACCTGGGTCCTCTGCAGGAGCAGTCAGTGCTCTTAGCTGCTGAGCCATCTCTGCAGCCCCATCAATGATAATCTTAATCCCCAAGTACAGTGAGGTAGCAAGACACTGAATAAGACTGGATGAGGAAATGGAAGTGTAGCTGAGCACGCAGGCTTCAAGCGCGCGGAGCTGGTGTGGCCTCAAGCCCTTCTCTTTCTAAGCCTCAGTTTTCATTTGTAAGCTCTTTCTTGGAAAATAGAGCTTAGTTCACAGGGAGGTATGTCTCAATATCTGATACCGTATTCAATACATTTCTTTATGTACTCATTCACCACATTTCCCAGTTTTATGAAGATAAAGTAAACAACTTGTACATGGTTGGTGCTCAATAATTACTTGAATGAATAAATCAAGAACATTGTTTTATGAATTAAAAAATAATGAATATAAAACACAAGGCACAGAGAGAAAGGCCATTGGTTGAGAGCGCAGCCAATGGGTGAGCCTGTTACTAGCCTGTGGGGAACTGTGGCGTCGGAGAGGCATTTGAGGCCTCCAAGCCCTGGGCTGCCGGGTGGTTCAGTACCATGAACTCCATCGGCACTGGGTATGACCTGTCAGCCTTTACTTTTTCTCTTGATGGAAGAGTTTTTCAAGTTGAATAAGTCATGAAGGCAGTGGAAAACAGTAGTACAGCTATTGGGATCAGATGTAAAGACGGTGTTATTTTGGGGGTAGAAAAATTAGTTCTTTCCAAACTTTAAGAAAAAGGCGCCAACAAACGACTTTTTAACGTTAATCGACATGTTGGAATGGCAGCAGCAGGTTTATTGGCAGATGCGTGCTAACTAGCAGACATAGCAAGAGAAGAAGCTTCCAACTTTAAGTCTAACTTTGGCTATAACATTCCACTAAAACATACTGCAGAGTGGCCATGTATGTACATGCTTATACACTCTACAGTGCTGTTAGACCTTTTGGCTGCAGTTTTATGTTAGGGTCTTACAGTGCAAATGACGGTGCTCAGCTCTATATGACTGATCCATCAGGTGTTTCATATGGTTATTGGGGTTGTACCATTGGCAAAGCAAGGCAAGCTGCAAAGACTTAGAAATAGAAAAGCTTCAGATGAAAGAGATGACCTGCCATGATATAGTTAAAGAAGTTGCAAAAATAATTTACATAGTACATGCTGAAGTTAAGGATAAAGCTTTTGAACTAGAGCTCAGCTAGGTTGGTGAACTGACTAAAGGAAGACATGAGATTGTCCCAAACGATATAAGGGAAGAAGCTGAGAAATATGCTAAGGAATCTTTGAAGGAAGAAGATGAATCAGATGATGACAATACATAACATTTTCTTCTATCTATGCTGTTTTACATTTCTGACAGTTCCATGTAACTATTGAGCACCAAGGATTATACATATTTTCATTAAATATTTGTCTTATAAACAAACAAACAAAAAACCCCCCACAGTGCCCATACCATTCTCACAAAGAAAAAATGTTAATGGTTGGTATTGTTTTTATTGGTTAACATATGACGGAAATTCATTTGTATGCCAATTCTACTACTCTACTATCTACCTATATGAACAACAATTACATGGATGGATATGCTTTAAGTGATACCCCAATGCTTCTTCTGCCTTCATGCACTATGGGTAATGTATAAGGTTTTTACTTGAAAGAATGTATATTGCAATCTTGCTTATAATTGCAAAGGAAATAAAGAACTTTGCTTATTGATAAAAGCTAGGAAGGAGATCACAACACTATACAAAATTTATTGCTCATTCATTAAAGGATATTTATGTTCTTTTTATTGAATTTTTATGTATTTCATACAGAATATCTCAATCTTAATCATCTTTATACTCCCTTCTCCACTGGCACCCTCTCATGGCCCCCCACTGGCATTCACACATTCTGTCATTTAAGACCTACTGAGTCAAGTTAGTGTCCTCAGACGTCCCTCACTGAAAGTTCATCTATTGTGATTGTAGCCAGAAAATGATTTATTCCTCCCGGACTTCCTCTGAAGAGCCATGGGAGCGCAGGGCAGGAGCCTAGCATGGTGGGAGATTGGAAGGAAAGGAGGAGGAATTGGTGCCATTCTGGAAAACGGAACAGAGAGCAGGCGAGCAGGCCAGCCTGCCCTGGACCCCATGGACCCCTCAAGGAACTCTGCGGGGTGAGTGGGCATGCAGGGACACAAGATGGGTGCCGGGTGTTGGTTTCTTTGTAAGTCGCTCCCCTCCCCCACAAAAGGTATAAACTATGCAAAATTCAGATAAAGATGTGTTATGTGGTTTGTTTAATAGCACCAGGAGCAAGGGACCCTAAAAGAACTCAGGCAACAAACTGGCGCAGCTGGCAGGATGGCACTGGAAGCGACAAACCGTGGGAGTTTGGGAAAAGCAAGGGAGCTAATAGTGGCGCTGACGTGGATCTTACAGTGAATTATGAAATATGTAACTAAAAAAGGGCCAGCCACGCAGAAGCGTGGGCCACAGCTGTGTTGTAAATGTAGGGAAATAGCCCAGTTGTGGGTATATGAAGATTCTTTAAAGGTTATAGAAAAATCTAGAAACACTTTTATAGGCCTTGGACAGAAGCAGAGAACCCAGAGAGGGGGTGTGGCCACTTTGCATAAAAAAAGACTTGCCCAAGGCAGGGGAAGCTGGAAAGGCTAGGGAGGTGCTGGCAGATTCAGTTGCAGAGCTTGAGAGAGGAAAAAACAAAACGAAACCAGAAAAAAAAAAAGGGGGGGGGCATTTTAACTTGTGTAAGGTCCAAGGACTCTGGAAAAAAGACAGATAATAATGAAAAAGGGAACAATCTAAAAATAAAAGTAGCTGAAGCTGCCCCTCAGATTCAACCTTTGATACAAAAAGAAAAAAAAAGCTAAGGAGTACTATAGCTAGGAGATACTCCACACTGGAACTGTTAAAACTAGGAAAAAGTTACAAGCAAGCAGTCAAAGAGCCCCTTGCCATGTGGCTTGTGAGTGTATGGGATGTGGGAGCAAATAACGTCAGTCTAAGTCCTTCAGAAGCTTCACAGCTGAGTTATATAACCGCCCATCCATCCTTGCGATATAGGCTATTCAATCTAGGCCAATGTGGGGGGGCAGTCCTTAATGGGATGGCTGGTGGAAGGCATTAAAGATACATGGTCATCACCAAGGGAAACTCCTATAATTAACAGAGGCTGGAGGACTATAAAGGAGCACAGGCATTACTGAGAGAACTAAGTATGAGAAAAGCAATATATGATGCCCAGTTCACTGGGCCTGATAAGACTGTGTTCACCAGAGATATAAAGGAAAGCTTAATTCAACTGGGACCTCAAGAATGGTATAGAGCTTTAATGGTTTTGCTAAGCCCTTTAATGGGACAGGATCTTTGTAAGTGAGAGAGGCTTTAGCAGATCTAAGTGACTCTGACCAACATGTAAAATGTGTCTGTAGAATAATGGAATACCCAACAAGAGATATAAAAAAGACCAGACAGAAGAAATAGTCCATTTGGGTTACTCGAAGACAAATGTGGCAAGACTTATGTCGAGCCCAAATTCCCAAAGAAAAAATTGATGGAAAACCAAATTTGGTACTAAGGAGTTTTTGGAAGGCTTTAAAACCACAACAACAGTTTACAAAAGGCATTCAAAGGCTAAAAGCTGTCCCAGGGGTGGTGACGGATTTCCAAAGATTGAATAAGTTACATTTCTCTCCTGATAAAAGCTATGCCAGGGGTGGAGGCAGTTTTTCCCACCAAGGCCTCCCCCAGCAGCCAGGTCTGGTCAATGGAGAGATGACAGATATGGTACAGTCAGGAGGCAGACCCAAAGCCTGCCTGACTCAGGGAACCAACAGGTGCAGTGGGGACAAGAGAAACCCCCTGCCTCCTTAGCCCGCTGCAGGGTCAGGCAACAGGAGCCAACACCTGTAAGTGTATCAAAGATAAAAGAATACAAAGAGACTCCAAGCAAGATCCCCAGAATACACAGTGACTCCCAAGGGATAACTATAGTAAAGAACTAACCAAATTAATGCCTCTTACCCATGCTATGGTACCTAACAAAGATCTATGGAGAAAACAGTTAATATGAATGGATAAAACCTTTCCATGCTGTGTTAGACCTTGTCTATAATTGATTTACTATGATGTTAACCTTCCTTCAAGTATTTTACAGATGTGAAACCCATTTGAAAGATACATGAAGAAGCTGGCTATAACTAAGATTCTTGGGAATTTTATGCTTAGATAAGATAAAAACAGAGGATCCCAAACTATAAAACTGTGAAGAAAATCTACAGTACCAGGGGTCGGTTGTCCCTCTATGAGCTGTTGGTCAGAGAAAGATCATAGAGGTCCTCAATATTGCCACTAATGTCGATTGTACACTAGAAAGGTCAGTAAGGCCATGTTGCTGAAGACACTGCATGATGTGAGCATGGGAGGAAAAGAAAAGATGGAGCTGAGACCAAACCAAAAACTCCATGCCACTGGATCGATGACATTCATAGTGCCAGAAGGCGCTATGCAGATGGTTGGGGAAGAAAGGTTCCCCTATAATTCTACTCAACCATGGACCATAGCATGCTGCACACTATGGCCATGCCAAACAATGCCTGCATGTGCAATAATGGCTCGACTAACATATCTACAACTGACAAATTTCTAACTGGATAAGGCCACTCCTAGGGGTAGAACACACATCTGGTGCTGTAGATCAGGCCAACCCCCTGTGTTGAGAAAGGCTACAGGCCCTAGCAGGGAAGCTGTTACAAGTATATTGCTTAATGAATAAAGAATACCTACTAGGATATCTTCTAGGCATTTGTATGTACATTCACGTTTGTTTAGATGTGTCTAATTCCTTCCATTTGTCTTTATAGTAGGGGAAACACCACTGAGATAGATCAGTGGCCATGTCTTGAAGATGAATGATGGGGAAGCCCAAGAAGTCAGTATCTCACCATGATACAAAAAAGATTGCCCAGGGCTGGAGAGATGGCTCAGCAGTTAAGAACACTGGTTGTTCTTGCAGAAGACCAGGGTTCAAATCCCAGCACCCACTTGGAAGCTAACAACTGTCTGAAACTCTAGTTCCAGGGGATCCAACAGCCTCTTCTGACTTCCATGGGCATTGCACAACACAGTTACACTTACCTGCACACAGACAATACATGCATACACATAAAATTAAAATAATAAATAAAGCTGGGTGGGGTGGCGCATGCCTTTAATCCCAGCACTTGGGAGGCAGAGGCAGGCATATCTCTGTGAGTTCAAGGCCAGCCTGTTCTACATAGTGAGTTCCAGGACCTCTGGGGCTGCAGGAAGACCCTGTCTCAAAAAGGTCAAATAAATAAACAAACAAACAAATAAATGAAATATTAAAAAAAAAAAAAGATTGCTCTACATCTGTCACTCCCTCCAAGGCTCAGGGACCCTTGCGGAAGATTGGCAGAAAGATTGTGAGAGGGGAGGAAAGGGGTGGAGTGTATCCCAAAAATGATTTATTCCTCTCGGACTTCCTCTGAAGAACCATGGGAGCCCAGGGCACCCTGGGAAGAAAGGTGGAGCCTAGCGTGTTGGGAGACCGGAAGGAAAGGAGGAGGAATTGGCGCTATTCTGGGAAGCAGGGAACAGGGAGCAGGTGAGCGAGCCAGCCTACCCTGAACCCTGTGGGGTACTGGGGGACCTCATGAAGACGCTGTGGACCCCTCATGGAACTCTGTGGGGTGACTGGGCATGCAGGGATGCCGAGATAAGGCAGACCGTGGACAAAAGCGATCTGGAACAGCGGGCCAAGCCATGCAGAGCTGGGTGCTGGGTGCTGGGTATTGGGTGTTCATTTCTTTGTAAGTCTCTCCACTCCCCAAGGGTATAAACTATGCAAAATTCAGATAAATATGTATTATGTGGTTCGTCTAATAGCAGCAAGTACAAGGGACACTAAGAGAACTCGGGCGACAGTGATAGAGTCAGCCTACCTAGAGTCTCTTGCTTTAGGAAGATCAGCTCTTCTTGTGTTCTTTAATGTGAGAAGAAGTCTATATTCATTAGAAATAGAAGTCAGTGTGCAAATAGTTGGTAGAGCATGATACCATTTAAGTAATATCACATTTCTCTCTGTATATATGCAAGAAAAGATTGTGAGGCCAAGGAAGCAGGCCTCGTTCACTGGGATCGAAGAGAACTCAGGACTGCTGAGCAGAATGGTACACACATGAGGCTGACTGAAGATTCATCTAGAACACTACAGCATCTTCCTTCTCCAGGAGTGTGAGAACACAGACCCTAGAGGCACTGCTTATAGTGTAAGACCCCCTGACCCCTGCCAGGGGCACCTGGCTCTGGCTGTGGCATTGGAGATGCAATTTATCTCCACAGTGTTCAACAAATACTAAATGAGTGTATTTAGGAAAAAACCCACCTCCATAAACATTTATTAGTAATGAGAACAGCCTGGTCAGGTCTTTGAAGTAGCAATTCATGATGTAATTGATGAAAAAGAAGTTGCTTTAGAATCATGACCAAGTGGACTGAAATGGGTTTTGGAACCATACTGCTCAGAAGCAGGGACTGAACATTTTTATATTCTACAAAGCCAGAATACTTTTGACAGCAACTTTATAATGTAGCAATATAAAAAGTCTTTCCCAAATATATGTGTAAGAGCAACAACATGAAAACATTTTAACATATAAAATGCTATTTTGCAAACCAGATTCACAAACAGAACTTAAGTGTTGGTAGCATCCAAAACAAGAAGAACTCTTGGGACAGACTTGAGTGAGATGGTTCTAAGGGCGGTGTTAGCCCTAGGATGAACATGTGGTATCAGACACAAATAGAAGAATGCAGAGCTGTGCAGTGTGTGCCAGATGAGGAAGCTGGACTGAATGATTTACAGGGTTCTTTATCAAGCTAGAAATTTGCAGGGCTCTATAAGCCTCACATGACTTATGGCAACTGCATTTACTTAGTAGAAAGAATTGTACCTTCCAACCTCCCTTTGTAAGGCTGATTAACTGATTAGAAAATCAAAGACTGTGGAGAGGTTGGATTGTTGTGGGTCCAGAGCCTGATAACAATTTATCTTGGGCCATCACTAGCCTCCTTACTAGCTATTCCTTTCCACTTCTGTGTCTGATCTAACATCCTGTGATTATCAGGCGAAACCTATTGAAATGTGTTAACATAGCAGTCCATTAGCTTCCACCAACCAAAAAAGCTGGTGTCATCAGGTAGCTGTGACATGCTCATCTGATATTTCCACCAATGTATTTGAAAAGTGTCTTGATTTATGTCCTTCGTTTAATTTCTATAAAAACTTCATGAAACTGCTACCTCATTAGAACATGGAATTTGGGAAGACCTAAATCTGTGTTCCTAGGCCATGGTCACTCATATTTGGCTCCAGAATAAACTATCTCTTATTCCCTCTGAGGTGAGAGGTGTGTTTTTTGCATCAACAACTTAAAGGGGAAAACATAAACCTAAGTATAAGAGGCTAGAAGAGAAAGTAGAAAAAAGAACGGGGTGTAGTGAAAAGATACGAGTGGGACATGTATCAATAAGAATGAGGGAGGGGTGGGGTAGACATTCTGATTCTGCATCTAAGTGGTTGCAAAATAAAAGTTCAAGCAATCATTATCCAATGGTTTGAATCAAGATGACTCATAACATACTTGCAGCTGTACAGGCCACGGAGGCTCAGTGCGAGTATCTGAACAGAGATAATAGAATGTTAGAGGAATCACAGAAGGTGGCTGTGGTCCTGACCCAGGTGTAAGCTAATCATGAACTACACTGCACCCAGGTGTAGAAGTGGAGGAGGAACAGCAGGGGGTAGATATACTCTGATAACAACTGAGGGCCAGCTGCACCTAGGCAGTTGCGGCTAGAGAAGGAGTCGTCCGCTGGAAGCCGAGCATTACAGCTAGATAAATTTACCTGGGACAGAAGACAGGTACGACAGGAGAGTGGCTCAGTAGGAAAGAGTGTCTAGATATTAAACAAGGAAGAAGGCACAGAGGCAGTAAGTTTAGTTATATGGACACTTATTAGCAAATTTTAAACATATTACTAGAAAACCTATTTAGAAGTATTTCTTTGTGGGTGAGTTTTTCACATGATTTTAAGATTCTGAATAGCACTAAACACAAGGAAGGAAATTAGTGGAAGAAGAAAGATTTGGACTTAAAAGCCTTCACAATTATGGGAGTATAACTTCAAGCAATATATCACAGATACATATTCATGTGTGCACACAAAAAGGCTGCTGCAGATATTATGACCTGAGCAGTGCCTAGATTCTAGCATTAATTCTTACACATACCACTGTATGTAGATGTGTGTGTACACATGAACACAGATACTAGGTTTGTGGCATTTGTATGTATTACATTTCTGGATTATGGCCATATAAAAGAAATGGCAGATTTTGTGGAAAACCCAGGATCCTAACAAAATCAACACTTCCTATATGATGGTCCACGCTCTGACACCGCGTGAATTCTAACCATCTGCAAGCCACCACTGCTGGCCTCAACTGCTGCAACAGCCCCCACACGCACTCTCCACTTGCTCTCTTCTAACCCACACTCCCCACAGGAGCCACAGTCCTCTTTAGGCAATGTACGTCTAACACATCATGCCCTCCTGAATACCTCTGATCCTAATAGGATAAAACTTAAAACTCCTCAACATGGTCTATATGAATTTTATACAAACTGGCCTGTGGCATTCTGCATAACTTCTGGCACAATAATTTCAGCTGAGAAGAAAACATTCTTGGATTTTCTAATTTAAGTTTTTCAACCAAGAAACACATTTTTTTTTTTTTTCTTTCAGTCTTTTGAGATAGGGTCTCTCTGTAGTCACAGCTGGCCTAGATTTGCTATGGAGACCAGGCTGGCCTTGAACGCACAGAGATCCATCCGCCTGCCTCTGCCTCGATTTTTTAATTTAAGTTTTTAAACAAAAAACCCCTTTTTTTTTTTTTTTTCTTTCAGTCTTTTGAGATAGGGTCTCTCTGTAGTCACAGCTGGCCTAGATTTGCTATGGAGACCAGGCTGGCCTTGAACGCACAGAGATCCGCCTGCCTCTGCCTCCTGAGTGCTGGTATTAAGGGTGTGTGCCACCACGCCCAGCTCCAAGAAATACATTTTTAACCTTTAATTGTTTTTGTTTTATAGTGACAGTGTTTCACTCGGTAGACCAAGTTAGCCTTGAACTCACACAGATCTACCTACCTACCTCTGCCCCCTAGTGCTGAGATTACTAAGCCTGGCAAGAAATATGTTTCCAAAGTAAATGGCGCCAGAGTACAGGAAAGTACAGCTACTTTTAATTTATAATTATTAGAAAGCCATTGTTAACACTTACCAGCAATGCTTTTCCGCTTCTGAACCACTGAGTGGTGGGGAGCAGAAGGTGACTGGGCTATATCTGTTGGATTTTCAGAATCATGATTGGCTGTGCTCCTTATAAATTCCATAGCAGCCTGGAGAACTTTAAGCTGCAGGGCCAAAGCCATATCTAAAAGGAAAACAGATCAGAACATTTTCAAGCTATCACCATAGCTTGAATCTTTTAACTAAATTTATTTTATTTAACATTGACTATCTAAACTATAGTATTTAACATCTAAGCTATAATAGTCAAATGTCTAAACAATAAAACCTTAGACACAAAATTTATTACCATGGGTTTTTGATGTTAGTATTTTTAAGCTATACATTAAATCAATTTTTAAAAATATTTTTTAGGGCTGGGTATGGTGGTGCACGCCTTTAATCCCAGCACTTGGGAGGCAGAGGCAGGCGAATCTCTGTGAGTTCAAGGCCAGCCTGGTCTACATAGAGAGTTCTAGGACAGCTGGGGCTACCAGGAGACACTGTCTCAAAAAGACCAAAAAAAAATTTTTTTTAAAAAAAAAATGTGTACATCTTTTGCCTATATGTATGTATGTGCACTGTGTGGGAGCCTAATACCCATGGAGGCCAGAAGGGGCATCAGAGCACCTGAAACTGGAGTTACAGGCAGTTGTTAGCTGCCATATGGGTACTAGAAACCAAAACTGGGTTCTCTGCAAGAGTAGCCAGTGTTTTTAACTGTTGAGCCATCTCTCTATGCCCTTAAAAGCAATTTAAAAATAAATTTTCAAATGGTCACTATAAATTTTTTGTTGGGCTACGTAAGACATTGCCTCAAAAAACAAACAAAAAATTTATAGTGACTGTGTGGAAATTTACTTTAAAATTGTTTCTGCCAATGATGTTGCCAGTTACTAATTACATCAAGTCATCATCGCTTTTTCTATTTTCATCACTTCAAAGATTGCTTTGAACAGCAGTTAATATGAACACATAATAAGGTTAAACCTTCAGTAAAATAGAAGAGATTCGGCCCAGATAATGTGCTTCGTTACTATATAACTCCCCACAAACCCATAAAAGGCATTCTTACTTTGTGTCCTCTTGTTTTTGCTGTTTTGAAGATATCCAAGGAGTACAATAAGGTCTTCAATAACTCTAAAATACTGTGAGCCCGATGAACTGCAAGCATGGATCGTAACTGCTATGAAAAGTTGCTGTATATCACATGCAAGCAATTTGTATTCACCCAAAGGAATGCTAAAGATAACCAAAAACAAGACATTTATAAGAAAAACAGCCAATAATTTAAGACCACAAAGTTGTTAAATTCTACTCTACCAGCATGCGTTCATTCACACTTACTCTATGGCAGGTGAGCACTGCCCCAGCATGCGTTCATTCACACTTACTTACTCCATGGCAGGTGAGCACTGCCCCAGGGGTGTGTTCATTCACACTTATTCCTGCTTACTCTATGACAGGTGATATACACTGCATATTAGGATTAAAATAAGACACACTGACTCATGTCAGAACTAGTCTTGCAGAGAACTACACAAGTTACGAGAGCATGATAAACAGCCAACAAATAAATGCAGCAACAGAGATCAGCACAAAACATTCCAAGGACACATAGCAACCTAAATGACCTACATGTGGGGAAAAGGAATAGGGTTAGCAACAATAGTCAGAAATGGTGAACTTGAAGGAATTTAATTAACTTCTCTGAGTTTTAGTTGTATAAACTACACTTCTTTTAGAATTAAAAGGGATAATGGGCTCGAATGAGTATGAATCACTTATAAACAAAAATATGAACCAGTTACTCGGCCTACAAGCTTAACTTTGATAATATACTTCAGGTGTGTGACATCAGACACATACTTTATCCATTTAGGGTTTCCAAATTAAGTAAGAGTTAGAAATACAACTTTCTTGTGTCTAAGTAATACAGCAGCATACAGGGATTATCAGTGTAATTTACAAGGAGAAACTACTTTCAGAACAAGTCTACAGATATGTCTTCAATTTTACTGATTTCATGCACTGTACTTCAATAAAGATCAGGTGTGTTGAGGATATCTAATATTCTGTGTTTCTACTTATCACATGCATGAGTACATGGACCCCATGTTTAACAGGTGCTCAATGAAAGCAGAACTGAGTGAACACAGTAGTCTATCTTTGCCCCAGACAATCACAAAAGATAGGCTCTTCTTGCTCTGCAAAAATATGGACATTTAGTGCTTTAATGTACAACAAGATGGTGCTTCTGAAGATTTATATATTTTAACATTATGCTAGTAAAAATGATAAGCTATGTACCAGAAGTGGGGATACCAAAACTATAGTATCTAATTAACTTATTTTTCAAAGATTTTACTCATTTGGTGGGTAGCCCTTTGCTAATATACTTTTGATTATTAGATGTTAATTTGTACTAATAGTGATAAAGTATTATTTATTATTAAAGCCACATTACAATTGCTACAGTCTCATTATTATAAACAACTTAAGGTAACAGTGACACAATAGCACAGCAAGTTCAAAACTGGCTTTGAAGTGAGACATGTTCCTCTGCTGTTTATGAGCTGTGTAATAATGAATTACTGTATCTCTTTAATCGTCTATTCCTGGTGGATAAGAACTTTATAGACTATGGTGGAAGCTTGGTAAACATATCTGAGAGCAAACTTATTATACAAGTTCTAAATACCTAAAATAGATCAAATAAACACTTTTGTTATTCAGAAAGATCAACAATTTATTTATTTTCATTATTTTATCTTATTATTATTTTTATTTTATTTGTATGAGTGTATTGCCTGCATGTATGAAAGTGCACCTATGTCGTGGAATGCTCGAGAAGGTCAGAAGAGGGCATTGGATTCCCCTGGAACTGGAGTTACAGACAGTAGTTAGCTGCCATGTGGGTGTTGGGAATCGAACCTGAGTCCTCTGCAAGAGCAGCTAGTGCTCTTAACCCCTGAGCCAAGTCTCCAGCTCCTAAACATCTTCTTTTTAACCAAACATTTTAGAAAGTGATGAAAATCATGCGCTCTGTGAGTTAATTTAATAATTTGTGGGACAGAAACTCTTAAAAGCATTGAAAAATGAATAAGGTAACCTATGAGTTTCCCTGTCTAACATATGTATCAAATGCAATTTTAAGTAAAAGTTTAAAACTTACTTCTTTTCTAATCCGTTCAGAGCTGCTACAGTGTTACATAACACATAGAGCAGACCATTGTCCAACAACATGTCCGCTACTTTAGAACAAGAATTTAAAACTTGAAGAAGCAGCAACAGAGCATTATGCAAGAGGATGTTGTCATAGAGAGAGGTCTCTATTAGTCCCAGAACTGGAATGATAGCCCACTTCTGAAAAAGTCCCATTTGCTTCACATCCTCCAGATCAAATCTGTAATTAGAAAGACAGTGCTGAGCATGTTAGGGGCAGTTAGTCACAAAGTAGAAAAAATTCTTGGCACTACATGTGATTTTGTGAACCTGATTTTGAAGCAATAAAAAATAAGTTTGGAGAATAAGGAGTCTTAGCCTTTCTTCTTTAAAGATTATAGGCTCCCATAATAAGGTAAAACCTGCTGCCGGAAGTCCATCCCAAGATAAATGTACAAACACTCAGACGAAATATGTATATAATTTCATAGCTTTAATGGGTTCATTTGCGTTCATCCACAGAACTCTTGTGTTTGCAGAATGCCTGCTGTGGGGAGCTATATAACAAGTGCACAGGAGGATTACTGCTATTTTACAAAGTATTCAAGAGAGTGAGCTCACAACAATGGCTTAGCACCAAGGAGTGGCTCTTGTTCTTCTGACCTAATGATACTTGCCTCTGTGGTGTAGAAAAATTATATGTATTTTGTGCATGTTCCTTATCTGACAGATCGTGATGCTGACTGCCCTATTTTCTTTTCAATACTGTTCTGAAAATAACATCAGACAATGCAGAACTGCTCCAGAAAAAAAGAACCAAAGACTTAATGAAAATGGAAAGTACTACTGACATTACTGAGGCTGGGGATGTAGCTCAGTGGCAGAACACTTGCCTGGCATGCATGAGGACTGGGTTTGGTGTCCAGAAACACAAACATACTAAATTACCAAAGTAGCCAATAATTTGCCCAAGGTGTGAACTTGTCTACTATAAAAAAAAGGCACACTTTTTTTTTCCATCATAAACAGAAACAATAGATAATTTCACTGCTAAACTTTTAGTTTCAGTGAAAAAAAATTGTTATCTTCACACATATTGCTAATCCCTCCGCATTACACCAGAGTCAAATCTGATCAGTCAGCACATCCAGGAGTTCCAGGGGAGGCTCTGAGGGCTGAGGGGCCCTGCGTGCAGCACTAAGATCTGTCACTGAGAACGTGGGGCCACCCTCCCTTTCAGGGAACTTTCTCCTGGTAGCACTGCAGGCTGAAGCTTAACTGTCACTTTCATGTGATACTACAGTTATTTGTTTCTTGTTTCTAATTAGTGAATAAAATACAAAGGAAAAAGTAACACGAGGAAAGAAGGATCATGTGCAAAATAGCAAACTGATTTACCTTCCATCATAAACAGAAACAATAGATAATTTCACTGCTAAACTTTTAGTTTCAGTGAAAAAAAATTGTTATCTTCACACATATTGCTAATCCCTCCGCATTACACCAGAGTCAAATCTGATCAGTCAGCACATCCAGGAGTTCCAGGGGAGGCTCTGAGGGCTGAGGGGCCCTGCGTGCAGCACTAAGATCTGTCACTGAGAACGTGGGGCCACCCTCCCTTTCAGGGAACTTTCTCCTGGTAGCACTGCAGGCTGAAGCTTAACTGTCACTTTCATGTGATACTACAGTTATTTGTTTCTTGTTTCTAATTAGTGAATAAAATACAAAGGAAAAAGTAACACGAGGAAAGAAGGATCATGTGCAAAATAGCAAACTGATTTACCTGGAAAATTATTCTTAGCAGATTTTTCTTCTGATGGCATAAAATTATTTTAAGAGTATGTTCATTAAACTTTACATTTAAGACAAAAGATCCCTAATTATGGTAGAGAAAAGAACTCACTCTTCATCAAGGCCAATGCAGCGACCAAAGAACATTTCAGTGAAGCAGTCTAACAGTTCCTGAGTTCCTCGATGAAGATACAATTGGTTGGCTAGCAAGGAAAAGCCGTGATTCTTCAGAAACTTATCCTTTTGTTCCTTAGATGCTCTATTAAAATATGAGTGTAATAGCTAAAGGAAAAATTAAGACAATTTAGATGTTAAAATCTATTAAGTACAAATTGGACAGTATAATTCTCGTAAATTATCATTTAAGTTATTCATATACATAGTCGTGCATAAAGTTATAAAACATGTTACCTACATGGTGAAACTGACTGACCACTTGGGGGTTTTCATACCTCTGTGCTGGTGCGGGCAGCTGAGCAAGGACCAGGGGACTGGCAGCACTGGCTCAAGGTAAGAGTACTTATGTCTAATTCTGAAGGAAAAAGTCAGTGTGCTGTTTTCTCTGCAAATCTGTATACCCTGCCCCACACACACCCTAGACTTCTTGAGAGATGATTTATTCTGAGCACAGCCCTGAATTTCTACCATTTTCTAACTTCTTTCCCTTTTTCCTTTCCTAGAACTAGATACACACATTCATCATTTTTTAAAACATTATTTACTGTGTGTGCCATGGTGTGTGTATGTGGACGTAAGAAGGCAACATGTGAGAATTGGGTCTCTCCTTCCACCATGTGCATCTTGGGGATCAAACTCAGGTTGTCAGTCTTGGGGGCAAGTGCCTTTACCTGCTCAGCCATCTAATGGGCCCCCATTTTCTAACTTTTTAAATGCAACAAATGTAAAACCCAATTAGTTACTTTTCTTTCTGTTCTAGTTTGCTTCCTGTTGCTGTGATAAAATATCCTGACCAAAAGCAACGTGGAAAGGAAAGGGTTTATGTGGCTTACACTCCCAGGTCACAGTTCATCCCTGAGGGAAGTTAGGGTAGGCACTCAAGCAGGAACTGAAGCAGAAACCATGAAGGAATGCTGCTTGCTAGCCTACTCCCTCTGGCTCATGCTCAGCTAGCTTTCTTCTACAACCCAGGACAATCTGCCCAGGAGCAGCACTGCCCACAGTGGGCTGGGTCCTCCCAAATCAATCAACAGTCAAGGCAATGGCACACAGACAAGGCCACAGGCCAATGTGATCTAGGCCATCCCTCAATTGAGACTCCCTCTTCCCACGTGACTCTTGTGTTAAGTTGGCAAAATTAACCAGGGCACTTTCTAAACTTATCTTTTCCATGTTTTGAACTTGGATGGACTTTAGGACCATCTCTCTAGATTTCAGGCAAAACTCTCTTTTGCCTTTCTTATTCCCCATTCCCAGATGTAATCATGAAGGTACACCTTTTCCAAAAGTCTCTCAAATCTATGTCCTCTGACTTTTATCACTCCAGGTCTGGAGCTCCTGATTGTTCTGTGGCACCATGAGGCTTGCCTGCTGGCCTGTTGGCAGAACATTTCCACCCTCTTTCCCTTTCAAACACACATCTATTTACTACCTCCTTAAAAAGCTTCCTAAGTTTACTGTAAACAACTAAAATGCATTTTTTGGTATGAATCCTTTCTCACTTTCTCCTAAGTGTTTTATACTGCAACCTAAAGTAATTAAACAGCACCTAGATCTAGACAACTAAAGAAAATAAAATTCTTTAAAAGAGCATTTCAGTAGTTTGTTTTCTAAGGGAAGCCACTCATATCAAACATTCATTCAACAACCCAGTGGGTGCCTACTATCTATCAGACAGAAGATGTCCATGTTCATAGTTTATACCCTCATGAGAGATTAAAAACAAGTGTACAGACAAATTAAAAAGATAAACAGGACGGTGTAACAATAATAAAGTAGGGCTGAAGGGAAGTACTTCTGACAGGTAGTCAAAAAAGACATCTTTAAAAAGGTGACAACCAAGCTGAGACCTGAAGTAGATGTTTCAAAGTGGACACACTACAATGCAAGAGAGACTTCCAATGAATTGCATGGTCCTTGTAAATTTTTGTAAAGCAGACTTAAGAGTTAAGAATATAAATTTTGGGTGATACCAATTAGTATTTAAGGATAGACTTAAAATTCAATACTACATACAAAATGTCAGTAAAAATAACAAAACTACACAGCTCATTAATCTTAAGTATAAAATAAAGCTTTAAGTCTACCTTAAATACATTAAAATTTCACATTACACATATATTAATTTTCCTGATGATTTATGTAGTGTTTGCCCTTACTTTAATCACTCCTTGCTGGATAGCTGGTGATGGGTGGTTAACGAGAACTAAGAGAGTATCCGCTTGAATAAGCCTGTCCATCACATCTTCAAGCATAACATCAGGCAGGATAAGGAGGACTCCACTTAAGAGTTCATAAAATCCACAGCAGATAGGCACCAAGCAGTCTTCAGTGACACTGAGACAGAGGCCAGAAAAGTCTTAATCACACAGCACCAGAGAGAAAACCATGTGAAGACTGCCTTAGGAACTCTGCCAAGCAGTACTTCTAACATATAAAACAAATAGAAGAAATACTTGTTTCCTAGTTTAAAGGTGATTAACAAACTCACCACTGTTTTTTAAATGTAGATAGTTCTCAGCAGATAGTATACTAAACATTATTCTATTCTGTACCTATGACGTCTAATGTAGCAATAATGCCACATATGCTACTTAAACTACGTAAAGTTAAAAATCCAGGTCCTCCTGCACAAGATCCAGCCTGAATACTAGCACAGAGAGAAAAGAGGGCCATAAGACACTCCCCTACCTGAGGAGCTATGGACAGTTGGTGGTTTCTGGGAGAGGAGAGTCAGTTTTCTTTTAGAGTGTTGGCTCCTGGTAGACTGACTTTGCTCTAGTGGATGGTTCCATACCCAGGAGTATATGGACAGCATAAACCAGAGTTTATTATTATTATTATTATATTATTATTATTTTAAAAAGGATACAAAGCTGGGGGTAGGGAGTTGGAAATGGATCTGGGAGGAGTCAAGGGGAGGAGTTGGGGGTGAATATGATCAAAATGTATTGCATGTAATTCTCGAAGAACTAACAAATGTTATATTAAGAAATCCAGGCCCTCAGATGTACCTCAGATACACTTTAAATGTTCCATAGGCACAGGGCTGGGCACACTGTATCTGACAGCACAAACACTTCATTATCACAGAACGTTTCATTGCACAGGGCCACGGTGATACCACTTGGGAACAGCAATAAATCTGATCATTTCTCAGAAGTAAAGAATTTTTGTCTAATAATTATAAAGAATTAAATAAACCCCAATAGAGATTTTCCTTAAGAGTTATTTGGCTTTTGAGTGAGTATAGAATGCAATACTATCTAACACTGAAATGAGAAGCAAGGTATCTTTCTGCTTGGAACTGATATGTGCTCAGAAGTGGCATAATGAAGATGTTTCTAGAAGTGCAGGGGTTCTGGGACAAGAAAACAAGAGTACCTGTGAGCACCTTCAGCTCGCCTGTAGTTTGACTCATATCCAGGAGAAAAGGCAAAGTTTTCCCAGTCATCAGCATTCTTATCAACAAGACTCGGCCATCGGCTGGCAGCTGCGGATCCATTCTGCGAGGGAAATGCGAGCCCAAGGCTTGCAATAGTGCTGTGGCTTTGCTGGAATGAGGCAAGTCCCCTGAGGTTATCAGGTCGACGTGGGAAGGACTCATCTCTAGGACTTTCATCATCTGATCTAGGCTCTACTCCCAAGTCTTTATGATCTACTCTGGCCATGGGAAACCCCAGTGCTTCTCTGGGGACATCATTGGCAGAGGCCCGTGCTGCGAGAAGAGCTTCCATTTCACAAACAGTTTTTGCAGACTCACAGCTACTGATGAATGCATCCTCTTTGCCAGTTTTCAGTGTGTCGGAACTCCCCAAAGGATTCTGCTTCTCTGGTTGGCTATCTGCAATGTTCTGTAGCTTGTCAATACTACAACCCAATCTTCCAGGCAGTTTTTGTGCCTGCATCAGTGGTAAATAAGTAGGAAATGCTGGTAGACTTCTAGATCGTACCATGTGGGCACCCATCCGCTGTGGAATAATACTGGAGGAACTGGTTCCTAGTAAGAGTAGATAGAAAAATACTTATAAATCTATTAAACCGGGCCACTTCTCCTCTGTAATATAAGTCACAACAATGGCAGCAGCCAGCCAGCCCTGCACTATTAAAGAATCCATAAAGGGTAATTTTCCTAGGAGTAAAATGCTTAAAATGCTTATGTGCCAGCTGGGCGTGGTGGCGCATGCCTGTAGTCCCAGCACTTGGGAGGCAGAGGCAGGAGGATCTCTGCGAGTTCAAGGCCAGACTGGTCTACACAGTGAGCTCCTGGCCAGCTGGGGCTACAGGGAAACCCTTTTTCAAAAAGACCAAAAAAAAAAAAAAATGCTTACATGCCAAAACCATTTTTCTTTTAACCACATTTTATTAAACTTTCAAAAACTTGTCATTTCCTGTCTCCTTAATATCGATGGCATATGTGAAGTCAACAGAATTAATGGTTTCACATGAATTCAAGTGAAATTTAATTTACGAAGGCCAGCAGACATGGCTGTATCATGACAAAGTAGAGAGTTCAGGCTTTGCAACGAGATCTGACTGATGTAAATGCAGTTCTGTTAGTTTGGTGACCTATGTAAACCACTTAATTGTGCCACATAAAATGATAAGTTTCTGCAAATGTAAAATGAGGGTTAAAAATATTTACTCTGCAGGGTGGCTTTAAGGATGGGGCGAGGTCATGTCCACTATGCACCTAACATGGTACACAGACTATAACAGGTGCTTAATAAAAGGTGGTACTTGCTATTACTAGACAAAATGGCCCTTAGACCACTCTTTTGCCTCCATTTCTGAGGTTATTTATTGATGCTCTTAATAAGAGGCCTTTTCCCTTCAAGGTTCTCTAATTTAATGGTGCTAATATTCTGTTCAGTAGTGGTGAGGTATAGTTTAAAACTTGCTGCAGAGTTTGGCGGTGAGGAAGGCTAGACGGGGGAGGGATTTTCAGGTCAACATCCAGAGGCTGAAAGACTGAAGACGGCATCAAGAAAGCTGCTGTAACTGCAGAGGGGGTTCTAGAGCGAACTGAAACAACAGAAGCAAATGGAGCAGAGAACAGAGGAACAAGCCAGAGACAGGAGGCTGTTAGATTAGTTCCTTCTACCAGCTACCAGAACTTTCCAGAGGATGCTATTTCTAGATGGAAGGTTCTATCAAAAGGCCTGGAGAAATTGAGGGTAGGATTTTTTCTGAAGGAGTTATTTAGAATGATGCTGGTGACTAAAAAAAATCATCATGCAGTTGGAACAGAGTGGAGAACTTGGGTTCTAGGGGTGCTTAGATGCCTTCTTGATCAGTCATGTCAAAGAAAGATGCCAGTAGATGAGAAAGTCCCCTAAGTCAAGCAACATGAGGATGGAAATTCGTCATCCACTTAGTGAGATGTCTGGAATGATGGGCTTAGGCAGAACGGAGAGAACAAGAAAACCAATTCTTTGAAGCACATGGTAAAGTGAACCGAAGTTTAATGAAAGACAAATGACAATGGTAAGAGGGTACATGACAAGGGAGCAGGAGCCTCATCCACTTTGGGGGATTCTCCAGAGGACCTGTGCTGGGTACCTTGTTAGTCTGAGTGTAAAGTACCTATACTTGAAGGTAGTGAAAAATGGATCTCTCTTTTTGAAATCAAGTCTATTTCTCATTGCTCACCCTCAACTCCTTCTGAGTCCCCTTCCCACCTCCACCTCTCTCTCTCTCTCTCTCTCTCTCTCTCTCTCTCTCTCTCACACACACACACACACACACACACACACACACGTTTAAAACCGCCAGGTGTGGTGGCACACACCCCTTTAATCTCAGAACTCAGGAGGCAGAGGCAGGTGGATTTCTGTGAGTTTGAGACCTGCCTGGCCTATACAGCAAGTTCTAGGCCAGCGAGGGCTGTAAGATGAGACCCTATCTCAAAAATCAAAAGCAAAGCAAAGCAAACCAAACAACCCCATAACCCAAAAAACAAAACCCCCAAAACCCTTACTGAGCCCAATTAATGTTGTATACTAAAAATGATTTAAACACATTTTCAGGATATCAAGTTATACTATACTGCTAAAACACGCACAATTTAATTATCTTTGAATATTCATAACTAAAATAGGATGGGTTGTAATTTCATCTTTGCTATTATTACCTTCAGGTGGTGATGCAGTGAAGTCAGATGGGCTTACTACCATAAATTCAGGGCTGGGAAGAGACCTCCCTCCACTGCTGGAGTATCGTAGGTATATGATCGACTGCACCTTCTCCTGCAAGATCTTGCCATCTGGAATCCAAAATGGTTTTGAGACAGCAACATTTTTTAAAAGGATAAAAAATTTAACCTTTAAAAGCAAATCATTAAGGCTGGGTGTGGTGGTACACACCTTTAATCCTAGCACTCAGGAGGCAGAGGCAGGCAGATCTCTGTAAGTTCCAGGCCAGCCTGGTCTACATGTCTGCATAGTAAGTTCCAGGCCAGCTGGAGCTATAGGGAGACTCTGTCTCCAAAAAAAAACAAAGGAAGTAATTAAACATCAATTTTGACAGAAAGATGTTTACAGAGGAACAAATATGCCCTGCTTCATAGTGCCCCATACTGTAAGGACGCCTATAACTTCTCACTATAGATTCTGTGGCAAATGACTCTTGTAGCCCACATTAACTTCTACTTTCTTTGAATTCCAACTGTACTTAAAATTATTTTGAGATTTCACAATTAACTGTTCTTTTTTCATGTAAATATGATCTCTGAAAAGATACTGCTTACCTGTTCATTCCTTAAAGATGTGTCCTATCTCTCTATATAACTTTTTCAAAAAATATTTTTTATTATTTTTATGTGTATGAATGTATTGCCTGCATGTAGGTACATGCACCCGTGTCGTGCAATGCCCATGGAGGACAGAAGAGGCTGTCGGATCCCCTGGAACTGGAGTTATGGATAGTTGTTAGGTGCCATGTGGGTGCTGGGATTTGACCCCCGGTCTTCTGTAAGGACAGCCAGTGTTCTTAACCGCTGAGCCATTTCTCCAGACCCCACTCTCTCTATATTACTTTCTATATTTGTTTAGTGTCTGTGTGTGTATGCACACATATGGAAATCAGAGGACAACTTGCAGGTGTTGGCTCTCTCCTTCCCCCATGTGGGTCCTAGGGATTGAACTTGGGTGGTCAGGATCGGTGGCATGTGTCTTTACCCACTGGGCCATCTTGCCAGTCCTATACTATTAATTATTTACTTTTATTTTATGCATATGAGTGTTTTGCCTGAATATATATAAGCACAACCAAGCGTGCAATGCCCGTGGAGGTCAGAAGAGGGCGTCGGATGCCCTGGAACTGGAGTTATGGATGGTTGCTAGCCACCATGTGGGTGCCGGGAATCAAATCCAGGTCCTCTACAAGAGCAGCCAGTGCTCTTAACCGCTGAGCCATCTCTCCAGCCCGTGTCCTATAGTTTTAAGCATCCCCTTTCGGTATATGATATGACCCCCAAATACTTTCAGCTTAATCTTCCTTCTGAGCGTCACACTTTGAAATCTGCCATCTTGATTCTGAAAACACATCCTCAGCACACACTGCTTGTCTTTCTGCACTCATTCACACCTCGTTTGCCCTCTGGATAGCTTGGCAGGCTTTCCATGTGGAGAGTTGGAGCTACCTATGTAACAACTGTCCTTAACCCAAGTCAAGTCAGCCAGCAGATTCTAAAATTCAGGGTCCATCATTTCTCCACTGGATTAGTATCACAGCTTTCTAAAGGGTATCTGGTAGATATCTTGTCCACTCTGAATCCTCAGAGACACCAGAATTCTGACAAATGTCAGCTGTGACTTAATACCTCCTGTTGCCTCCTCCATACCTTTGTCTACAAGAACCTCCACAGTTTGCCCAGCCTCTCTCGTCTTGTTTCTTATACTTGTGACACCAACCTCTTAGGCTCCTTGTCAGCCTCCGCCTAGAAGGCCTTCCCACCACTCCCTCCTTACCCCACAGGACTCAGAGCACACACCCCTTCCCTCGGGAGTACCTGCTAGCCTCTCCCGGATCTGTTACCAGAAAACCAAAGGCTGTCTTCTACATCTCCGTGCTGCCCACAATTTGGCATAACAACTATCTGTTTATTTCTTTCCCCTCTACCAGGCCATTCGCTTTGGAGGGAGAGAACACATTCACTCATCTTGTTCTGCTTCTGGGATCTTGTGTAGTACTTCATCCATGAAATGTGCCAACCAAACATGAGCCACGCTATCTAATTCCATTACAGGTTTACTGCTGTTCAACCCTTCCTTCCTTCCTCCCTCCCTCCCTCCCTTCCTCTCTCTTTTGTCTTTTTTTTTTTTTTTTTTTTTTTTTTTTTTTTTGGTCTTTTTGAGACTGGAATTCACTATGTAGACCAGGCTGGCCTTGCTCTTTTGTCTTTTTGAGACAGGGTCTCTTTGTAGCCCCAGCTGGTCTGGAACTCGCTATGTAGACCAGGGATCTGCCTGCCTCTGCCTCCCAAGCGCTGGGATTAAAGGGGTGCACCACCATACCCGGCTATTTAATAATTTCTTAAAATGGTTGTTTAAAAAAAATGGTGGTTAAACCAAATTTCCATTTTAGATTTACTACCCAGCTCTCTCTCAGGTTCACCTTGTTTACTTTCTTACTGCATTATATCTTCCTAATTCATTAAACACTGGCTACGGATTTACTTACTGTTATTGGTCTTTACTGAGCACATGCCTCTTACCTTCTGGTATTTAAGCTCCCTGGAGGTAGGGGTCAGTTCTGTTTACCCTGTAACCCACTGTCTGCCCCAGCCCAAGATATAATTAGGACTATCTCCAGCCATTCAAATAAGTATCAAAACAAATGTGGATCAACAGTAAAAGACAACACAAGAGGAGATGCTGAGACCCAACAACGATCATACCCACCTATGTGCAAAGAGAAGTAGAAGTTTGTGGGGTTGTGACAGACATAAGTATTAGTAGGAGGGTGAACTGCTAAAAGGAAATTGAAGATAATTGTCAATAATTCCAAGTCTGGAGGAGATCCAAGGACTTCTGCAATGATTTTCACAAACGATCTACAGACCTCTTGGGGCATAGTTGTAAGTTGCCCCTCTTTGTGTTCCTGAAAAAATAAAAACCAAACTCTCTTTAGATTTAAGGAGAACTACCAACTAATACTTTCATTTAAACAAGACTTTTTTTTCTAAAATAATAATAATTATTATTATTATGTGGGTGAATCTGCATGTGGAGATCAGAGGACAACCTTGTGAAGTTGGTTCTCACGTTAAACTTTTATGTGGGTTCTAGGGATCAAATTCAGGTCATCGGGTTTATGTAGCAAGCCATCTTGCTGGGTCAAGACAGTCTTTCTAAGAGAGAATTCTGTTGGTTTACAACTCTAGTCTGAACACATTTACTATTAAATCGAGGCACTATTTCTCAACTCAAGTAATCTTGCCATTAAAACTTCATCAAAAGCAGTGGCAATTTAATTCCAGTCCTCACAGCTTAACTGAGGCCAAATTTTGCTGCAGAACTCATGAGCACGGACTCAAAAGCCGAAGAGCCTAGGTGTGCTGTGACCCCTGGCTCGGAGCTGTGTGACCTGAGGAATGTTATTTCTCATGGTTATGCTTCTGTTTCTTGGTCTATGGTACAGAATAATGCCACTGCTACTTCATAAGGTCATTGTGAGGGTTAAATGGCATGAACTCTTAGAATAGTGCCTCATACACAGCAAGCCCCACACAGGTCAAGCATCCTTTATTCAAAAAACCTGGGACCAGAATAGCATCAGAGCCCAGTCTTTTGGATTTGGGGAATATCTATATAGACTTTATAGTTAAGTATCTATAATCTCAAAATCAGAAATGTTTCTATAAAAATCTTAGTACTGCCATCAATACTATGCCATCAGTACTATGGATCTGCTATTACTACTACCACGTTTGCTGTTATTACTACTGCTACTATTACTGTAACTACTACTAGATCTGGAAGAACATCTACTAAAGCAAACTAGTATACTAATATACTGTACTTCCATTTACAAAGTTCTTTCCCACAACGGTTCTAAAAGGGGGTTTTCACTTTTAGAATATGGCTGAAAGTGGTTACTTCAGTAGCTTGAACCTCACAGAAACTACAAGAATTGTACCACTATAACTTAAACTCAGGCAAGCAAAGGACCTAAGAGATCACTATATTGTGTTTCTGAAGACAATAATTTGTTTACAATAGAGGTCAAGGAAGGCAGTACAGTGTTTTTTAAAACAAGTATTCATTAAGTGCCTATGTGTGCCTGGTACAAGGGTCATAGTGTGGTCTAAAAATTCAACAACCAAAAAAACTGATCCCTTACCTTCAGAAGATTTTTCAGGGAGAAATAAGCTATAATCTCATAAACAACATAAACTACCTACCACACGTGTATAGTGAAATGTATAAAGCAGAGGGGTTAATCTGGATGGAAAGAGTAGGGAGGCTTCTCTCAGGAAATAAGCTTTAAGGAGAGATAAAAGCAGGTGTCAGGCAAATGAAGAGAATGAGACCAACAACTTCCAGGGCAAAGAGGGTAGCAGGGACTCACACTTGTGGATGGGAGGAAAAACAGAGTTTAGTGGGCTGAGAGACCTGCACATCATCAGATCACACAAGCCTCCTTGACGGTGCTGTCATGATGTTTGGATTTTAGCTCAACTAGACCGAGAAGGTGTCATGCCAAGGCTCTGCCAATGAAGCAAAGGCTCTGACAACATGAGATGTTACAGAACCCATGGAACATCTCAGCTCAGCTCTCTTGCCAAAACTGTAATGGATGCTTCATACATTAAGAGCAAAAAGAAAACCTTGGAAAACAGCCCAATAAACAAACCAAACAGATGAAAGGAAATCTGCAAAGGCAGATGACAGCACAGATATATAACACAAGTTAGTGCCACTTTTTAGCACAGTATTTTGGATATATTTCTAAGTTTCTAATTAGCATATAAAAAGATCTTAGCAAATTATATTTACTAAAAGCATTTATACATGTAAGTTACTTAAGGATTATGAAATGAGTTACACTTCTCAATTTGCTGATGTTCAGGAAACTACAGATTGCTACATTCCAACACAAGGAAACATGCAGAGGTCTAGCAGTGGTGCTTTTGTTTGAGTCAGGAAGGTGGCAGTGCAAAGATCAAGATACAAGAGCTGAAAGAAAGCAGCCTTGAGGACAGGTAAGATATAAGACAGAAGCAGTCCCATTGAAAGCCCCGTGAAATCTTGATGTCCACAGCACTAAGGTATTAAAGAGAGCACCTGTAGGACACATCTCCTCAGTGACGCTGCATGAAAAGTACCTGCAAAACCTGACAAGTCAGCAGGAAGTGACGGACCACTTGGGCTTTCAGTAACTGCTTAATATTGAACTGCTGCTGCTGGTGCTCTGCCCGGATGAGGACTTCCAGAGCTGCTAGGAGAGTCTCCCACACACCTTGCTAAGAGAATAAACACACACCAATTAGCATACGGTTATGGAGAAACATACTGCAGGCCTTCTAGAAGACTCACAATACAACCATTCCACATTCTGTGCACATCTTAGGTCAAAGGTTCAGTTTATTGGAAAGAAGGTAAAGTTTTCAAATTTATGCCTTTCAGCTCATATTACTCTGAACTGTTCATAACTTCCCATGGGGAACAAGCCTCCAGATTTCCATTTGTAATTAACAATATATTGAAGGTGCAATTAAGAAGTATTCTTATAGGGCTGGAGAGATGGCTCAGTAGTTACAGAGCACTGGCTATTCTTGTAGAGGACCTAGGATTCCCAGCACCCACATGGTGGCCAACAACTGTCTGCAATTTCAGTTCCAGGGGAATTCTATGCCCTCTTCTGGACTCTGTAGGCATTGCATGACATGATGCATTTACATATGTGTAGGCAATACACTCATACACATAAAATAAAAAACATCAAATAAAATATTAAGAAATATTTTATTAATTCTTTGAGAATTCCAAACATGTACACAATGTAGTTTGAGTCATATTAACCCCTGATCCTTGCAGGTCCACCCCCACCCCTCCTCCCAACTTCATATACTCTCTCTCTTTATGTATGTGTTTGTTTATTTGATTTATTATATGACTATATTTAAAAGTCTATGTCTCTGTTCACAATAGCCAAAATGTCCCTTTGAAGGCAATGTGTTTAGGAAAATGTGGCGTACACCTACTGTGAACTACTACTCAGCCTCAGAAGGGAAGGAAATCCTGGATGAACCCTGAGGATATGATACTAGCTACTCATAACAAACAAACAAATACTGTATGATTCCACTTATATGAAATTCTTAGAGTAGTTAAAGATCATAGACCCCAAAAATAGTGGGTTGAGAGGACTGGGGGGGAGGAAAAGACAGACTTACTGTTGGACAGGTATAGAATTTTCCTTTTACAACATGAAAAGAATTACGGAGAAAATGTTGGTGATGGTTGAACATTTGAATACATGTAATGCTTCTCAACGACAAACTTAAAATTGTCATGATAAGCAATTTGTATGTTATACATAGTGTACCACAGTAAACAGATGGAATGTAAGTAGATATTACATGCCTCTGCTTTATTCCATATCTTCCAGTCAAGCAACAGTTCCTGTAACAGTTTAACATCTTGGATTATAGCATTAGACTCTCCATCCAACTTAAACTCCCCATTTTCGTTGATGTGGATAATCTCTTCACCACAGCAGCCTTCCAGAAGGGTCTATGGAAAATGAGTATTAACATAAAGTGAAATAGTAACTGATTGACCAAGTACTTCAACAGAAACATTGAACCTTCTACCTTAGCAGTCATCATTAGAATCTCAAAATAAAACTAGTAATTTAACATTTCTTCAAATATCTTTGTTTTATTAAACAATTAAAATTAGTAGAAAATCACAAATTTTCAAGTATTTACAATTACTCAGTTTCAAATGTGGTAAAATTGCCTTTCATACTTTATTTATTTATGTATTTATTTTTGCAGTGTTGGGAATGGAACCCTGGGCTTGCACATGAAAAGTGAGCACTCTACCAGTGAGCAAATCCTCAGCCCTTATTTTTAGTCTTTTTTTTACCTTTTTGTTGTTTTGAGTTCAAGTTCCAGTGCTTACTAATGTGTGTCTTTGTCCCAACTTCTTAATTTTTCTATACTTCTGTTTCTACCCCTACAACACGGGAAGAGCTGAAAGAATATGAGCCACTGTATTTACAACTGGAAAGAATGCTAATTTGCTTAGTTTAGATTGTTTAGTCCTCCTGACAACTCCGTGACATATAAACAACTGTGATAGCTAGCCTCTTTTGTATAGCACTCTGGAAGCTGAGAACCAGACACGTGAATTTAGTTCTTGGGTTTTAAAGATTTTGTTTTTTAAAATGTATGTATGCTTGTATGTCTTTGGGGTGGGGTGGGTGGGGGAATGTGTATTTGAGTGCAGTTGCCCAGCACCCACATGTGGTGGCTAACAACCATTTGTAACTTCAGTTCCAGGGGAATTCTATTCAGGACAGAAGAAGGAGTCAGATCCCCTAGCGTTGGAGCTATAGCTCGTTGTGAGCTGCCGGATGTGGGTGCTGGGAACTGAACTCTGGTCCTCTGCTCTTTCTGTTAACTGCTGGGTCATCTCTCTAACCCCAGCCCTTGGGTTTTAGAGACAGGGCCTCTCTATGCAACACAGGCTAGCTTTGACCCTCCTGCCTCGGCTTCCAGAATGCTAGAATTATAGCTGTACATCACCATGCCTGCATGTTTCTATAAGGAATCATGCCAAGAATACATGGACCTGATAGTTTAAAGAAAGGAGGTTGGGGAAAGGGTAGAATTATTTTCTGTCTTAATACCTATCCTCAGAGAAAAATACTTTCACAACATTACCAAATGCAGTTAGCCAGAAAGGCATTCAAATCTATGAGGATTATAGGACTATAGTAAAAACTAACATAGATATTTGTAATTTAAAAAACTGTAGGGGGGGCTGGTGAGGTGGCTCAGCAGGTTAAGGCATTTGTTGCCAAGCCTGATGACCTGCATTCCATTCCTAGGACCTACATGGTAGAAAGAGAGAACTGAGTCCTGCAAGATGTCCCCTGACCTCTACACACGTGCACCATGGCAAGCGCAAACCCACACACATATACACGAAAACAAAACAAATGTAATTTAAAAGAATTGTAGGTGTTCCAGACATGGGATACCTCCCTGCGAATTACTGGTCTGGGATACTCCAGTGGCAGTCCAAACAACATAAGCTACCGTCATTGCTCTTGGTTGTCCACTCCACCATAACTAGATGGTGAGACCCTACTGCTGAAGGCATTATACACTTTGGTTGTAAGACATACAGAAATCAATTCTGAATTGACTGGGAAACTTCTTCCCTGCTGGCTAGCTTTCATAATGTCAGAAAGTGCCATGTAGGCCACTTCATGAGAAAAAAACATGGTTTTACTAAGAATGGTTTTACTTAGCACTAGATCTTGCATATTATAATGATCTGCCAGTCAAGTGCAATAATGGCATGACTGCTATGCGGAGTAACCAACTGTTTTCTGGTTGAACTTTAGGACTGCTCCATAGGGGGAATTCATGCCTGGTACTGTAAATCTGTTCAAAAGGCCATGGCTGGGGAGGTCAAAGGCCCTGGGGAACCTACTATTGTTTTGCTAAGTGGCCATGTTATAAAACTGTCTTCTAAATACTTATGTTTACACCACATATCTGCACTGCTCTCAACCTTGGTCAGAGCATCTTCTTTATGCAGCAGCAGCAGTCAATGCAGAGACTCAACTGGTCAAAGTACTGAGACTAAGTGATTAGGGTCAAAGTACTGAGACTAAGTGATTAGGAATGCTCAGCCCTAAATGGGACATCTATACAAGCTCCCTGCACCCAAGGCTCAGGGAGCATCGAGGAGGAGGGAGAGGAAAGACTATAAGAGCTGGAGAATGGGGAGGAGTGCTGTGAAATGCTGTCTTATGGATACGACATGTCTGGTGCACTTGAATTTCACAGCAGCTGAGGTTACCTGCTCAAGATCTGTATAAGATAAGCCAATCAAAATTCCAGAATGGATGGGGAGGGAGCCCTCCAACCTCCACCTCCACTTAGCTGAGGTGCTACTGACAGCTGATGGCTTCTGGTGGAGGGGGGAGGGTCATTTTTCTTCAGGGTGTGAGTGCTGGTAGGTTCCCTGTGCCCCCATGGGTGGGCCCATGCCCATGTGCACACAGGCAGTATTAACTGGACTCAGTGGATCATATTAAAAAAAGATATGAAGTTGGGAGGGGGAAGTGTTGGGGAGGGGGTCCAAGAGGGTTGGAATGGAGAAGTGGGAAGTGGATATGATCAAAATACGTTATATACATATATGACATTCTCAAGGAACAAATAAAAAATATTATATAAAATACTATCTGTAGGGGCTAGCGAAATGGCTCAATTGGTAAAGTGCTTGCCTCTCAGGGATGAATACCTGAATTTGGATTCCCAGAACTTACATAAAAGCTGGGCTTGGCTAGGCCCGGCTATGCACACCTGTAAACCCAGCACTGGGGCAGGGCAGAAACCAGAAGATTCAACCTAGCTGAATCACTGAGCGTCATGTTCAGTGTGAGACCCTGTCTCTAAAAAATAAAGGTGGAAAGCTATTGAAGAAGATATCTGGTGTTGACCTCTGGCTTCTGTGTGCATGTCTACACATGTGTATATGTACACCCACATGCACATGTACACCTCCATACTAATAATGACATACACCCTCCTAAACCATATCATACCACACACAAAAACAAGACAAAAAAAATCCCTAACTATAGCAATATTGCCAGTCTGCAGGGGCATGTCTCTGAAGAGCTGGGTTTCTTTTCCCTAAGTGTGGGGCTGAGACAAACAATTTCATCAGTCCACAGAACAAGGAGCTAGGCATTGAGGACCTGTGTGGTCCACCTAGATCTAAAATTCTTTGAGTCTTTTTTTTCCTTTGTAAAGAAAAGAAAAATGCAATTATTCCGGAAAGAAGAGTACCTTGGTTTGAGTAAATGGATACTAGTGAGTTTCCCTCATTTTCTTCAAGAGTACTGAAACACGAAAACTACTATGGAAGAAGATTTTGATGAAAGGTATTGCTGCACAGAAACCAGAATAAATTTTATGAGGCCATACCTTCAAAAAGTGAAAGCCAACAATGCATTTTTGTTTGATCAATACTTGATGAATCATAGATAGTCCATTACAGTTTTCTAATTCATGTACTCTCTGTTGGTTGTACTTAATTAAAGACAATATAACCCGGAGGGCTAATGCTTGAGTTTCTTCACAGCCACTGAGTTCAACAACCTGAAAACAAAACCAGATATGTTTTTCTCCTAATTTGTTAAGAGTAAAAATTGAATATGTGTGATTACTGTGACAATGGCATATCAAGTCATTTTAATGCTCACACTATTTGAGAATTATGGTTAAAAAAAGAATTATGGTTAAGAGCTGGGTATGATGGCACACAATGATAGTTCCAGCACTCGGGAGGCAGATGCAGGTAGTTCTCTATGAAACTGAGGCCAGCCTTGTTTACATGGTGAGTTGTAGGCCAGCTGGGGCTACACAGAATTCCTGTCTCAAAAAACAAAAACAACCACAAAAAACCCAAAACCAAATCAAAGAGATTTGTGGTCAGACAAAACTGAAAGAACACCATCAATTCCACGTGGTCAGACAAAACTGAAAGAACACCATCAATTCCATGCTCTTTTGTCTCATACTGAAATGAACAAAATAACATTGACAGCCTTAGATCTGATAATGTGAGCACAGAGCCTTGAGTTTTCCATGGTCAATCAAGAAAACACACTTTGAAAGTCTTATTGGCAAGATCATCAATTATTTACAATAGAAATTTAAGTATCTTATCTAGAGTACAATTATATTTACTACTCGGATGAAAAGAAAAAATAAAGGGTACACATTGTGAAGTTATACAATGATGTAAAAAGAGATCACGAAATGCTGACCAGGAATTAAATGAAAAGCTTTTACTTTTGAAACACTAGCAGAAAATCCATTCAACTAGATACAATATGGGGGGACTAAGAAGAGAAAGAGGAAAGACAGCAAACACACTAGGGTGGGTGAAATGCTAGCAAGATATCTATAAGAACTTTAAGGACAACAAATGCTGACATACCCTTTATTAAATAATTAGATCAAAGGTGCCCCATTAAAAGTCTGGTGATGTTTTAGAAGTTATACTTAGGGATTAAATAGAAATGACATTCTTGAGCTGAGCATGGTGGTGCACACTCCAAGTCCTCGGGAGTGAAATGGAGTCCAGCCTAAGTTCTAGGTCAGCTAGGGCTATAGGGAGACCCTGTCTCAAATAACCAACCGACCAACCTACCGACTGACCAACCGACCGACCAAACAGACATACATTCTGAGGATAAAGAAAAATCAAAGTTTCTTTAAATAAACAGGGATACAGACCTGAAGAAGCAGAAATTGTTTATACCAAAATGAGCCTATCTGTGCCTACATTATGGATTTCAGCAATCCTTAAAATAGTATACAATTATGGACCGTTCATTCTCCATCAGGAGCTATTGCTCCTGCCTTCAAATAACTAAAGGGCACAGATAAATACATGGCTTATTTTAAAACGGTGTTTATAGACAATGTTTTGTTATCTCTTCTTTAAAAAAAGAAAACACCTCCAATTTCAAATAAGCTTAATTTTTTTTACTTATTTGTTGACTTTTGGTTTTTCTCTGTGCATTGAGAAGCTTTACAGGTTAAAGTGTCACAAGCCTCATTTAAAAATTTATTTCTTGGCTTGAGATGGTGCAGCCAGTGATGGTGACTGTTACTCTTCTAGAGAACCTGAGTTGGGTCCCAGCACCCACAGGTGGCTCACGATGTCACCTGTGACTCCAGCTCCAGGGAATCCAGCACCCTCCTTTGGCAGCACTTGTACACATGTGCATGTGTGCATGCACACACACACACACACACACACACACACACACAAATATACATACACATAACTAAAGAAAATTTTAAAAAAGAAAAAAAGATTTCTTTCATATTAGTATAGTATGCATTTTTCTTTCCAAAGGCAATTTAAAATCTCATATACTTACTTTTAGTTGTTCCAATTAGCTTGTGAACAATAGAAAACTTCTAAAATCTTCATAAATTAGAATAAATCTTAATGTGTGATTATCTTTTGTCTTAAAAGTTAAACATAGCTAAATATAGCTTTTTTTCTAATCCACAAGAAGCCCTTCAACTTATTAACAAAAGATGTGGCTTCTCTTTAAACAAAACTATAATGATTCTTACCCTAGCAAAGAGAAAAACAAATATACCAGTCCCACCAATCTCGTGCAGAATGCCCTGGATGGATTTACATTCCATAGGCCGGAGGCTCTTGAGCTGAGCAGGTTCTAGCAAGACACTCTGGGCTTCCTTCGAGCTGAAAGGTTTCTGAGAGAGTTGAGTTTTCACTTGGCCTTTGAGTCGAATTACAGGCTCATAGATTGTGTACTGAGTAGGACAGTAAGCTGTATAAACAACTGAAAGGCTTTCCTAAAACACAAATGTTTTCCTTTAGTAATAAAATATTTTAAATGTAAGTTATTAACTAGCAAATAAACATTTCAATGTGGAAAGACACCTAATTAATCTACCTTTATTTTTAAAATATAGTTACTACACAAAGATGCACAAACACAAGGCTGATTCTCACAATCAGAGATGACCAGCTGTGACCATAACAAGACGCTCAGCTGAGGAGTCCAGCTTTGATCCACTCAGAATAAACATGAAATCATTATTATCATTACTACTAATTACAGCTAAGCCTTTCCCCCTGTTACTTAGAGAATATTTTGTTAGATCTGTATCAAGTCCACACAGATAAGACCTTGCATATTAGTACAGGATAGCTAAACCTTATGCCACACTCATTCAATCCCAGGGATTCTAGGTTAATTTATACCAAATTTTTGTTTTCAATTTGCTCATGGACTGTCTACTTAGTTAAAAGTGACTCACTGTTTGCATAAGTAAACAAAACTAACTGAAATTTTCAGTATTTCTCCTAGCAGAGAGGAGCTTCAGCTAGTACCATCCCCCATCAAAGACCTTAGTTCATTTACAACATGAAGCAGCTTAAGTACTGTTTCATTAGACACAGTACATGACTTATCTGTGCACCACTAAATCAATTATGCAGTGTGGTATACATGGTTGTTGCTTTTTTTTCTTTGAGACAGGGTCTCCCTGTAGTCCCAATTGGCCTGGAATTCAGTATATGGACCAGGCTGGTCTTGATCTCATAGAGATCCACCTGCTCTGTCTCCCGAGTGCTGGGATTAAGGTGAGCAGCATTATACCCAACAACTACGTGAAGTTGGTTCTTTCCTTCTAATTCCACGAGGCTTCCAGGGTTGGAATTCAGGTCAGCAGGCTTGCATAGCAAGCATCTTTACCCACTGAGCCATATTGGGGGTCCTTACAGCATGAAATTAGGACTAATATTATAAATGAATCTAAGTATTTATTTCTAAGTATGGAAAGGAATGGAATTTGTGATTAAAAAAAAGAATGTATCAAGCTAAAAGTTGTATTTTCAATGTTGTAAAATATTTTCCCTGAAGGACTAGTAGATACAAAATAAACTAAGCTGATAAAATTGCTACAGAAATAGAATTCCAGGCAAAAGGAATACACATTTGAAGCATGAAACTAATTTTGCAAGAGGTCAAAGTATTTCAATTCTTTTCTTAGGAAAAAAATACATTCTAAGAAAAGAAAACAAAATGGAAGACTTTAGAAATCTAATTCATTGCTAATTATATACTTCAACAAACACACCTACATAAACCTATATAAAGTTAAAACAAAACTTACAATTAAGAGACCAACATCCACATCTTTCTTGGTCATAAAAAGTTCTCTGATTAGTTCACATTGCAGAATTTCTTTATTAATGTATCTGGAATAGTCAATCACTGGCTTGCCATATTTACATGGCATTATAGATGTGTAGTTGGGTCCACAAGCATATAGGTAAAAGGCCTCTTGTGAGCCAATCTTAGCTCCTGGGTAGCAGAAAAATAAAGTTACTTAAAATATTTCAGGTATAAGTTTTCATAAAGAGCAAGAAAATAAGGTAGGTATTTGTGCGCATTTGCCAGATTCCAAATAAGGGCAAACTGCCCGATGCAACTGTGATGAAGACGAATGAACACATACTAAGTGAATTGTGAAGCTTTTGGTAAAATGTAAGCTGGTGAATTTTAACTTAGCCAAGCTTTCAGGTTTTTTTTTTTTTTTTGGGCTTTTTTGGTCAGGGCTTCCCTGTAGCCCCAGCTGTCCTAGAACTATGTAGACCAGGCTGGCCTTGAACTCACAGAGATCTGCCTGCCTCTGCTGGGATTAAAGGTGTGCACCACCATGCCCAGCCTTGGTTTAATTTTTTTAATAAATGAAAGCTATTTCTTGGCATATCCCATTTAAAAAAGTAATTTGAACTGATGCCTTTATTCTCCCTCATCTATCTGATATGCAGCCTGAATGATACTATGTGCCAGGCTTAGTATTTTTTTTCTATGATCTATTCCATCATTTATACTAAAATCCTGTTTTGGATAAGATGCACTAGAAGTACAGAGAAGAGGCAATCATTTAAGTTTACTAGATATGCTACTGTACTTCCCAAGATTATAAAGTAATACTGACTTAATTGATGGGGTGAGGGAAGAGGGTGCACCTCTACTCTGGACAGCAGTTGTAAGAAATCACTAGTTACAAAATGTTAAAAATATCCTGAAAGAGCATCATAGAATCTTAGAAATGTAGTAGTTACCAAACATAATCGAATGAACAGTAACCAAGATTTCAGTCAGGTTGATTCTTTAATACTTGTTAAATGAAAGAAAAGTGTTTGGAAATCTTCAAAGGACAAACCATACCGTTGAAGAGGAGCAGATTTCCAAGGTCCCATTTTCCAGCCAATTGCAGAAACTCTTCTTGGGACGTTAGACAATGGCCAATCATGCAAAATGTTTTATTGTCTGATGATAAGCTCGTTTTTCTTGGAAGCACAAAATCTAAGATGACATCCTGCTTCCTACAATTAAAAACAAAGTTAAAAATTTTAGGGAGTACTGAAACTAAGTATTTTTAAAGTATGAATGTTTTATTGTATGACATTCCTGAATGACTTTTCTTGGTTCTGTATTGGATGGTGGGCAATGAGAGGGAGGGGAAGGGAACCTTCTGTCTCTTGGTCAGAGGTGCTAGTCATCCACAAGCCACAGATGATGCCATGGAAAACAAATGCCCAGGGATTCTACACTTACTGCAAGCTACCTTTGCCACTGACTCTGGCATGTGTGCCTTCCTGGTTCATAGACACAAAAGAATCATCTTCCCTTAATTTACCAAAAAGTCTCCTGTTTTGGCAAACAATTCCTACAAGACCTTTGAAGACTAATCAGAACTTCAGACTGTCCTAAGTTTTGCTCTGTCTAGCCACTAAATGTTAGTGTTTTTTGTGTGTGTGTGTGTGTGTGTGTGCACGTGAGCGCTTTGTTTTAGAATGCTAAACATTACAAAAATTTTGTTTTGTCTCCTCTCTTTTTGTTTATGGATAAAAGTTAGTCAGGAATCCTTACATAAGACAGAACCAGAAAAGGTTAAAGTAAGGCTTTCTCACAAAGACACACAAAGGCTGAAAAGACGTTATCACCTAGAGAAACTTCTGCATCAAAGTCCATCCTATTTCAGAAATGCCTTAAACTCTGTATTAAGGTAATGAGGGTAGCCTAGTAAGACAAAGGCTAAAGTTTAGAAGATGAAGACTTAGCTTACATAGTTAACTCCTTTTGAGAAATTCGGCTTTGTATATATTTATTTTTAAATATTTAAGGTCTCAGTTTCATATTTAACAGATAAATTCAACTCTTATTAGGAATTTTTAAAAATTACATTTATAGCCGGGCAGGTGGATCTCTGTGAGTTCAAGGCCAGCCTAGTCTACACAGTGAGTTCCAGGACAGCTGGGGCTACAGGGAGACCCTGTCTTAAAAACACCAAAAAAAATTACATTTATTTATTTATATATGTATGTGTATCTGCGTGCATGTGTTCCACAGTGCATGTGTAGAGGAGGCCAGAGGACAACTTTCAGGAGTAGAGTGATTCTCCCCTCTCATCGTATAGATTACAGGGATAAAACTCAGGTTTCAGGATTGGTAGCAACTGCCTTTACCTACTGAACTACCTCACTGGCCCCAGTAGGTATATTTTTTAATAAAGGGAAGAACTGAGGTAATCTGCCTCCTTTGTGGACCAATACATTCGCACGAGTGAAACAGCACTGCACCTTTTGGCATTATGTAAAAGAAAACCTACTATGAGATGAATATAAAAGAAATTCAACAAATATGAAGCATCTATTGCCATATTTGTATGATTTTGTCAAATAATAATATAAAATATAATTTGTTTTCCAGTGTCGTTATGTGGTGTGTGTGTGTGTGTGTGTGTGTGTGTGTGTGCTTCTTTAAGATAAAGTCTTCCTCTATAGCCCAGGTTGGCCTCAAACTCACCGCAAACCTCTTGTTTCAGCTTCCCTTGTACTGGGATTACAGATGTGAGTTACCATGCTTGGCTTATTATGTATTATTAAAAAGGCCTTTTGAAATGTATTCTTTGTAGAAATTAGTCTACATAGCTCTTAAATAAAAATAGAACCAAATTTGTCAACAAAATATTGACCTTTGTCACTTGTTTACTGCTCTGTTAACTACTGAAATCATTAACTTCTACCAATTGGAAAAATAAATTTCTTCAAAGCAATCACAGACGTAAATAGGAGAGTAAGAAAGAGCAATGTGTGACTCAACAGACTGTATTTCAACTTCAGAACTGTGCAGGGTGACAGCCTCATCTCTGAATATTCGTGTCTGGTAATTAGTGTATGTCAGTATACCTATACCTGTCAGATGGCCTGAGGCAGAAAGGGGCTGGAGGGACATCACAGCACAGGCATTTAAAGCACAGACTCCATGTAGGCCCAGAGCCTCAGGTCAAGTTTCACGTCTACTCCTTCCATGTGGCACAGCTTTGGACAAGTCCCTAACCCTACTCTAGCTCTCAGTTAAGCCATGTAATACAGTCAGTAACAACTACTTCACAGCGTATTGGGAGGATGAAATGATGTAAGATGTGAAGATCTAGTACAATGCCTGGCACTTGTTACAAGCTCAAGAAAAGAGCAGGGTATCCAAGAGGAGAGGGCTATCCACTCACAGCCTTGTCTCCAGTTCTAAGAGATTCAACTCAGGGTTCTGGAAAGACATTTACTGATTGGCTAACAGCTGCTATCCAGGCTTAGGCAGATACAAAGACTGAGAACTTCTTAGAAAAGCATGGCATTTGGAAGATGGAAATTAGGCTTCAATTACATATTTTAATGTATTTTCTTCAGTGACAAAGAGCAAAACTGAAGTCTTCATTTAACTTCCTGTGGCAGACACTGTGGACTGGCTGTCTCAAAGCCATTTACAAAGTCCTTCTCCCTGCCTTCCTCTACGACTGAAGCCTGCACCCAATGTAGCTCTGTGCAGCAGTGCCTGACACAGCACTTCCTTAGGAAATATCTGGTGAAATTCAGTTAATTTGTGCTAAGGATGTATGTAACTTCTGTGGTCTAATCTACTTTGAATAATCGGGAGGGAATTAAGAGATAATGTATGTATGACACCTAGTGGAAGGTCTGTGACATAATGACACAACAGAAAACGGTCTGCTTAGGCAGATATACCTATCAGCTTGACACTCACTCCTGTCAAGCAAGTCTATCTCATCTACTCATTTTTCTTGGATTCAAGCTAGACTCTCCCAGCCACCTTGATCTTCTTTCAGATAAACTTGTAAATTCTACATCTTCATGCTATTTCACTTAATTTTTTCAAATCTAAGGTACTTTATAGTTCATTCAAGGTACCTTTTTTTACTGAGACAGTCTACAAAATGTTTATAAATCTGCCCACAAGTCTCCTGTGTAGTCAGTCACACAGTACTGTAGTGGAACCTGTTCCTTGGTATAGTTCCAGAACTCAACACAAGCCTGTTACCTGATACAATGTCTACATTCTTCTCTAGTCATTCAGATTTCTTTTTGGGAATCCCAATTTCATTTAAGTATTAGCCTCACTGGCCAATTAACCAATTCTGTATGGATTGTTCTTATAATACATGGGCTTGAGGGAAAATATTACATTCTGCAATTGTCTAATGCCCAGGTTTTGGCTGCCCCCTCACACTGAAATGCAGTCATCCAAGGTACTCACAGGGGTCGGTTCCAGGATGCCCCACAGATACTAAAAATCTGAAGATGCTCAAATCCCTTAAACAAAGTGCCATATTTGCATACAACCTATATAAATTCTCTTATATACTTTAAACTATCTCTAGGTTACTTAAAACACCTCATTCCATGAAAATGCTTTGTAAACAGCTTTTATACTATATTGCTTAGAGAATAATAATAGGAAAACAAGCCAGGGGTAGTGGCACACATCTTTAATCCTGGCACATGGGAGGCAGAGGCAAGTAGGTGAGATAAAGGCCAGTCTGGTCTACACAGTGAGTTCAGGCCAGCTAGGACTACAAAGAGACCCTGTCTCAAACAACCAAACAACCAAACAAATACCCAAAAAGGGGCTGGAGAGACAGCTTAGCACTTAAGAGCATTGACTGCTTTTAACAGACCCAGATTCAGTTCCCAGCACTCATATAACTCCAGTTCCAAGGGCTCCAATGCCTTCTTCTGGCCTCCATGGGCACTGCATGCATGAGTACACTTACATACATGCAGGCAAAACACTCATACACATAAATTAAGAAGAGCAAGACTGTACTTGTTCATCACAGATGCACTTTTTCTCATATATTTTCAGTCTGAGGTTGGTTGAATCCACAGGTGCAGAAACCATGGAAATGGTAGGTGACAATTTTCAACAATCATGTCTACAGAAGATTATATTAAAAAGTAATAAATGGGGTTGGAGAGATGGTTCAGCAGTTAAGAACACTGCTCTTCTAGAGGAGCAGGGTTCAGTTTCCAACACCCACACTGGTGACTAACAACCATCTTTAACTCCAGTTCCAGAGTATCCAATACCCACTTCTGGTCTCTGTGAACACTGGTGCACTTACATTCATGCAGGCAATACACTCATAAAAATAAGAAAAATTTTAGGTGATAAACAGAAACAAAGTGTCCAAGTGTGATAAAAACTGCTATGTTTACACATAGAAAATTTTACCTAGTTTTCTGTAATCTGTTTCAGGAACCAGGATGGAATACTTAAAATTTTGAATTACAAATGGGAAGACTAATTTCTGAAAATGCTTCATACCTCTGCCCAGACACCCATATGGAAATCTTGCCATGGACATTCTTCTTCCCTTGAGGCTGCTGCAAGTAAGTAAGTACTAAGTGTTGCCATTTGCTTGGGAGGAAAATATTCTCCTGTGATTCAACCTGTGCTAATGAAGCAGCTTTCATGTCGTCATTTGAATCCATGCACAGACTGCAGAGAAAGAGAAACATGCAGACCAAACATGAAAATTCTGACGTCAATACCTAATTGTAGAACAATTATAATTCTCAATATGAGATTAAAAGTCACTTCTATTTTAAAATAAACCAGTTGAGAAAGTCAGTAGGTCTTTGTTTTATACCATACCTTCTTCATTACTTTAGTATATCATGATTTCAATTTATGAATGAAAATAGATTAGGCTCATTGGCAGGTATTAATAACTTGGTCAATAATATCTAGAAATCAGTTTGTAAAATTAGTTTTTGCTTATGTAGTCATTGTCTTTTAAAGAAATTATGTAATATTTGGCTCACAAGGCAATTCATACATATTATATTAAATGTATAAATGCCAAAATATATTGGATGCTAACTCACTTTGAGGGATTACTGAAAGCATGAACAGATAACATGGAAGAACATTTATGTTTACAAAATGTACATTCCTAAATAACATATTGACTTTAACTCTGAGTTTTAGAGAGATAATATGCAATATACATTATATTGGTAAACTGTCATATGCTGTTCAAACTTACTGAGAAGCTGGCTGTAGAAATAGGGTAGACCCGCCCCAACCCCATTTCAAACCCAAGCATGTCTCAAAGTGTCCTCCTCCAAGGTCCCTTGTCTGGGGACAGTCTTGCCCCACCCCCAACCCTGTGACAGGAAGAAAAAACAAGAAAACAGTACAAGAATCAAAACATTGTGTCCTCAAGGACAGAAGGAAAGTAAAGGTTTGAATAAGAACACTGTGCCCGTGAGAACAGCTGGAGGAGAAACCCCTTCCAACGCACTATCATTTATCACATAAATGGTGTAAAAATGCTTGCAGTGGAACAACAGACCAGAAATTCATGCACAGAGGGAACCCTTTGATCTGCCTAGAAATCTCTGAACAGGAATGCTGGCATGACTTCTTCAACAAGGCTATTCTGGTCATTTCTGCTGGGTGTCTGAGCACCTGCTTTGACAATATTTTCTTTTTCTTTCTTTTTTTTTGTTTTTTTGAGACAGGGTCTCCCTGTAGCCCCAGCTGTCCTGGAACTCACCATGTAGACCAATATATTTTATCTATTATTTTTATGTGTACGAGTGTATTGCCTGCATGTATGTTGAGTGCACCCTTGTCATGCAATGCCACGGAGGTCAGAAGAGGGCTTCGGATTCCCCTGGAGCTGGAGTTAAGGACAGTTAGTAGCTGCCATGTGAGTGCTGGGAATTGAACCTGGGTCCTCTGCAAGAGCAGTCAATGCTCTTAACCTCTAAGCCATCTCTCCAGCCCCTGACGATGTTTTTTATCTGTTGCTTCTATGTGTGGTCTGTTAAGTGTTCTTTTACTTTACTTTTGTTTTAATGATATTTAATAGCAGGTTAGTTATGGACATCCTTATGAATACTGTTCAACAATTTTTTATAGAAATTATTCAAATAAATGATCTATTTGTTAAGGATTGAGGAAAATCAATACCGAAAGATAAAAGTGCCACTGTGGGGATCAGCCCACACTTGGATCATCAATGCTTTGGATCCAAGTGAAACCAAGTGAATGCAGCCATCTTCCATGAGTCTGTTGCCAGGATTTATGGATTCTATACCTTCTGGTCTGTTACCTTTTGTGAGGAAAAAAACCAGAATCAATAAAATAGTTCATAAAAACTGTTACTAAGGGAGAAATACGTAAAAAGGGGGTAGGTAAAGAGGCAAGGGTAAGGAGGACTATACAAAGAACTATGGGAATAAAGGGGAAAAAAAATTCTCCCGAAACACACCTAAAAAAAAAAATCCCTACCAGAAGCTATATGGTTGTTAAATGAAAATCCCAGTGCCAGTGGTGGGTTGCCCTCCTATGAGCTGTTGGTCAGACGGGCCCTAGAGGTCCCCAAAACAATAAAGGCCATTGCCAATAATGATGGATGTACACCAGAAGTGGATGGTAAAACCCTATTGCTGAAGACACTGCATGATGCAAGTGAGGAGAGGGAGAAATCAGGCTTAGACTAAGCTGGAAACTCCCTGCCACTGGATGGGTGGCATTCATGGTGTCAGAAGACGACATGCAGATGGCTAGGGGAGAACTGTCCCCTATAATTCTGCTCAATGATGGACCCAAATGCTGCACTATCAACATGCCAAACAAGATGTTCCAGGTGGTGCAATAGTGATGCATCTAGTGTATGTACAACCAGAAAATTTTCGATTGGATATAGTGCCTAGTCCTAGGGGTAGAACACACATTTGGTACTGTAGACCAGGCCAACCTCCTGTGGCAGGGGAGGATATAGGCCCAAGAAGGGAAGCCACTATAATTATTTTGTTAGATGGTTGTGATGCACCTGCTAAAGTACCATCCAAGCATTTGTGTTTATGCCCAGAGGTTATTATAGTAGCCACTGTTTAGATGTTCTTGTTTTTTGCTGTTTGTGTTTTTATAGTAGATGGAATCACACTGAAATGGGCCAACAGCCCATCGAAAACAGATGATTCAGAGACCCAAAAGTTCAATGCCTTGTCACAATGGGAGGAAGATCATCCCACACTTATCATCCCCTCCAAGAATCAAGGACTTTTGCAGAAGAAGTTGGCAGAAAGAATGTACGGAGGAAGGGGTGAAGTGTTACCTGGAAGTGTCCTCCAACCACTATGCCGGCAAGCTATAGTCAGACCTCCTTCCCACGCTCGTCAAGGAGTTGAGGGGGGAGTCAGTTACCCCTCCTACCCAATCAGTCGACTTTAGCTGCATGTGGGGGAGGGGCTAAGAATATATAAGCCGTGAATGCATTGAGGCACCTCTCTTGACATTTTGTGTAGCTGTCAGGAAATCACAGGATCTATATTTGAATGTGGACTTTCCAGCATGGCCAAAAATGGGGAGTGGGCATCCGCTCTTCTGTAAATAAACCCCCACCCTTTGCTCTTTTAGCAAGCCCAATAAACTCAGTATTTTCAAAAAAAAAGAACAGAGCTAATAGAAACCTTCATTATTCCACCACAGTTGACCCCATGGTTGGCAAATCCTTTGGTCTTTGATTTATTTCTATCCCCTCCCCAAACTTCATTGTATTTTTATGTAACTTCTGGGAAATGTGTTAAAAATTGCCTCACTTTGGAATAACAAAAATATTCTAAAATTAAAAATAAGAATTTTAAAAAACTGAGTAGAAAAGTGAATTTAAAGAACACAAAGTATGTTGGCTCATTTGTAAGACTACTTACCTCAAATGTCTGAACCTGCTTCAAATAACAGCATTTCCAAAGGTTAAATGTCAACTTCCAAAGATCAGTGGGTAAAAAACAGTTGTTTAATGGTTTAAGATACGTGGTAATTAAGGGCACTCTAGGCAGGATTGGTGAAGGACTCCGATCACCTAAAAATGGCACCAAGCTTCTGCTTTGGTTGGATTGGGTCACTCTGACACCACTGATCCAGGGAGCATAAGCCATCTTATGCCTGGCACTACTAAAACTCACGTGATCATGATTGAAACAGTGACCATATTAAAACACTTTTTAGGAAAACAGTAGTTTCTTGAACACAGCCATTATTTAGACTCTCTGGTGAGAAACCTTTGACTATAACTGCTAAGTGAGGCTGAAACTCTCATGATTTCTTTGTGTCAAGCTAAGGAAATGCTTACAGGATTTGTGCTATTTGGTCATCCCTTCCAACTTCATCTCATCACTTAAACCTTGAATTGCCTGAGTGTGTACGGTGAGCTACTTGTTGCCACGAGGCATACGACTTTATGTCAAGCTACATAAAATGTACTAAGACACAAAATGCATCTGATTATCAGGTATTAAATCATACAAACATTAGTTCTCATTTTTAATAGGTTAAAGAAGAAAACACAGCAGTTTTTAAGACTACCCCCTCTAGCTGCTGCTGGATACCTGAGAAAGAAGAGAGCAAGAACAGGATACAGTTTCGTGCAGCGTAACAGTAACTCTTCAGTCACGGAATGACTGCTGCATGTCAGTGTTCAATGACAGGAACTAGGAGGGGCCTCTGAGGTAAGACACAGTAGGAGAAGGAGAACCTGAAATAGAAGTGGCTTACAGGGCTTTAGCTATTCTTTTTCTAATATCTATCACTAATAGAGCAATAGGATCAGATAAAAGATAGGAAATGAGACTGATAACTCCACTATATACATATATATGTGTGTGTGTGTGTGTGTGTGTGTGTGTGTGTGCATATATTTTATATATACGGTATATATGGTATGTATGATACCTCCACTTCCATAGCTAAAGTACAGGAGAAAATGGAGACCATGAGCCCATCTAGAAACTCACCCTTTGGTAATTCAGTAATTAAGTAAGGCCTTTAAAGAGAGTATTAAAGCACTGCCATATATCCTTAAAGCTCAATCAAAATTCCCACATGAAAAATCATACTGTACAAACCAGGTGGCCCTGTTGTTGTACCTGCTCCTTCAAAACCACTGTCTTGCAGAGCTGATGGTTTGTTCCTTTTCTTCATCTTCTTCCCTCTTTCCACGGCACTCTCGGACTCATGGATACACTCCACATTAAACCACAGTGAAACACTAAAGCCTTCCGACAGGTGTGGCCAGCAGTTCTGCCCCAGCAGTGGCAGGTGGATGGGGGCTACGTGCCAAGAAGAAAGCAGCCGATGCGGAAAACGCTCTCTGTCGGCCTCTTTCTTGCCACGGGAAATTCCTGCTCTTCTCAGTAAGCCCAGGGCCTTACTGTTCAGAACCCCAGGGCACTTTTGTGATGAGACACCACTGCTTAACGGGGTGTGCAGCAAAGGGAAGGTCAGGTACTGTGAAGGGCTCAGAGTAACATCACTTTCAACAATTTTCAGAACACCAAGGAGAAGAATTTCCTAGAGAAAAAGGAAAACAAAAATTTACAATCCTATAACCAGATGCAATAATAATCTCAAAATTCAGGTTATAAGTGAAAATATAAACATACCCATATCTATCAGTCTTTTAATTTAAATAACATATCTACCACATCTTCAAATTTTTCACTTAAATTTATTTATTTCTGTTTTATGTGTACGAGCATTTTGCCTGCATGTATAGGTGAATCACATGCCTGTACTGCCTACAGTGGCCAGAAAAGGGCATTGGATTCCCTGAAACTGGAGTTACAGACAGTTGTTAGGGGCCATGTAGGTACTGGGAATGGAACCTAGGTCCTGTACAAGAGTAGTCAGTGCTCTCAACTGCCATCTCTCCAGCCCCCAAAACTTTCACTTTTGTTTAAGATAAAATATAAGATATTTAATTCTTATGATAGGCAATCCCTTGGTGAATTTTGCTTAAATATTTTTAATGGTACAAATTTAATATTTAAGAGCAGTTTTTTTTTTTTTTTTTGAGACATGGTCCTTCTGTAGCCTCAGCTGGTCTGGAACTTGCTATGTAGATCAGGCTGGCCTTAAACTCACAGAGATCTGCCTGCCTTTGCCTCCTGAGTGTTGGGATTAAAAGTGTGCACCACCAATGCATGGCTCAAGAGTAGTTTTAAAGTATTATAAATGAATTACAGTAATAAAAATGGGAATAATTTCTACAAAACAAAGCTATTTCTAAAGAGACTGTGAGGGTCAGCACTAGATTGAGAACTATTTGAGACTGGTTGCTGCTGGGTGAGGGAGATTATGACTTACATACAACCACTGGATACGTTGACTAGACGCCAGTGGACACATTTACACAAGGACATTTGGGTACAAACACCTGAATGAATAGGACTCAGCATGTATGGGGTCTGGATGTGAGTGGGAAATGTATGAAATTTTAAAAGCTCAATACAAAATATTAATTTAAGGCCAGCCTGGTCTACATAGTGAGTTCCAGGACAGCTGGGGCTACAGGGAGACCCTGTCTCAAAAAAACCAAAAAAAAAAAAAAAAGTTAAAAAAAGAAATTTTTAAAGATTTATTTTTATTTGTATTATTTATTATTTGTGTTCATGTATGTGTGTCTTCGTGAGTATATGTGCAGGTACCTGGGGAGGCTACAAATGGGAGCTCGAGCCCTTGAAGCAGGCATTTGTGAGTTGACTGATGTGGATGCTAGGATCTGACCTCCAGTCTCATGACAGAGCAGCAAGCACTCTTACCGAGACATTCTTCCAAACCAATCTCTCAAATATTTTTAGGTGGATACAACCTACAAATTTTCCAGACACCTACATGATATTATTATACCATGACCAACGACATAAAACTGAATGCTCAATTACTATCCAAATTATTTTACATTCTTTTTCCCGAGTCACATAAAACATCTTTGTTTGTTTGTTTTTTGGCAAACTGAAGTAAAGTTTTAAGGTTTTCTTCATGAGTTTGGGTTTAAGTAGAACATAAAAAGATAGATAAAATATATACTTAATTAAAAGGAAGATCAATGACTAAAGAGAGCCACGTTAAAAAGCAGAAAAGATTAACCAGTGCAATGCCTGACTCGTGCATAAAATCACCTCTGATGGTGACTTTGATAAGGGACATGTGCTGCAGACAAGTAGCAGAAACAGTCCATAAATACATAGCCAGCTTGCAACAGCCCACAATGGTTGCTCCACAGAGCTTCCATGGGGCTGGGACTGGAGTAGAGTGGGGCGGGAAGTGAGGTGGACAGGGCTCTAGATCATCCAATCCTGCTTCACACAGAGCAGCCTCAGAGCTCTGCTTCATCTGCAGACTCTTTCAGTCAAGACTGCATTGTAAGGTGGGTCCAGTCACTAAGAGTGGGAAGGAGAGCACTCCAGGTCACTAAGCCGTGGATGACTTATCAAAAGATCAACCCAGATGACTGTCATGTCTAAACTCTGCTTAATAATTAAAACCACACTCTCAAGCACAAAGGCATCTGGTTAGTCAAAAAAGGGAAATGGTTAAAATACAAATAATGAAACAGGGTATGTCTGTTAGAGATAAAACAACCATCATATAAAGACCATGGTGATTTACACATTAGGGGAAAAGCACATTCTATTAAGGTATTCAGGAAAAACATAAAAATTCTAGCATATTTACTGTACAAGGAGATTTCTCCAGAAATGTTCTCAAAAGAAGGGTTAGCTCTTCTGAACATGTTCTTGAACTCATCAAAGATACCAAGAGATCCACCAATACTCTCTGGCATGCTAAATTTAAAACAGAGGGGGAAATTAAGGCCAGGACATTTAATAAAAGGCAATAATTTCATTGAAAGAAATATACTATTATCACATTTTAAATGGATTATAAATAATCTAGTTAGCAATCACAAAAACTGCTGAAGAAATCGCAAGATAACTACAGGCAATCCAACCAACAATACTGAGAAAACAGTAAAAACACTTAAGGTTGTCCAGCTGCAAGTAAACCAAAATCATTCCTAAAAGAGGCATAAATTATATGCAAATACAGTATTTGATAGCTAAGCTGACACTGCAACCCCATGAATAAAATACTCTAACCTCTCATTTCAAAATGTTTGGATAATAACTATCACTTATTGCACAGAAAATTAACAGACAACTGAGGAAATAGCAAAGGTTAGATAAATACTTAAACATCACAAACTATTTAGTCTGACTGTTTTCTTTATTCCACTAAAGAATTTAGCATAGAACATATGAATTTGGTACACGAATTCACAAAAATTCTTTAAAATAACAACTATTATTTCTTTATCACATTACAGTGCTTCAAGTATCTTTTCACATGTATTATCTCAGTTGTTCCTCATTCTAAAACAAAATTATTATCTCTGTTTCAGACATGACAAAAATAATCCTGATGTAAAACCTAAGATGTTTCTTAAAAGACTGGTGGTTTTGGAAGACCCGGAGGTTAAGGAATAGAAACCAGGTGTAAGTGACCTGTTTTATAAAGATAACAGCTGGTGGAGCAGTGTGAGAGACGCACATCTGAGAGGACATTGTAACGAGACCACGGGCTTCAGCTGGTAAGTAATGTGAGCCTATTAAGGGTTTTGAATAGAAAAGTAACACAATCAAGGTTCTTAGTGCTGTTTTTTTTTTTAAAGATCAAAGCTGGCAGGTTTCAGTTTGAATGAGGGAATGGGGACACACACATGGACGGGGACACACACACAAACACACACACACACACACACAGAGCTTCTATATACTGCTGAAAACTCAATGAACTAAACATGATTTTAAAAATAAGAAACCCATAATAATGATAAAAGAGGGTAATAAGCACTGGGCCATATCAGGTAAAGGACTGAACACTATTTCTTGAAGATGGAGAACTAGATGGATAAAAGAGAAAGATGCAGTCTAGCATTCCTTTGAATTCAAAAGAGGCTGGGGCTGTGCAAAGCCTGAGGCTGGGGGAGGAGGTAAGAAGGCAGCTGAAAACCAAGTACTAAAGTATCTGTTGGTGACTACCCTCTTCTGTCCCTTTTCTGAATGAAGAGCATAGATACCTTTCACTTCTGGGTCATAAAGAAAATGGATGGCCAGGCAAAGTCCAGTTGTATGGTGGGTTGCCTATCCAAAGGGAAAAGATGGGAGCAAAGGCTGAAGGGTGCTCACAAAGCTGTTTGGGGAAGTGTTGCCTGGATAAGGAGAGTCCCCTCTGAGCACAGACACTGTTCGCCAGCCAAGTGCCACAGATGGAGGGCACATCTTTCTAATGTACAGAAACTCCTCCATGGGGATAATACTGGCCCTTATGGTTCCCCCAAATAAATCTCTACTTATTAAAGTATTTGGGAAGCCCTTAATCAGCCACTTGTCCATCTATTCAAGAGTTCAACAATGGACTACCCAAGGGAAGAGGACAAAAAGGAAAACAGAATTATTTTTACATTAGAAGAACTCTCCAACAGCTTTCTTAAACATAAATAGGCAAGAAAAACTATAAAAATATTTCAGAATCAGTAATCCAAAAATAATTCCAAGATTTAAGAAACATATAAATGAATAAAATGACCTTAGAGGGAAAATACCTAGCTTAGAGGATGGAAGAAGTCTTTTGGAAATATCCAAATAAATATAAGATGGTATATTCTTATGTAAAAAAGGAATAATCAAGCAAAGCTGGCAAGATGGCACAGTGGGTAAAGGTACTCGCATGCAGGCCTGACAATCTGAGTTTGATCCCCAGATACCAAAAGTTAACAGGAGAGAACTGGTTCCTAGAGTTGTCCTCTGACCTACCTACACACACACACACACACACACACACACACACACACACACACACGCACACACACGCACACAAACATAACAAACAATGAGAAACTTTTAAAAGAATAACCAGAAAATCAAGCAAAACAAACAAGCAAACAAAACTCTTAACTATGAAATAGGCAATAGCCAAAATAAAAAACCGAATGGTTTCCTGGGAGGGGTGGGGGGAATACAGTGATATGGAGGAGGAAAGGGGACTATTAGACTAGGAAGGGTTAAATGGGGTGGGGAATGGGAGGGCAGGACAGAAGAGGGAGTATAGGGAAGGATAACTAACACTAAAGCCTTTAGAAAAAAGTCATATGGAAACCTACCATTACAGAAGCTTCTTAAAAAAAAAAATATATATATATATCATAAAAAGTGATTAAAAGGACTTATCCTATAACAGGGAGAGATTGTTCTCTTTCTAGGCATCATAGAATAATGAGAAACAAAAAACCCCCTCAATGCCAGGAATGGACTTCTTCTCTAGAAGCTGTTGACCTTGGGTCCCATAGGCCCTCAGACAATACTGGTCATTGCCCCTGCTCTTGGCTATTCACCAGAACTGGATGGCAAGACCCTATACTGAAGATACTACATAGATGAGCTGTAGAACAAACAAGGAGAAATCAAGCTGGTGCTGACTTCAGAGCCTCATCTCTACTGGCTAGTGGTCATAGTGCTGGAAGGTCTACACTCTTAGAAGGAAAAAATAATCTTCAACCTTATTCAGCTGTGAATTCTATAAACTACAGTAAAAACTTGCCTAGCAAGATTTGCCCACCAGTGCAATAGTGGCACAAATATTATGGGAGTAACCAACCACTCTTTAATTGGCTTTAAGGTCTATTTCCTAGGACAGCACCCATACCCAACACCGATGTCAGGCTTAGGGACCTGAGGCTAGACAGGTCACAGGACATAGGGGAGAACCTAATACTAGTTTTCTACTAAATAATTATCATATTAAGCTGACTCTTAATGACTTGTTATACTAATAGATTAATGCATCTCTCAACTCTTACCAGAGACATTTCCTTATGCAGCAGATAGTAAGTAACACAGAAACCCACAATCAGCCAATGTGCAGAGAACAAGAGACTACAGAGTACTTATACTTGACTAGGACACCTATATCAAATGTCTGCCTGCCAAAGCTTAGGGATCCTTGCAGAAGACAGGGCAGAAAGATTGTAAGAGCCTGAGGTGGTGGACGACCATAAGTAAACAGTTTTCCAAACAGCTGGTCAGCTACTCATATGAACTCACAGCAATGGTGACAGCAAGCACGAGTTCAATGCAAATTCACCAAACATAATCCCAGCATGGACGTGAGGAAGTGGATAAGAAGTTCCAATCCCACCTAAGAAAATTGTGGCAACAGGTGGCTGATGGTAGGAGCAAAGAGAGCCTCCTCAAGCATGGGACGCTTAGTAGGTTAACCAGGCTCCAGAGGATGGACCCATACTGAAGGACATTTGGGAACACAAATTAGACTCCATATGCCTTACTGTATACGCAACATATGAGCACATTAAACTGGGTGGGGAGGTGCAGGCAGAGGAGGGACATAAATACCATCAAGTATATATTGTATGAAAATTGCAAAACTTTAATAAAAAGAAAATTTAAAAAAATTTAAATGGCAGAATATTTTCAGAATGAAAAAAAAGAGCTGGAATAGAATTTTTTTAAATCTCTCAAAATACAGCACAAAAAGAAAAATGTATGAAATAAGACAGATAGTGGGATCAATCTTCAAAGCCTAAGATCACAACTTAGTCTGCATGAAACAAAGAGCAAAGTATTTGGAGAGGAGAAAGAACTTTTAGAAATTACACATCTCAGTGATCTTAGGTCAATCCTTTCTAGGTTTGACAGCAAAGACATAGCAACAAAAGCAAGGCGTTATGACAATTAATTGTATATCTTGGAAAGCTTCCCTGAATGGGAAAAGGATATTAGTAACAACTTAGGACATTTGAATAAGCTATGAGCTTTAGCTAATAATACTGTGATAATGGAAGTTAACTCTGTAACGCACAGACCATACTAGTGTTAGAAGTTAAAACTTGTGGAAAGAAAGGGCTAGAGAGATGCTCGGTCATTAAGAGCACTGGCTGCTCTTGCAGAACCTGGGTTCAAGTCCCTGCACCCACGTGGTGACTAAAAACCGCCTGTAACTCCAGTTCCAGGGGATCCAACACCCTCTTCTGGCCTCTGTGTGCCCACAGTTACATACATGCAATAATACACTTATACAAAAATAAAACATTTTAAAAACTGGTAGAAAAGTACAGCGAGGAGTACAAAAAAAGGCAACACATTAAATAAATAAACGGAGGAGAAAAGAAGTTATTATAGTAAAATCCAATTAACAGACACAGAAAGAATGACAGAAAGAGAAAAGTCATCATTTCGCATACATTACACTATTAACTTTTTCTGGCAAGACCACCAACAAGTGCTAAAAATCATAGGCTAAATTATGGTGAGAAGAAGGATGATTACATACTTTCAGGTTACCACCCCATATGACATTTGCTAATTACAATGGAGAAACCTGGTATACCACCTTAACTATAACTGATCAAAATTAACATCCCTAGTAATAAGAACAGACATCACAAAGCCCTTGATGTGATGCCCTCAAGAGGACCTAACACCAGAATTGGGTATGCCTGACACAAGCATGTAACTTGAATTTAACCTGGAGGAAGCATCACAAAAACACAAGTTAACAATTCACGTAAGTTACTTTAATGCTCCAACTATAATCTAGATTTACTGCAGTCAGAAATTATATTAATATTCATTATGAATTTCTCAAACATCTGAGAAAGTTACTAAGTAGAAAAAAGACAGCATCAAATGAAATAATATAGTGCTTGTACCAGGTTACAGGCCCACAAAACTACTGAGCAGCTTACTTCAGGCCTTGGAATCTAGATTTTTTTCCTTCTATTCAATAAAGATACTTACATTTTTACTGAGTAAGAATGAAGAACAACTAAGATGGCACATATGAAAACACTGTGGAAATCAGAGCACACTGTGGTAGTGGGAGCCATGGTTATCAATCCTTCACAGTGACACAATAATTACTAAGCTATTTGCTTGAACAAGTTTCAACTCACCTTGAAAATCAGAATCAGTTTGTGTTAAAATGTTCAAGAACCCTCCTAGAAGGTTTTTCACCATTCCCTGAAAATTGAAAAATGAAACATAAGAAATTAAATGCCTTACTTCATAAAAGAATAATATAATTGAAATATAATAATTTCATAAGGTAAGTTTACTCAGGGGTGTGTGCGAATGTGCATGTATAAGTTGACTGTTTTTATTTTTTAGATTTACTATTTACTTATTTATTTTTGTTCTTTTTGAGACAGGGTCTCCCTGTAGCCCCAGGTGGCCTGGAACTCACTACGTAGACCAGGCTGGTCTCGATCTCATGGAGATCCATCTGCATCTGCCTGAGTGCTGGGATTAAAAGCATGTGCCACCATGTCCAATATAGATTTATTATTATTATTTTTAAATTATGCATATATGTGTGGGTATATGCATATGTGAAGAGTCTAGAAGTGGCTGTCAGATCCTCTGGAGCTGGAGTTATAGGCAGTTGTGAGTTGCCTTATGTGGGTGCTGAGAACCAAACTTGAGCCCTCTCTAAGAGCAGTCTGTGCTCTTAACCACTGAGCCAGCTCTCTAGCTCCATGTCTGCATGAGTTTAGATGACTAGAAAGAACACTATATGTAGGATTATACACTTTTTCACACAGAAAATCATAATGATTTTCTGACTTTTTTAAACAAAAGAGCATGGGTTACAGGCAAATGCAATTATTTAAGATTCATTCTCAAGCTATAAGACTATTCAATGACAATACTGACTTTATGTGACTTAGAGAAACATGGGATTAGATGATTTGAGAATATCACTTGAAGGGCAAAACACATTGAAGGCATTACATAGAGAAGTAACCATTCCAACTAATTTTCAGACAAGATGGGTTATAAATAAGGAGATGAGTAACTGGGGTATGAGTATGATACATATTGATTAAATGTAGTGTATCGTTTACCTGTTGCATGAGAAGAAAAATGTTCTTTTCTTTCTGCTTGACAATTTTCAAAAAGCTCTCAAATACATGAACAAGCACATCAAGTCTAGCTTTGCTAGCAGAAAGCAAATTTAATTCCAGCATGCAAATCTCAGGGTATATTATTTCCCCTTGAGTAAGGTTTTCAAATAAGTCATTTGGAACGATTGATGCTCTGAAACCTTCTGCTCCAGGCTTTAATTCTACACCTGAAAAGGGAAAGAAAAAACGTTTTTATTCCCCAAAGACAAAATCAAATATTTCAAACCTAATTCATCATTTAGAAAAACCTAATGAAAAAAATTGCTACTTATAATAAGACGCTTGTGGTGGCGCACGCCTTTAATCCCAGCACTTGGTAGGCAGAGGCAGGCGGATCTTGGTGAGTTCAAGGCCAGCCTGGTCTACATAATGAATTTCAGGACAGCTGGGGCTACAGGGAGACCCTGTCTCAAAAAGACCAAAAAAAAAAAAAAAAAAAAAAAAAAAAAAGACTTTTCCTGAAACATTACTTCTGATTAAATAAGGTATGTATTTTGAACAATCAAGTCTTATGAATAGTTTGAAGTCTGAAAGTAATTTTGACTTTCAATGACACTACAAATATTGGCAACAGCCATTTTTATAGACATATGATATAGATTTAACACATTCTTTTGACACAACTGGAAAAAATTATCCCAAACTGACTCTGAAATATCTAAATCACAGTGTAGTTTATTTTACTTGCTCATGTTTCTATGATAATAGTAAGCTTGGCTTTTTTTTGAATTCTAAACACTGTCTTCTTTATAAGTCTGTGTTACTAAATATTATATTTTGGAAAATTTGACTGACTGATCTGAAAAGGGACCATTTCACGCTTTAAAAAAATGTTCAAATAGGGGCTAGGAGATGGCCCTGCAATAAAGTGCTACACCAGCATGAGGACCTAGTTCAGATTCCTAGTACCCATATAAAAAGCTGGGCATTACATCAAGAATCTGTAATCCCAGATCTGGGGAGGCAGAGATAGGTGGATCCCTGGAGCTCATTGGCCAGCCAGCTCAGTGGAATCAGTGAGCTCCAGGTTCAATGAGAAACTGTCTCCAAAAATAAGATGGATGAGGCCAGTGAGATGGCTCACTGGGTAAAGGTCTTATACAAGCCTCATAACCTGAGTTTGAATCCTAGAACCCATGTATAGGTGGAAGGAGAGAACTAACTCTACAAAGTTGTCCTCTGATCACAGATGCACCACGGTACATGCATGCCTACCCCCACCATGTAAATATATGATAATAAATTAAATAAAGTTTAAAAAAATAAAAATGGAGAGTGATTGAGGAAGATGCTTGATGTTGACTTCCACATGCACCCCTACATGTGCAAATATCCCACAAGAACATGTACATACACCATATATACACACACAAACACATAATACAAATGTTTATATAGTGAGATATTTCTACCTAGAAGAGACTTCTTTAGGTTGAGATTTATTTAGCTAGTGAGCATGAAAAGGAAGAACTCTACCACTGTAAAATTATACCTAGGTGTTGATGAAACTACCATTAAACCAGTATTTTTTTTTAAAAAAAAGCACAGACCATAGGTTCATTATACTCTTCAACAAAAGTATCAGTGATTATTTCCATTCCCTCCATAAGAAAGAGATCAATTCTGAGAAAGATTAAGCTTAACTATGAATTTTATGAGGCTAGCGGTACCTGGAAATTCCTAAGGTCAGAACATGAAAAAATAGAGCCTTCACATAAATCTTTTGGCTCAAAGAATCTGTCTTTTCCACCAGATTCAAGTTGTACACCCAGTGCAAAGGATCACATGCAATGCAATTCCATCCTAAGGACAGAATAGGCCACGAAAACCACCGAGGAATTTGCCCTGGCACCCTTGGATGTCACTGTGTGTTTGGATGGCAGGCTCTTTTTAATGGAGATGTTAGTGTACATCTCACCTCTTCAGCAAGGGCTTGCCCAACCAGCCAATGACTATTACATCACCTGCTCTATATTCCTTGTGCTATGCACTTGTGGATATTGTTTTTCTTTCCTAGTGGAGTGTATATGAAACCAAGGAATTCTTCTTTACCCTTGTTCTTAGGCATTCAATGTTTGTAACAACAGCGGTCATCTAATTGTTTTAGACAAGAAGGATTTTATTTTGCTTTGTTTTTCTTACAATGTTAGGGATCAATCATACACAGAGCCTTAGGCTTGCTAGGTAAGTGCTCTACCACTGAGCTGTCTACCCAGCCTGATCTTACTTCTTACTGTTTAAAATTACATACTAAATGACAGATTTGTTGTGAAGACCAAATAAGATGATAACACAATGCATTTTAAAACTGTAAGGTGGTAAAAAACATTCTCAAATGGTGGCATTATGATCAGTTTGCTAACTGACAATCTGACTTGCAGTCCTATCACAAGCACAGCAGTGACACATTACCATCATCCTGGGTTTCACCATCCTCAGGATTGCTCTCACTATCTGCTTCATAACCTTCTTCCTCACCGAAAAGTTTCAAATTACAACACTGAGAATCCTCAGCTTCTTCTGAAAAATCTCCAGGCTGAGACAGCAATTCCTCCTCAGGCTGATGGCTCTGTAAAGGCAGGGTAACACAAAACAACCGTTACAGGGTGAACTTATTTTTTGCTCACAGAACATTTATTATTCAAGACATTTTTAAGACAGTCAATTATTTCTTCAAGAAAAAAAATCTTAATAACCAGTAGTCACTAAAAAAATATGAAACTGACTCAGCAAAGTTTCCTAAACTCTTTCAAACAACACGTCATTAAAAGGAGGCTATAACAGATAAAACCATGGGATATTTCAGTTTCACTGAAAAATCTACTTAGGAAATACCACTCTAAACAATGGGGAATGACTGACAACCACAATGAGGTTCTATTACAGTATGATACTGTATAGAATAATCACAATAATAAATATATTACTTTCACATATTTGTTAATAGAAACATATTTTTCCAGAAGTATTTTTAATAAACTATAACTAGAGAAGATATGGCAGAATCAGAATTCAATTGTCATATAAGAATCTCAGAAATCAGGAGTTCTAGCATCAACTTCCTATATAATAACATTTTTTTCCCCTTTAAAATAGCTACTGGTACGTTCACTTTAGGACATGCTTGAGGTTACAAAAGTGCGCATACTTCATCATTGCCAACAGTAAGAGGTAGCATAAAGTCAACATTTTAGCATATGTTACTGCCAGCTATTTGATTCAGTAACAAATTAATTGAATTTCAATAAGATTTAAAATGATAGGAAACAGTAACATAAACTATTATGGCAAAAGATGATAAAGTATCAAAAATATTATTAGACCAAAAGGTTAAAAAGACGTTACATAAAGATGAAGGTTAGTAATAAAGAAGAAAGACAGGAAAGAGAAATGAGCTAAAATATACATCATGAAGTTTTAGGAAAAAATTTAAATAGTTACTTTAGGAAAAAGTAACTTTCTCATAACTTGCTAATTCTGGCTGGGTGTGGTGGTGCACACCTTAGTCCCAGCACTCAGGAGGTAGAGGCAGGTGGATCACTGTGAGTTCAAGGCCAGCCTACAGGAAGACCCTGTCTCAAAAAGACAAAAAAAAAATTTTAAATTAAACAGTTCTAGAAATATTAGTTGTACCAATACAGGACTAGATAAGACAGCCAAATAAATCATCACCATCAAAGCATTATTTAATAGATTATCAGTTATATATAAGACTTTTAAAATATGCATTTAAAATAATATATTTCTGTCTTATTGGAACCAATTATTAAAGTTTCCAGACTAGAGTAACAAATGTCTGTCACACTGATGTTCTATTCTTTAGTGGCAGGACAATGATGAAATACTCTCCATTCCAGATGGTGGAGAACGACCCAAGGACCTCACTCCATCAAAATTCACATCCCTAATCTGGATCTGTCCTAGTCCCACTCACTCTCTAGTCTCTGCTGGTCATACCTGAGAACACAAGTGAGGATTCGTACCTTTTCAGTTATAGCATCACCAGGATCTGAATCTGCTGAATGACTCCCCAGAGCAACTCGAAGCAGGGCATCAAATAAAGGCTTTGCTAATTCTGTTTCTGTCACCTTTGACTGGGAAAGATGGTCCTTCATTTCACACAATATATTTTCCACAGACAAGTTCTAAGGTAAAAGATGAGAGACAAAAAATATCAATAATTTACTTTAGAAAAAAATGGGGCAAATAGATTACTTAAGAAGCAGAAAACAAGTTCATGAATTTGCAGTTCATATGAAGGTGAACACTGTACAAATTTTGAGCTCACCCAAATATCCTACTGTTAAAATTATTAACTTTTTTAAATCAAATATTTTGGTTTTAAAATTTAAATATCCTACATAAATTAACGGAACCACAAAAAACTATTCTAGGAAACTTCAGAGTTTTAGTAACTATCTCTAGAGTTTACAGAGTCCTTATTAGGTCCTCTAAGAGTCCTAAGAAGCAGTTCTGTTCTAACCCTTTCCCCTCACTCCATCAGTTCTACCCTTGAATGGAGTTCTTACTGCTTGCTCTGCAACAGGCACAGAGACTACAATAAAGAATAAGGAGCTTGCTTCTCTCTTAAAGAATTCTTAGTCTAATATGTGAAACAAATAGATACAGACAAGATATGATGATGATCAGTCACACCAGAGGTCCAAACTAAGGTCAGGGGATGTGGATGGGGAACCCAAATACTACCACCCCAAAACTGTGAACCTTGAACTCTGAAACACAATATCCATAATTACTCATTTGCCATGAAATGTAAAATTGTTCCACAGGGGGCTTTGCATGCAAGCTTCTTTAGAACTGGGTCATGCACCTCTTTGTGTTATCTATAGCACTTGTATTCTGCTAAGCACACAGGGGTGTCTCAAAACATAAAATATGTGACAAATGGGAGGGGGCATGAGGCCCCAGAATTCCTTGTGGACTTGTAGGAAGATAATGGTAGTGGGGGTCGAGGGGAAGCTCATGAAGCCCCATCCCTCTCTGAGTATCTCTAGGCAGTTAATGGTTGCTGGGAGCAAGAGGTATTTTCTTCAGTAGTATAACCACTGGTATGGACACTTACTCTTGTAGATAAGCTCTCACTCAGGATCTCGTAACAAATCCTAGTAAAATGCAATAGCTCACATACACACAAAAAAATCTCCTGAAAATGGAAAGGGGACTATATGGGAAGAGAGGGTAAAAGAGGATAAAAAAAATACACTAATACATGTATGAAATTTTCATAATGAATCCCAGTTTATGTATAATATGGAAAATAAAATCATAGCAAAATAAAATAACAATTGCACACACTCACCCCCCCCAACGCACACACACGTTATGAGAGCTGAACTAAGTACAGATTATTACCTGATTAGTCAGCTCCAATTCCATCTTCTGCTGACTGGTTCTGGCGCTATGAAGACAAATGGCTAGAAGGGCTTCTAAAAGGCGTATGCTCTGAAGGGAGGTCTTGCTCTCTTGACTCATAAAGGCCTTTGCATCCTCAGGAACAGCTTCAGTAGCAGAACTCTGCCCCATATTTGTGGAAGAAATATGCTGTGGCTCTAATTTACTCAAGCTGTTGAGATTCCTTTTTAGACTTCCCAGTTCTGATGCTGTTAAAGCCGATAACTCTTCCTTCAGTGTCCTCTCAGGCTGAGATGTTCTAATGAACTCTTGATTTTCATTTACATTCATTTCTCCCTGTTTTTTTCCTTGCTCCTCTTTGTGGCTCCTGCACAGTTTTTGAATTATCATAAACATTAATTTATGGCACACTCGAAAACCATCAAGCCTGTGGAATTGTTTTTGGAAGACTGAGCTCAACATGTAGATCCAACAACACATGGACCAAACATCTGCTGCTTGGTGCAAACGTTCAGGGGGAGGCAAGACAAGGCTCTCGAGAGATAGATGTGGCATCATGTGACTTAACGGCTCGCTGGCAGTACTGTCATAGCCAGAAGTGTCTTCTGACTCATTGGCTGATTCCCTATCAGACTCTGCTTTACTGACACATAAAAATGCCACACAGAGGAAGAGGTTTATGGTGTTGATATGAACATCCTGGTGAATGGTCTTCCTTTTCTTTGGATAAGCTTCTTTGAGACTGGCATAAAATTTGCTGAGGCTCTGGGGAGAATCTGAAGAACCTTGCTGGTTAGGAAGGGAAGAAGCCACACTTAAGGACGGCAACTCCTGCTCAATGTCTGGCCTATCGATACCTGGGCCCAAAGCATCCTTCTGCTGTTCCCCCAGGCTGACAATCAGAGTTTCAAATGCTTTGAGAGAATGACTTCGAATCCCGTCTAAGTAATTTAATTCAATTATTTGGTTTACTCCATTAGAACTTAAAAATAAATCTCTTATTACCCTGTGAGAGACAGGAAAAAAACAGATTTTACACAGTGAAGCATTTAAAAAGGTACGTACACTATGCAAACATGTCATTGTTGTGTCTGGCATATATTATACACTGCTACTTTGATTTGCTGTTTGAGTAGTTCTAAGACACTGACTGAGTTACTGTCTAATTACACTCCACCCCTCATCCACCACTGCATAGACAGATCAGGCTGCAGTTGAAAAGAAATTATTATATGCAGCCCACATTAAAGCAACTCAGGAAAGAGCACTTTTCTTCAAATAGAGAATTTTATATAAATTCTGAATACCACTACTACCACCCTGGAAGAGGGTACCTGAGGACAGGCCTGCATTCATCCACTTGCTCATTTGGTCAGCCGTCTAATGGTTTGCTCAGGACTTTGCACTTGGTTTATATCTACACTCTATGAAAGGAAAGAACAGCACCACAGAGCTAAGAATCTTGGATTTTCTCTCACATGAAGGTTCAGCATTGCACAAGTCTCTCTATAGTTCTCTTCTCATTTGGCTAGCTAATCAATGTCAACAGCACAGACATGAAACTAGAGTATAGCCTGGTGGTATCAATGTATCAGTATTAATTTAATGTAGTTCTATTAAGACAGACCAAAAAGTACTAGACATGAATATAATAACGATAGGTTATATTGTGGTATTTTTTTTTAAGTGCTATATTCAGGGTTAGAGAGATGGTACAGTGGTTAAGAGCACTGGCTACTCTTACAGAGAACCTAGGTTTGATTCCCAACACCCACATAGCGGGTAACAATTGTCCCTAACTCCAGTTCCATGGGATGTGATGCCCTCTTCTGACCTCCACAAGCATTACACAACAGGGGTATACTTACATGCATGCAGGCAATATGCTCATACACATAAAAAATAAAATATTTAAAATGATATATTAATTTAAAAGGCCTATCTACCTATTAGATTTATCTATAAAATACTTTTTAAATGTACCAAACTTAATCATGCAATCTGGAAAACTCACTGATAGAAAGAATACAAGAATTAACTCTCCTGGCCTGCTCCCCTATCCTCAGGCCTCTCAGGGTGGGTCCATCGTGGAGCCCCCCGCGCCTTGACTCCCCTGGCCTCATTTGCCCTTCCATCTCCTCGGCTGTTCTCTGCTCCTGGTTTGGGCCCTGCACCATTCCTGGTCTTGGGTCCCCAGACACCTGGGGAACCGGTGCTGCTTCCTGATCCTTTTCGCCCAGGCCAGCTTGGTGCCTTCCTTGGGCTCCAGGAGCACTGCTTCGGCGGGACCTGGCCCCATCCTCACCTCTTCCTGCTTCCCCAGACCTGCATCACCGGCTAATTCTCCTGGCCGGCTCTCCTGCCCTCAGGCCTCTCTTGGGGTAAGTCTATCGCGCAGCCCTCCTCACCTGGACTCCCCCAGCCGTGTTTACCCTTCCATCTCCCCCGCTGTTCTCTACTCCTAGCTTGGGCCCTGTGCCATTCCTAGTCTTGG